TGTAGATTAATTAATAAATATAAGGATCATTTCTGATAGTCCACTCCTATTATCAAATCAACTCATCGCTGTACTAACGGAATGTTTGTGTAGTATCAAACTTCAAAGTCATTAGTACGAACACATTGACATCGAGACTTCTGATGTCAAAGTAATCGCATCAAGTCACGAATTATATTATCTGAATTTAGTTTAAACGTGCGACTTTCACGAACAATGAGCACCCCTACCACGAGTTTTTAAATACGAAAAAGCATAAGTCTTCACTCGTGAATATGAGTAAAACGTATATAAATAACTGAGAACTCACTATATCGAGATTGACGATAAAGACTCATGGTAAGGGTATATCGACGAATAAACTATCATAGCTACCAAACTTATTAAAGCAAATTTTCCTCTTTCGCTTATATTATTTCAGACCATAACTTATAAGAAATATAACGATGACTTACGAATCTTATATATAAGAAAGGATTTTGTGATACTTGAGATTATTGTATAAATAAACTTAATGATAACGGATCATTACATAAGATGAGTTTCTTATCAGTAAGTGTTTTGCGAAATATAAAAATTGTGCCAAAGCACTTGTGTGTCTGATAAAACAGATTAAATCAAGGTAAAACACTTCAGTATAAGTTCGTACTCCACTTTTTATGTGTACATATGTATATATTAATAATACACTTGGTATAATAGTTTTATATATTAATATATAGGAATAAAATGATAAAATTATGATTAAAGATAGCAGTCTCCTAAGAGATAAATTCCGTTTCTTTTAAAATTATATGTATATATAAAAGAAAGTCGTGTTAATTACACTATTTATAACTTAAGAACGGCTGTAGGGATATGGTTGAAAATTTGCGAGGAGATAGCTTAGAACCAGGAGACCGACATAAGATATCTATTAATACGATTGAAACAGAAAAAAAAACTTAGTAAAATCCGATACTTGGTTATTTACGGCCTCCTGTGCGGAATAGAGTTCACCCGATCAGCTATACTTAATAACTAATTCCGAAATTAATGTCAACGAAGTCGCGGGCAAAAACTAGTTTACACATAACCAAATTCGTCAACCGCAACGATAGTATCTTACATATTACAAACTCAAACAGCGAAAGCATAACCCCAATAATGATTGATGATACTGATCATACTTGAGCAACGTTCATAGAAGTGTCTTGAATGTGACAACGAGTATTCATCAGTTGACCACCGTCCCAGTTAAACCCCTCACGCATGTGGGAATTGACCCACATATAATGATGGCTAATTAAAATTATAACTAATAAAACTACTCTATAATTTATAGAATACTTTAATAGCAATTCGTTTTTATATTCATTGAGGCAATATACAAACTAATAAACATAAAATATTAATGATTTCTAAGACTTTCGCGAGTATTCATTTAAATGAAACTAATGTTTTCGTATATATTTTTACATTTTAGTTAACTTTCTGTTACTTTGCAGCATTGTAAGCACGGGCAGATATGAAATAAGAAAAAAGTCCAAAAATATTAGCTTATTTAAAATAAAGTATGTAGGTACTTATTTATTTCTAAAATATTAAAGAACCCAAACAATTTAGTTAAAATGGGGCATGTCAAGTCGACAATAACAAATAAAATTCTATTTGAAATACCTTTAATATTTCAAAATTATATATATTTATTTCATATACCGTACAAAATGAATTACTTGATATACATACATAAAATTGTTTCTCCATAGGCCTACTAATACATGATGAAATCAATCCACGACCCACTGACATACAGACGTCATGTCTATTGTATGCAAACATGGCTATTTAATTAATACTACAATATGTACTTTTACATACACTTTCTCATATAAAAAAGTTGAATTTAGTAACTCAAATTTTTACATACTTTCATTATGAAGAGAAAGATATTTTAAGATTTTTTAATATGCTAAGTACTAACTAATCTCACATAAAATTGTGATTTAATATGGATATTAAAAGTTAGTGGTGACCTAGTGGTTAAAACGTTCGCCTCTCATGCATGAGAGCGCGGGTGCGATCCTGGCAAGTACTATTGTGATTTTTCCGAGTCATATGTACTTTCTAAGAGTATTTAGACATCACTGATTAATGCATTCCCAAAGAGGGTTGATGTCATGCAGGCGGCCGGTCGTAAAAACAATCAGCCAAAACTATTCACAACATGTTAGACAGACCCTGGCTAAAGCTGGGAAATTGCCAGGTAGAAGATGACGTATTGGCTGTAATTTTTAAATAAAATATTTATGTCTTACATAGAATTGGTATTGCTTATTATTAAGTTTCAAAAGGTTGATAATCTTGTACATATAAGTTATACACATAGACGTCGTGAACGGAAGTATATCACAAAAAACCTATAATGTTATCTTGTGATACAATCGTCAAACATGACACATAGCTAACAGCAAAAACCGGAGGAAATGCCATAGATGGTTCGTAACTAGTGCTGCCATCTATGTCTTGAATGCCATATATAACACCCACTTTATAACTATAGAAATATACATATATATTTATACTAGCTGACGTAGTTTTGCCATTTAATAAAATAGGGGTTGGTGATAAAAAAGTAACAATTTTGGATTGTACGTATTTAAAAATGCTACATTATAAAAATATTAAAAAAAAAATTCGTCCGAAAATAAAAATATTAAGGGTGAACAAACCTTATGACTTGGGGGCATGAAAAATAAATGTTGTCCAATTCTCAGACTTACTAAATATGAACACAAAATTTCATCAATATCGGTCCAATCGTTTCAGAGGAGTTCTGTCTAACACCGCGACACGAGAATTTTATATATCAGATTAGTTACAATTATAAAGCCAGTAATCACATTTGTAGTTTGTACATTCCGATTTAAATTAAAATTATTTAGATAATTTCATCTAATATTCGCATGATATACATATGTTATTAAAAAGGAATTTTGACTTCAGGTAAATTGTTATTTAAGTTTAAAACAATAACTTTTGTTGTACAAGTCTTACTATAGTACTATCACTTGTTATAACTTCATCTAACCATGTAATGTTGTAATACTCTACGTACATCGTCTTGTTGATCTTGTTTATGTCCTTATACAACGAACAGTGGCTGCAGGCTTGTTCCACGTAATTTACCAGTACAATCATATACCAAAGCATCGCCAGAGTAAAATATACAATTAAATTAGGAGAACTCAGCTTATGATAATGACAAAACATAATCTATGATCTATATATTAAATTCTTCTTTTACCTGGCAATTTCCCAGCTTTATCCAGGGTCTGCTTACATGTTGTGAATAGTTTTGGCTAATTGTTTTTACGATCCGCCTGCCTCACATCAACCCTCTTTGGGAATGCATTAATCAGTGATGTCTAAATACTCTTAGAAAGTACATATGACTAGGAAAAATCACATTGGTACAGGATCGAACCCGCGCCCTCATGCATGAGAGGCGGACCGTTTAACCACTAGGCCACCACTGACTGTGAAATTAAATAACTTATACAGGGTGACTGGTGAATTACCATCGATCCTTGAGGTCGTGAAATTTGACGATCATATATGACAAAATAAAAATTAATATAACATAAAAAATAATAAACTTCTAAGTAAAGTTAACCAAAAGTTATGTAATTAATTACGCATCGTGTGAACATCCTACAGATTAGGTATACACACACACGCGTGCGGCGGCGTGGTGTTGTATCAGCACGCCGCCGCACGCGTCCACACTTGGAACACTTGGAACGTGTCCACACTTTATTTATTTATACGGAAATTTGGTCAAAAATTAAGTACCTATTTTTTTTACATAATTCGAATGAGAATCATGTACCGAGTATTCTCCTTAAATATTGATAGTAATTCACCAGTCACCCTGTATAATCAAAAGTTATATTAAATCATCAACATTTTCACTCAAAGTTAAGCCATAATTCCATAGCGTTTTCGTTTAAGAGTCCATTTTTATTTGAAGTTTTTTCACTGTTAATATCCTCTTTGCATTCCTCTCTGTTACGACGTCATCAATCTTAAGTTGTAAATCCATCTCGGTTCGTTAAAGCAAGCTTTCTTATGCTGTATACAATATTTAATAGACCATTTGTAACATAAATATGGACGTTTCTGAATACAATAGTGATTAATCTAAATAATAACTACAAATTATAGTTTTCAAGAGCACCAAGACATATAAATTCAAATGAAAGTATGTCAATGTTTGGACAATTTTAACATTCGCGAACACAATTGCTCCGACTCCGGAGTTGAATCAGAAAACATTGTTTTACTTAAACACACAATATTTATTGTTGAATCCCTACGATTATAAATGCGAAAGTAACTCTGTCTGTCTGTCTGTTACGCTTTCACGCTTAAACCATTGAACTGATTTTAATCAAATTTGGTACTGATATAGAGTTGACTTTAAGAAAGAACATAGGATAGTTTTTATCCCAGACTTTTGAAAGGTTCTCTTGGTAACGCGATATAATCGAACTCCACGCGGGCGAAGCTGCTGGCGTAAAGCTAGTATCCCATATTTTTGCTTATCTTAACTTCTACTAAATATTAATGTAATACCGTAGTTGAAAGCCATGTCCAATGAATTTATATATATAACTGAAACAAGTAATTGCTAATACTTTAATATAGAACGTTGTCGACTTATTCGACTATTAGCCAAAAGACTTACGATCTGGACATTGACATCGTTGTGTTAACTCCTTGTTGAGATGTTATAAAGATTGATTCTTTGAATTTCAATGAACCCAAACTCATTTAATTTATTAGACCCATTAAAGCAAATATAACTTAGTCATTAATAGCATTTGATTACATAAATTCTTAATATGCTAACCTATAGTATGTTAAAATATTAATCTCTTGCTTAGAATAATAATAAAAATATATGGTGATATAATGATAAATGCATGAGAATTAAAATTGTTATATTGGTTTTGCAGGAATTGAAAGAAAGCTTTAACTATGGGCTGTTCTGTCCACCGGTCAATGGCAAAGCCGGCAAGTTCCTGGACGAAGAACGACGCCTCGGAGATTATCCTTTTAATGGACCCGTCGGCTACCTCGAGGTGAGATAAAAGAATTTTATTTTCGGAACTTTTAGTCCTTTAAGTATCTTAAGTATTTTATACCAGCTTTGAGAGATTAAAAAAGTTACAGTCGGGACTGTAATAAAGAGAACCGAGTTAAAGTTTTTTTACTCAAATCCAATTATAAATTACATTTGAATTAACAATTTATTGGTTTGCACTCTAACGCTAAAGATAACCTTGGAGTCGTAAAATTTTATGCGGCCATGGATCAGACGCCCCTAGTTCGCATGTATACTAATAAATAATGAATTACAAGCCGTTGGAATTAATGCGACCAATAAATGTAGGCCAAATACTAATTACAATCTACCTAATTTATCTAAAAGCCCAACCTGTTTGTTATATTTATTCAGCTAAATTTGGTAATCATTTATTATACGGCTTATTTCAAAACCCACACATGTATATGCTTATATGGTTTTGTGTGTTTAAGTGATTACTATACCACGAACGGGGATATTATTTATCGGCCGTCTTGTGGACCCAGGACCTAAATACAATATAACAAATTTCAAACAACCTCGGACGAATTTAGTAGCTTTTATAAGCTTGACAAACGATCTTTGTCAGTAAATTTTATCTTTAATAGCAAGCGAACTTCAACTCTATAGCCTTGTTTTAAAGTTTTAGTTGATTAGACCACTCTATTTCCGTGATGTAACTTTTGCAGTTAAAATACAAACGCCGTGTTTACAAGATGTTGAAGCTGGACGAAAAGACATTGAAGGCTCTACACTCTCGAGCCAACCTGAGGCGTTTTCTAGAGCACGTGACACACGGACAGATAGACAAAATTACCAAATCATGCGCCAAAGGACTGGATCCCAACTTTCACTGTCAAGACACCGGTGGTAAGTTTGACAGTTCTGATATTTATTTTGACAGTTGCCAGTCTTATTTCTTAATTTCACAACTATTAATTCAAATAAAGTTTTTATGTAATAAAAAACATGTACCTACTACCATTCACAATACCATTCTCTCCCATTTAATGGCGGTAAAGCAGTATTTTATGCAGTACATTTGCGTAGACACATAAATATAACAGCCTCGAGGTGCTATCAAAAACTAATTTATAACTCCAATAGTATAAGATAAAATAGAGTACTTTCAAAGTTCAAAATGGACGCTTTAAACAACGTACCACCTGCTATTTCAAACAGCAGTCACGACTATTGCAAATTTCTCTCCAATATAAGCAGCTATTCTTCAATGAAATGAGATGTTATACATACAGAAGCTATTATTATCGTTATCGGATATTTATCTCCTATTGTTCTACACCTTAGAGCTAAGTAAGTACGTGTAACATGTTATAGGAAAACCTACACGCGAATATAACCCATATGTGTACATACAGAAGCTGCTAATTTAGTTTAAACATTCACATTAATTATGTAACTTAACATACTAAATACCATTGTATCAATTCCCATTGTTATTCTGTGCCGCATCAATCTAGCGTGGATAATCCGATATAAATGTTCTGACCTTGAAAACAAGCGAGACAAATCAGCTATTCATCACAACAATACCTCAACAAAGTTCTATATTTTTCAAATTTAATATCATATTTGAATAAAAAAATAACATTATATTTCACCTAAGCAAATATTAGATATATGTAGTTTGACGTTACTACATTCAAAGTTGTAAAGAACTGGCCTTGAATTCCATATACGAAATCGGTAAAATAAATGCTGTTCATGTTTTTGGTGCATTAAAATATTGATATATCACTATTACAGAGACACCACTGACAATAGCCGCTGGCCTAAAATCCCCTGGGAAAGTGTTAATAGCTCTTGTGAACGGCGGAGCTCTACTCGATTACCGAACTAAAGATGGCAGCACCGCCATGCACAGAGCCGTGGAAAAGAATTCCCTCGAGGCTGTGAAGACTTTACTGGAGCTCGGCGCCTCCCCGAACTATAAAGATGGGAAGGGATTAACGCCTTTGTACTTGTCCGTAACGAATAAGACGGATCCCTTGCTCTGTGAGACCCTGCTACATGACCACGCCACTATTGGTGCTACGGACTTACAGGGCTGGCTGGAAGTACATCAGGTAAGAATACATTAAACTGTGACTATTTAAGTTTGTTCTTCAAACCAATTAATAATACCCATGAAGACAGAAATTCCGTCTAACCTATATTTGATATTCTGTTTTCATGAAGGACAAGAAATGGAATTATTCACATATTCTCCAGAATAAAGTAAATCGTCTTTTACTTGTATCGGTGTAATCTCTAAAAAGGATAAATTTTCATCACCTTTCCATATAAATCAGAGAAGTTATAGTCAACTTAATTCAAGTGAACAATATATTCCATCAATCTTTAACAAGCAATTTCGTTCTATTAGCTAAATGACTGAAGGGTCATAAGTATTGTTATCTGCAGTAGTCTAGTGTACAAGAGCATTAGACTAAATCTCATTTCACAATCACGCAGTTTTAGAGTTCTCTTCCAGTTGTTGCCAATAAACTAATACCTGAATGGATGTTTTCGCTAATACTGTAGGCCTATTATGAGTAATATCACATAAATTCTGATGGCCCTGTTCGTGTTTCAGGCGTGTCGTAATGGGCTGGTCCAACACTTGGACCATCTTCTCTTCTACGGAGCCGACATGAATGGTCGCAACGCGTCCGGCAACACGCCGCTACATGTATGCGCTGTAAATGCCCAGGACTCTTGTGCGAGACAGCTATTATTCAGGGGCTGTGATAAAGAGGCTCTTAACTTCGCCAACCAAACACCTTATCAGGTCAGTATTGCCAAGCAATTCTAGTGCTTATATAACTAAATGATTATGACTTAAATTTAAGTACAGTAAGGACTAATATTGTAATAATTTTCGCCTACCAACATGAACACAATGTTTAAATAATCGTCGGATGTTCATCTTGGTCGTAATTTTTCGTACTTCCTCACAAAAAAGTCTACTCAAGTCGGTCCATTAGTGGGATGTAAAAGATTAAGATTATAATAATGTATATAATTCAACAGGTAGCTGTAATAGCCGGAAATTTAGAATTGGCTGAGGTCATAAAAAACTACAAATCAGACGAAGTCGGTGAGTCCAAATATTTGTATATTCTGCATGGCCATGGTTGCGGCTTTATAATTTATGTCCTTCTAACTTAGCTTCCAATGAGATTAAAAACTTATACAATGGCAGCCAGGTTTGAAGCGCTTCTTTTAAAATGCTTTCTATTATATATCCAGTCCTTTTTATATTTATAATATATTTTTATTATTATATATATAATATGAAATATAAAATGGGCTTCACACAATTGTGATATAACTTAGTGACTAATTTTATACTTTTTATATATTTGTAGCGTAATGCTTCATATAGTGTATAGTGTGTACATAAAGTGTATTATATAATATATGACGTCACTCGCATGTAATCATCCCATACAACTTATACATACCTTCCACTGTTTCCATTGCTTATTATCATAATGGTGATGGTTGTACACCGAACACGATAAACATCTATATGTACCTATGTGTAAAATGGTTTATTTATTTTATTATTTATTCGGTGGCACGTTCAGTTCGGGTTTTCTGTTGCCGCACGTTATTTTCTTTTTGTTTGTATGGCGCGTAGTTCCGTTTCGGGGCCCGCCGCGGTATAACCCGAAGCGTCGGTCTGCGTGGGGCGGCTGGTGGATGGATCGTGGCGACCGTTCTTCGCTGGGGTCAGTGCCGTCCGAGTTAGAAGCTCTCCTGCGAGCAGCGACTCACTCTCCGGCCAGCGAGAGGTTCTCCTCGGCGTCTTCGAGCATCAGCGACGCGAGCCACCCCAGCCACGAGGACGACGCCAGCATCCTCACAGGTGAGTCCCTCCCGCCAGGCAACCATCACCATGTTCATGTTGCATGTTCATAGATGTCACCGCGGTCCGCTTCTCGCTTCATTTCTTCGATACCCATTTTGTTTTAACGACGTCTCACCTCGATGTTGCCTGATAAATGTTACATAATGAAATAAGCACTGCACCCACACCGGACTAAAGCTTCAAACAAACATATACGTGACGGCCGCGTGTCCAGATAAGAGCGCGGACACGAGCGACATCACGGACTCGAGCGGCGTGGGCACGAGCACCTCGGACACTGTGTGCTCGCTGCAGACGGCCGCCACGGTCGTGTGTCTGCAGCCCTACGAGCCCACACACCACGGACACCTGCGGCTCAACCAGGGGGACATCATAGAAGGTACGTAGAGAGGGACCAAGAATTAACAAGCTTTATATAGGAGGCCTGTTAAGGGGAAGTTCTTATTAAGGTCAATACAAATCGATATTCCAGATATTCTGATGCGACAAAATTTATCCAACGTAGTACCGTAATTGTTATCACATGCACTTTACTAATGAACTCTAACGACAACATCCACAATCACCTAACACGTAACACAATACAATTAACTGAGGATCAAACACTCATCATGACAGCAAAGCGTTTATTTTAAGCTTCTTTTAAAGTAATAATGGTGATAGTTCTAAACATTTTTTTATTACAATATTTACCTAAAATCTCAGTTTTTAGTAATAACTGGAAACAAAATTACGTACAGCATAAAAACCTATACACAATTAATTAGTACCTATTTGAGTACAGTAGTGTTATATGTCCATCTCGCTCTATCATTATAGTGACTGGTGCGACAGACGATGGTCTGTTGGAAGGCTCGATCCGCGGCTCGAGCGCCTCGGGTCTGTTCCCTGCGAGCTGCGTCCAGGAGGTGCGACTAAGACAGAACGCACACCTGCATCAGGTAACACACACACACACACACACACACACACATATACACATACTAAATACACGGTATATAGATGACGTCATAAATATTAAAACAGACTTTTCTATTATTGCTGGGCTTAGACTGTTGAGGATAAAGAAGACACTAACTAGTTCAAGATTTATTTCCGAGAGAGTACAATAAGACACACTGATTTACATATGCAATGATTCGACTTTTATACATGATTTACATCAAAGAATATGAGATGCACAGATGTGACACATTTTAGACAAAGAATATGTAATTTACTAACTGTTTACTTATATACCTATTTGCGTATACGGTACACTACCATATAAATCTTTGATTATAATATTCATTTGTCGATAATTTGGAATTTTTCCTTGAGAAATAAATGTAGTTAATATTCCTTACACGTAAATAATTCACACAGTTCAATGAGCTTTCAATGGACTAGCTTTGAGTATAGAGTTTGAATCACATCATAACAGATGGCGCTAGTAGTATCATGGATACAATTAATTTATTTATGTTATAAAATAACACAATAATGTTAAGAAAAAGTAAATTATAATATAAAAATAGTTCTTTAATTATAATTCTATATTACCAGGTGTTATCCTCGGGACCCATCCATCATTCGCGTGTCACGGGCAGGAGGGAAATGGCTCTCAGTAAAACATACAGCGCCACCGCTCCTAGGATCAAGAAGACGTATGTATACAACCACTATATATAGCTGGTTTCTTTATATATACTTCATTAACAAAACAACATCCCTACTAATATTATAAATGAGAAAGTAACTCTGTCTGTTACGCTTTCACGCCTAAACCACTGAACTGATTTTAATGAAATTTCGTACAGAGATAGAGTTGACCTTGAGAAAGAACATAGGATAGTTATCATCCCAGAGTTTTGAAAGGTTCTCTTGGAAAGGCGATATAACCGAACTTCACTCCGGCGAAACTGCAGGCGAAAAGCTAGTTGAAACATATGACGAAGATTGCAAGAACTAATTTTTCTCTTGTAAATAATTTTTCTCTCAACATTTCCTACATCAATATTAGTTCAATAAAATGTCAATCTCAAATAATCTTTTCGTTTAATGCACCCAAAGTATTGTTAATGTTACAGTTGTATAGAACAATGTGTTCAAACAACCTACCATATATTTATAAATAAACATTCCGCGAGCGCGTCTTCGCCTGTCGTTAGTCTCAAATGTGCTTTACGAAACGTCCGTACAGACGGCTCGTGAAGAATGGTTTCGTTTCTCTTCTATCGATATGTTACCCGGGAGTTATACGATTCCTTGTTACAAAACCCTCCAGGTTCGTAGATATAATTTTAATAGCCTTACATTTGTTATATATCATATTAATCATTGACCTTATACAGGGTGACTGGTGAATTACTATCAATATTTAAGGAGCATACTCGGTACATGATTCTCATTCGAATTATGTAAAAAAAATAGGTACTTAATTTTTGACCAAATTTCCGTATAAATAGGGGAGAGTCGGATATATCGTACCACTTTTCACTTTAACTCAAATATTTCGACTATAACACGTCTTATAATAATTAATACATATGTAAAATAAAGTTTCATATTTTAGCTTCCTAAGAAGAAGAGAACAGATCTTTGCGATTATTCTAACATTGTTAAAAATGCTTTTTTATAGAGGCTTGCCATCGGTACGATTTAGCCGACTCGTTGTTTTAATCGTACCACCAAGTCTTTAAATCGTACCATGGGTGTTTAAGTCGTACCACTGAATGAAAGACATTAAAATTCTCAATCAAATTATTTATTTTTAACTGTTAGGTAAGTAATAAAACAACATTATTTATATCTTTTAGGTAATAGAAACATAATTTTTAACTCTTAGGTTATATAAAGGAACTATAAGCTTTCTCAGTAAAATAACATGATTATACTATGATAATGAGATCAATCACAATAACTAATAAAAATGAGACAAAAAAAAACAGTAAACTATAATAATAAAGTAACAGTTAATAAGAATGTTATTTGTAATAAAATTATTGTGCATATTTCTTAATGGAAACAATCATGACAAATGTCTGGATTCGAAGTAGGTACACGTCTCATGTAGCCACCGTTTACAGCGAACGCATTGAATCCAATCAACTTTTGGACCCTTCTTATCGTAGTAACTAGTAAGAATTTTGTTTTTGGCATTGGGTAGTATTTACTTTACGTACTTGCGGTAGTACTACAGGTACTTGCGGTTGGTAGTCGGGTAAATCGTACCAGTACAATTTAACCAACTGCAAGTGGTACGATTAAACCAACTAAGGCATTTCTAAAACTAAAGCAAATATCCGGCATAAACTCAAAACTTAGACACGCAACAAAAACCCCCAATAATCTAGTATACAATTGTGGAATAATAAAAAAAAATTAATATGTAACTATAGCTTACCTTGATTACGAGTTATCTCCTTATGAATATACGACAATATTTATATTAAGACCTACAAAAAATGTTTTTCTTTTATTACGTGAACAGTTGTTAACTCACGTCGATTTAAACTAGTGGGTGAAGAGGGCTGGTGCAGGGCCACGATTTGGTGGTGTCAGTGTAGAAAAAAATATTCATTAAATGGGAAATTTATAAGTGGTACGATTTAAATGCTAGTACGATATAACCAACTCTCCCCTAAATAAAGTGTGTACACGTTCCAAGTGTTCTAATGCCTCCTCTAAGTGTGAACGCGTGCGGAGGCGTGCTGATACAACAACACGCCGCCGCGCGCGTATGTGTGTGTGTACCTAATACCTAATCTGTAGGGTGTTCATACGATGCGTAATTAATTACACAACTTTTGGTTAACTTTACTTAGAAGTTTATTAATATTTATGTTATATTCATTTTTATTTTGTCATATATGATCGTCAAATATCACGTCCTCAAATATTGATAGTAATTCACCAGTCACCCTGTATATATTATAATAAACCGTTCTCGTACACTCCGGAAGAAAGGTTCAAAATTATTTGAGACTATGAATATCGGTTCCATATTAATGGTATTTATTAAAAATATCCTTTTTAATAATAACAATAACATATCTTTTTTGGCAGCACTTTGTACCACACTTTTTTACTTACAAATACATAATCCACATGCTACCAGAAAAAAGTAGAAAATACGATCTATGTAGCATTCAATTAAAAAATCCTCTAGAACTTTCTGTTGATCCTATGAATGTCTAATTTCCAGTTATGGCAATATGGAGTCTCGCACGGTGGTGTTACACCGGGCGAGGCGGGGCTTCGGGTTCGTCCTGCGAGGGGCGAAGGCGTCGTCCCCGCTCATGGAGCTTCGCCCCTCGGAGCGCTGCCCCGCGCTGCAGTACCTGGACGACGTAGACGCGGGCGGAGTCGCCGACCGCGCCGGGCTTAAGAAGGGAGACTTCCTTGTGGCGGTCAGTTTAAATATAGAGAATATATTAAATATATGCAGAGGTATAGAGATACTCTTCGTTTTGCGAAGTCGATTAAAAGTACAAAAGGAATTACAAAATCGAAATATATTTATAAATAAGAGTAAATTCACGCATAGTGGGAATACTTTTCAATATGAATTCCTCAAAATATTATTTTATACTTGTTATAATATGTAGATTTGAACCCTTTTATAGCCAAAGGTGTTGTTCGAAACACTTCTTTATGAAATTCCTAAAGATTCCCATAATAAATTGTATATCAGTTACATGAGCGATGGCTATTGAATTAGAACATTTAATCTATCATATTTACTCATAAAACAAAATTTAACATCCTCTCAATTTATTTATTTATAAGTAAACATTGGAACCGATGTTCAGTTCAGTTCAAGTTATATTAAAAGAGACTTGTATATTAGTACAATCCTTATACATATATATATATATATACAGGGTGACTGGTGAATTACTATCAATATTTAAGGAGAATACTCGGAACATGATTCTCATTCGAATTATGTAAAAAAGTAGGCACTTAATTTTTTACAAAATTTCCGTATAAATAAATAAAGTGTTGACACGTGCCAAGTGTTCCAAGTGTGGAAGCGTGCGGCGGCGTGCGGCGGCGTGCTGATACAACACTACGCCGCCGACGCGTATGTGTGAGTGTGTGTGTATACCTAATCTGTAGGGTGTTCACACGATGCGTAATTAATAACATAACTTTTGGTTAACTTTACTTAGAAGTTTATTAATATTTATGTTATATTAATTTTTATTTTGTCATATATCATCGTCAAATATCACGTCCTCAAATATCGATAGTAATTCACCAGTCACCCTGTATAATTCTTCTGTGAGTATGTATGTCACTGAGCTTCTCTCAAACGACTGGACCGATTTTGAAGAAATTTTTTGTGTGTGTTCAAGGGGATCTGAGAATGGTTTAGATTCACGATTTTGTCCGCTGGACAATGTATTTTTTAATTAATTTTTAATTTATTAGTAGTTGTCGATACAAACGTTTTTTTTTTGACATTAGATTTGACAACTAACTAATATGTCAATCATTCTGTCGCACTTCAAAACACGGAGATTTATGGCTTTAATAAGTAAACTCCAAAAACATAAATAAAAAAAACGTAACAGATATTTCTTGATAATAGGGCGAAACGAAGTTCGCCGGGTCTTCTAGTATTACTATGTATATAATTTGTTTTGTTTTAAATGGACTTGTAATATATATATTTCCAGATTAACGGTGAGGACGTGTCAGCAGCGTCTCACGAGCACGTGGTGGAGCTTATACGAGGGTCGGGGGCGCTGGTCGCTATGACCGTGGTGTCACTCACACCATGCCGTGAGTCATACATACATATACCTCTTATATGGAAGTCGGTTAGAATTTAGTTTCGAAATATATGCTGTTAACTTCACGAATTTAATATAAATATGTAGGTAGAGTTGAATAGATTAATAGGTAGATGTAAAAATTAATCTTCTACCTTGCCGTTTCCCAACTTCAGCCAGGGTCTGCCTTACAGTTTGTAAATAGTTTTGGCTAATTATTTTTACGACCAGCCGCCTGCCTGAAATCAACCCTCTTTGGGAATGCATTAATCAGTGATGTCTAACTACTCTGAGAAAGTACATATGACTCTGAAAAATCACATTGGTTGATTGCCAAGATCGAACCCACGCCCTCGTACATGAGAGGCGGGCCTTTAAACCACTAGGCCATCACTAACTTAAATGATGTAATTATTAATATTGATCATATATTGAGAAAGGTAAACTCTCATAATCTCACTTGAGGAATTTTAGATGTTGACATGAGCTTAGTAGATAAATCATTAGTTACATTAAGTTATATCAGTATAAGCCAATAGACTATAGTCTATAACAATAAAAAGCAAAGCCATGCAAAGCTTTTATGTACCAACGAGTGACATTCGAATTTTTTTTAACTATAAGTTATAGGCAATTTCCTTCTGCCTTGATCTTGGGTCTTTTTTTAACTATAAATCTTAATGCTTATGTTTTATGATCAGCTATCAACGACAACAACACGGGCGGCGTGCCCACCAGCAAGTCACAGAATCAACTGGCGAGCTCCGGCCGGCCGTATGCTGCTACACTACCGAGGAAGGCGGCGGGGGGTGAGTAGAGAGAGATAGATATAGGATAGAAAGAGATAGATAAAGGGAAAGATAAATATGATGAAGGGAGAAAGAGATAGGGGGAAAAGAGTGAGAAAGAGAGATAGATATAGGATAGAAAGAGATAGGGGGAAAAGAGTGAGAAAGAGAGGGATGGAAGATATTATACCATCTAAAACTTGATACGTAATACTCTACATGAAAAATCTCTTTGTTTATTTTAAAGAATAGTTTGGAGTGAGAAACGAATAGTTTGGAGTGAAAAACGATTAGTTAAGAATGTGTGTGTTCCATTAACTATGCTTTAAAATAGACTAAATATAAATGGTTTTCAAAAAATTTGCTTCTGTGGTAAATATGACAATAAATTATATTTATCGTTTGAAATGCAAAAATGTTGCTGGAAGCTTTGTAATATAACGATTTTAATTAGAATTTTATTAAAGATTTTGAATGGTAGAGTTCTTGATCGGTTTTTAGGGTAGATATACCAAATATTCGTGTTACCCTTATCTTCTATCTTCTATATATATAAAAATGGATTGCTGTTCCTTAGTCTCGCTAAAACTCGAGAACGACTGAACGGATTTATCTTATCTTAGTCTTGAAATGTTCGTGGAGGTTCAGGGAAGGTATAAAAGGTGAGAAAAATTGGTTCATTTCCGAGAAAACCCTAAAAACAGCCCTTTTCTATTTCCCATACAAATGTTTTCTTTGACATTAGATTTGACAACTAACTAATATGTCAATCATTCTGTTCAATTGAAACAGGAAAAACCTGATTATTAATGGCCTCTAGGACAGAATAGAGTTCGCCCGGTCAGCTATACATATATTACTAATGATGAAATTAACGCGGACGAAGTCGCGGGCAAAAACTAGTTATGGTATAAAAGAGTGGATGAATAACACTATATTCAAATGTCACGGCCACTAAGAAATATAAATAAACGTAGTGCTGAACCTGAAAATATATCAATACCTGTTGTTGATGTTATTTAAAGTTATCAAAATATAAGTAAAACTAAAAATCAAGTTGTTATTTGTACATAATATTCTATAATGTAGTGTACCCTAGGTAGTCTGGAAGAAATGGTTAATAAGCCATAAGGCCGCCTTTTGTTTCACCATTAGTTTTTAGTTTGTATTTTGTAATTGTTTGTATTGTAATTGTGTTGTACAAAAAAGAGTTAAATAAATAAATATAATGTATTGTTTTTGTTTACAGGTCGCAGCCCCGCGCCGGCGCCTCCCCGACGTGATCCTCGCACTACGCTTAGCGTGGGTCGAGCCCGCGCTAAGTCTATGGTAGCGGGACTAGGTCAGTTAATATGGAATTCATATTTAAGTTATATTGTTTGCAGTGGCGGCCGGTGGGTTATCGAACCGGTGGTGCGCTTTACTAAAATATAAAAAAAATTAGAAAATGCAACAAAACGTAATATCAATCACGTCTCAATTCGTCATACATCGGGTGCTCTCGGTAACCTTCGGCCGCTCGTGCGGCGCTCGAGAACCGACTCATTACTCGGTACATTTCTATGAACTATCTTTTGTTTCACGCGTCAGGCGTATTAATGCGTATCTCATACAAGATGTATTAGCAGTCCTCGTGCACTCGCCGAAGCGCACGATATGAGTTTAGTAAAGCGCTCAAACTCTTTGACCATAATTAGGAAATTTAATTTTTAATACGTTTTCATATGTTTAAAAATAAATATTAAAATGGTAATTTAAAAATAAAGATGAAGTAATATTTTGTAATTTTTAAATCTTTTGAATTGGTGGTTCGGCGCACGAATGCACTTAAGGTACAGCCGCCACTGATTGTTTGGATTGTTGTTTTAAATATGGTCTGCATCCGTGCAAAGACTTGCATTGTATCGTGTAGAATGGACACACGATCTGGGATTAACTTTTAAATGAAATAAAATTTAAGTCACAATTGAGAACTTTATCTGTAGATCTAAAACTTTGAGAGATATTATTCCATTTTTCAAAATCTTTCGGGCGTTTGTGTTAAAAATGCCCCCAAAAAAGTCTCAGGTTGAAAATGTTATGTTGTAAAAAAGTTATTGAAATAAATTCATTTCAAGTAAGTCTCATCTGAGACGTACAGAATATGCATTAATGAATAGTTATAGAATACTACATAGTTACTTTATCCATCAATTCTAATATTGCAAAGTCTTTTAATAACTTTTTTTAAAGCAAAATTTTTCTCATTCAGAAAATGGCGGCGAAAAAGAGGAAAGTGTGGAACCATTAAGTGTCGCAGGGAAATCATCATCGGCTGAGTCGGTTCAGTTACACGGAAGTAATAGTGAGTGATATATAATCCCTACTAATATTATAAATGTGAAAGTAACTCTGTCTGTCTGTTACGCTTTCACGCTAAAACCATTGAACTGATTTTAATGAAATTTGGTATAGATATAGAGTTGACCTTGAGAAAGAACATAGGATAGTTTTTATCCCAGACTTTTAAAAGGTATTCTTGGAAACACGATATAACCGAACTCCATGGAGAAGCTGCGGGCGGAAAGCTAGTAAATAATAATGTAAACACTGCTTTATATATGATAGTAACTCAAATCATACTAGATGTGGTGAGGAGTTATTATAAATGAAAAACAATTCCCTTAATCTTATTGGAATGTATGAAGTGTGTGTTGTTGTAATGCATAAACAATACAATTTAAGATAGTGAGCTCTTTCTGATATATAAATATTATATACACAATTCAATATACAGTGACAATTAGGCGTCAATATTCACGTGCGGTGAAAACTTGGATTTGAATGAAATGATAATATGTATGTAATGATTTAGATTTTCATTATTTATTCCTACTATCATACGTAGCCGTTGAAAAACCGAAAGCTCAAGTGAAATAAAGCAACAAAAATGATATATTTTTTAGGTGTTTGCTACGTAATAGATTTTGGCTGATTGTCTTGTAGTTGGTGTAATAAAAGGCAATATATGTATTGTAATATTATAATTTATAATTTTATAATTGAAACGAGATTACAATGCTAAGTTTGGATGGCTATTGGCGACAAAAATATAATAATTTTTTAATCTACTATACAACATATGGAATATCGATTTCGTTTAAATGCCAATATGGACTGTGACTTTCGCTTGCCGTATTAATAATATTAATCTCTCTACAACCTACTAAAAGACTTGGGCTTGTTCAGAACTCACATTAATGCATTCTTTGAACGTGCATCGAAGGCAGCCCTAGTAGGTTCTTTTCAAATTTGGTTAGGTAGGGAGAGGAGCTTAGACAGTGGAGGTGAGCGTTTAACGTGCGTTAGATAGGGGACCCTTAAACCTGGGTCGCAAGTCCCAGGCACTGTTGAAGATCCTCTCACTGCAACGATAGACCCGACACCCGCACGGTGAATCCATGGAATGCTGAGAAGTTTCATCTCATAATACGTAGGCACAAGATAAATAGCTTTTAAAATGTTAATTATATTACAGCGGGCACGCCAGTATCAGGTACTCCAGTTGCGCCGCGGACAGCCTCCATACGAGCCCGGCCTGTGTCGGGACGGATCACGGCCGCCGAGCTAGAGGAACTATTCCAGAGACAAGCGGACGACGAACTTGTGTGAGTATAGGAATTAACAGATAACTCATACTGTAAGGCAGTAAACACATTCCTTAAAGAAAATATCTGCTCTTTATAATGGACATTTGAACGGATCAAACAAACTAGTTCCATAGTTTTATTTTATTTTTTTATTTTTTTACAACAAGCACACTTACAACATACATATTGAATACTAGCTTTTGCCGCGACTCCGTCCGCGTGGAATAGTGAGTTACGGCAGATTTTTGGTTCTTCCCACATAGTTCCCGTTCTTGTGGGGTTTTCGGAATGGTCGAGTTCCCGTAGAATTTTCAGGATAAAACCTATGTTTTTTTTATTCACAATGAAGTACTCTTAACCAACAACATATTTATTTGTTTATTTGAATAAAGATTAATATTATTATGTTGATACAACTTAAACAAATTATTTCGACCAAATTAGGTACCATAAAAACGGTTGTTGTGAGTTAATCTTAAAAGATAGACATGTACTGTCGCGGACTGTTTTTTAGATCATTAAAAGAGCTATTATTCTTTAACACATATTTTTTGTGTATCTTGAACCGTTTTCACGGCGCACGCAACGGAAGGCTTCAAAGATGAAATAATTTCTCCCGTTTTTTACACATTTACCACTATATCTTTGCTCCTATTGGTCGTAGCGTGATGTTATATAGCCTAAAGCCTTCCTCGATAACTGGACTATCCAACACAAAAAGAATTATTTAATTTGAAACAGTAGTTTCTCAACAAACAGTAGTTTCTCAACAAACTCTTCAACTTTATAATATTAGTATAGATTAACAGTTAAATTGACTATATTAAAACATCAGATATGTATGTCAATGACAAGTGTACATAACATTTGCTAACTATAAACAGTGCACGATTAAAAAGTCTACATACAAATTTAAAGATAAAATAAAAATATTACGTAAAAATCACAAAATAAAATTTAAAAAAATATTACTATATAAACATAGGAAAACATTAACTATTTCTGCTATTTTGTACAAAACTTTGTCAAAGTATTTTAATCAGAAGCCGTATCAATGGAAATCGCGAGATAGGAAAGAATTCTAGTAGGCAAAAAGAAAATTCGTAGTACTTATTAGTATTTATTTATTGGATCGCCAGCAAAGTACACACAAATACAACCATTTAAATTAATACAATTAAGATGCTATGTGCTACCTCAGTTACAGACAACTTCATGCTGAAATATTATTTAATTTATTTATTTAATACTTTTTTGCACACCACAGTCTCAATACAGACAATTACAAAAAAAAATACAAACTTAAAACTAACGGTATAACAAAAGGCGGCCTTTCTGGCTTATTAGCCATTTCTTCCAGGCAACCTGGGGTCAGAGGATTGTGTTTGGAGACAGTATAGGGTGGTACATTAGATATTCTTAAAATAAATATATAACCTAAACTCATACAAAAATAAATAGCAGTAATAAATATTCAATAATATACATACGTACATATATCAATAAATACATACATACATACTTATATATATACATATTTTTTTATTTTTTTATTTTTTTTTTCATGAAAAGTTAATAAATTTCTTCAGTTTATTAAAGAATAAGTCGGATTAAATACTCACAAGTGTTATCCCAGCTAAACATATGCATTTAGTGCTAATTTAAATATTCCACCTGCACTGTCCTGCCAGCTAAGCAAACTTTGTGTTTATAAATTACATAATTAAACTTTTCACAAATCATGGCAAACTATTATAATGTGATTGAGTCACAAAAGGCACTTGAATCGTTGTTGATGAAGAAGATGACTGAATTTGAGAAGCAGCTCAAGGCAAGTATCCCAGGAAGCAATGTCAGTGTTGCCGGTCTTTATGATGAATTCAGCTGCTTCAAGGACCATGTCTGGTCAATATTAAGCCTTTTGAGGCAACAGATCTCTGATCTCAATCAAGTTGTTGATAATATTGAAATGAGACACCGAAGAAAGTATCTGTTATTTAATGGTGTACCGGAGGAACCTAATGAGGATCTTTCAAATTCCATTTCTGATATCTGCAATGATAAGCTTGGTGTAAGAGATGTAACCAAGGATAAGATTATTGCTTGTCATCGTCTTGGTAAACATTCTGAGGGCAAGCATCGTCCCGTGCTTGTGAGGTTTGTCGACCTCAATCTGAAAACTGCTGTGTGGAAGAAGAAGGCTAGTCTTAAGGGCTCCCCCTTTGTGCTGTCTGAGTTTCTAACCCACCAACGTCAGGCGTTGTTCTTGCTCGCGCGCAAAAGATTGGGGATGAAGAACTGTTGGACATTAGACGGGAATATCATTGTTAAGCTTCCCGATGGCACCAGACACCGTATTGATACTGAGGAGAGCCTTTCTAAACTGACTGTTAATACCGATGTCGCTGCTGAGGCACCTTCAAGTGGAAATCAGGACTCATCATCAGGATACAATTCCAAACCCAAGCGAGCAGTGAGGGCAAAGAAATAGTGTTCCTCATATATTTATTTCTTCGTATTTTTTTTTCTTTTTTTTTTTATCATTGTATTTATTCGAGTATTAAGCTTTTTTGAAAATCTTGTTATTAATAACAAATCCCCAGAGCAATTTTGGTATCGTTGCTAAGGTAAGGGTATTCTTTATTTATCATGTACATATTTAAACTATAATACTTTTTACTATTCACTTAAGCTGCTCTGGTATTTTTGAATTGTAATTCAATTAATTTATGTTTTATTACTTCATTGGTTAATTTTAACTTAGAATTTTCTTCAGTATTTGTATAAATTACTTTGACGTTGACACTTGACATAAATAGTATCTTTCTCTATAGTGACAGTTGACAAAGACAATATACTGTGTTGCCTAGTCGTGCATGTATTCATAAATTGTAACAGATTATAAATTTAACGTGTCAACTAATCATATTATATTACAACTATATTTATTTTAACCTATGTAAATATATGACACTTTCATTTTTAATAATTTTTTAGTCATAGTAGATATGTTAGATATAGGTTTTCTATTGTAATAAAAAAGATTATTAGATTATGTACTTTGGTGTCGTTCTTAGAAATAATAATTAAGAATACCCTTGTTAACAGTAATTAAGGTTATCTGTCATTGTTAAGTCTACTGCTCTGGTCATTTAAATTTTAGTGTGTAATTTTTTTATTTTTTATTTCTTTAACTTTTTTTATTTTATTTTTTTTAAATTATTTATATATATATTTTTTTTTTGTTATCATTAGTGTTTATTGATTAGTACAGTTTTAATGTAACCGTCAGCTGGCGGGACAAGCAGGAATAATTGTTATTATTCTTCTTTTTGTTTGTTGGTTTTTATATATACCTATTTTTATTTTATTTTTTTTCATACATATATATTTAAATCCATTTATTTAATAATTAATTTATCGTATACGTATTTTTATCTTATTTATAATATAATTGTAGTATTATGTCTGATACAGATGATGATGTATTTTTATCAGCATGCAGTAGTAGTTGTTCCTCGTACACAGATGGTGATTCTTTCCATGTTCCTGAGACGCTTGGGACTTTGCTATGTAGTTCTTTTCTTAACTCTCCCAGCTCTTTTAATGTCTGTCATCTTAACACTCAAAGTTTACCTTCTCATTTCTCTGATTTTCTTGAAGCCTTTTCATACGCCCCTGTAGACGCAGTATTGATTTCCGAAAGTTGGTTGAAACCCTCACTTAATTCCACCTTATATAGTCTTCCCGGTTTTGTGCTGATTCGGAACGATCGGGTAGGCAAAGGGGGAGGAGGTGTTGCTATCTACCTTCGTTCGGATATTGCTTATACTGTTCTTTTTACTTCCCCTTCTTCTTTCTCGTTTTCTGCTGAATTTATATTCCTTGAAATCCGTCTCAGGGGTGTAAAAGCTGTTCTTGGAGTTATCTATTGTCCTCCTACTGTTGACTATTTCTCTTCACTTGAACCTATCCTGGAATCCCTTTCTTCGGATTACTCACATCATATTATAATGGGCGATTTAAACACGGATCTGTTGAAAACCACTCCACGTTCTCTTAAATTTTCCCAACTCATAGATTCGGTGAATTTCAACATTCTTCCCTCTGAACCTACACATCATAACTCTGACTCGCCTGACACTTGGTTGGACGTTATCATAGTTTCTTCTAAAAATTCTGTGATTAAATATGGACAACTTGCAGCTCCCGGGTTTTCTCGTCACGACCTTATATATTTATCATACAAGCTTAAGTCACCTAAAGCTAAAGCTCCAATAGTATCGATGCGAAACCTAGCTAAAATTGATCTTGAGGCTTTGAAAGAAGATGCAAGATCGCTGGACATGTCCTTGATGTACCGTTCATCGACAGTAGATGATAAAGTCTCTCACTTTAACTTGTCTATTTTATCACTGTTCGATAAACACGCACCTTTGAGACCTGTTAAGATCAGGCGTCCGCCTGCTCCTTGGATTACCAAAGAAGTCCGAATGGCCATGTCACGACGCGATCGCGCTTTCCGCAAGTTTAAGCGTGATAGGAGCAAAGAAAACTGGGATTTGTATAAGGTAGCTCGCAACAGGTGTAATCTAATGGTAAGAACAGCCAAACGCCACTATTGTCACGTTAATGTTAGCAATGCATCTTCGGCCTCAGTATGGAAATTTCTTCAAACACTAGGTATAAATAAACGGAATGAAGACATTGCTGTCTCTTCGTTTTCTCCTGATACATTAAACAGATATTTTTCTTCCAGTTCTCCGTTATCTCAAAATACTAAATTATCTACTATTTCTGAGATTGAATCCATGGCCTCTCTTCCTTTTAACGAATTAGTCCTTTCTCCAGTGTCTGATGATGAAATTCGTAAAATAATCATTTCAATAACATCTAATGCTACTGGTGTTGATAGTATCAATCGACCTATGATTTTACTTATTCTGGACTATGTACTGTCGGCTATTACTCATATTGTAAACTTTTCCATTTCATCTGGAGAATTCCCTTCCTTGTGGCGTACAGCTTACATCATTCCACTTCCTAAAGTTCCCAATCCTTCCCAACTAAATAACTTCAGACCTATTTCTATTCTTCCTTTTCTATCGAAAATTGTGGAGCTGTGTGTCTACAAGCAGGTCTCTTCCTTTGTTTACAATAATAATATTCTCACCTCATATCAGTCTGGCTTCCGACCAGGCCATAGCACAGCTACCGCTCTTCTCAAAGTATCTGAGGATATTCGGGTTGGCATGGAGAATAGAATGATCACCATTTTGGTCTTAATTGATTTTTCCAATGCTTTTAACATGGTTGATCATGATATCGTCCTGGCCATATTCAAGCATTTAAAATTTTCTTCATCAGCTCTGGAATGGTTCTCCTCTTATCTTCGCGGCCGCCGGCAAGCGGTTAGGCTGAATCAGTCCCTCTCCGAGTGGCTTGATCTTTCTGCTGGCGTTCCGCAAGGTGGCATTTTATCTCCTATTATTTTTTCTCTTTTTATAAATTTCCTTTCTTTTCATCTCGACTGTTCTTATCATTTTTACGCCGACGATTTGCAACTATACTCTAATTCAGAGATAGACAATATCGAAACAGCTATAAATAAAATAAATCAAAATCTTTCTTACGTTTACAACTGGTGTAATAAATTTGGCATTGTAGTTAACCCTACTAAGTGTCAGGCGATCATTGTTGGTAGCTCACGTCTCATGTCTAAGTTAAATATTTCTTCTTTGTCACCTATCGTTTTTAACAATACGACTATTCCATACTTCCACCGCGTTAAAGATCTTGGTCTTCATATTGATAGTACATTAAGTTGGAATGTGCATATTTCTGAAGTTAGTCGTTCTGTCACTGCCACGTTAAGGTGCCTTAATCGTTTAAGGAATTTTTTACCTATTAAAACTAAAATCTTACTTGTACAAGCCCTTATATTTCCTATTATAGATTACGCTGATGTGTGTTATCCTGATCTCAATGAAACCCTTTTGAACAAACTTGACCGTCTCCTAAATAACTCCTTACGTTTTATCTTTTGTCTTCGTAAATTTGACCACATTTCTCACTGTCGAGCAGAGCTCAAATGGCTTCCCATCCGCCAACGCAGAGAATTACGTCTATTGTGTCTTCTTTTCTCTATTCTTTTTGATCCCCAATCTCCTCTTTACTTAAAAGATAATTTTAAATTTCTCTGCGACAATCATGATCGACAGCTACGCTCTAATGACTCTCTCCTCCTCTCTTTTCCCAGCCACCACTCTGGTTTCCTCTCCAACTCCTTCTCTGTTAAATCTATCAGACTGTGGAATAAACTTCCACTAGAAATAAGAAAGGCACCTACAAGGGCAATTTTCAGGCGTCGCTTACAGGAACATTTTGCTCAGAATCTGTGTTAAGTCTCTGTTTTTATTATTGTTTTTGGTGTATTGTATTTGTATGTGTATGTATATGTATATGTATATGTATGTGTATGTGTATGTATATGTATGTGTATGTATGTGTATGTATATGTATGTGTATGTATGTGTATGTGTATGTATGTGTATGTATGTGTATGTATATGTATGTGTATGTATATGTATCTATATATATGTGTATATATTATGTATATATCAATAGAAATTAATATGTATATTTTTACTTTTACATACTACCGTCTTCATGTCTTTCTGCTTTGCCTAAGGGTTGACTGGGAGAGAATGCCTTCAGGCATTAAGTCCACCTTTTGTATCTACGTGTGTAGTTAGACAATAAAGATTTTAAATAAAATAAATAAATACTTACATTCATACATACTTACATTCATACATACAAATACATATAAATACATACATACAAACAAACATATAAATACATAATACATACATTTGTCATAATCATGTCGTCGTCATTACTCTGATGAGAGATATAGGTTCTTTAAGGATTTTTTAAAAGCATATAGGGTTTTAGACTGTCGAATGCTCAATGGTAGGTCATTCCAGAGAGTTATTGCCTGAACAGTGAACGACTTTCTGTAATATTTACTGTAATAGTAACAGAGTGCATGTAATCACATAGTTAACATTTTAGTTTAATTACTGTTCATGAAGAATGAACAATATTCTGTTGTAATAAGTGTTATAATTAATAGTAACAGCGGCCCGGCCATGATGACCCGCTCGGCCTTCCAAGATGGCGGCTGTTCCCCCCCTCCCTCCCCCGCGCGACCGGCCAGGGTGTACGCCTCCGTAGCAGACATGAAGAGGAACAGGAACAAGGTAAGCTAGAACTTCTTCTTCTTCTGGCAATTTCCCAGCTATACCCAGGGTCTGCCTTACATGTTGTGAATAGTTTTGGCTATTCGTTTTTACCACCGGCCGCCTGCCTGACATCAACCTTTTTTAGGAATGCATTAATCAGTGATGTCTTAGTACTCTTAGTGCATATGACTCGGAAAAATCACATTGATACTTGTCAGGGTCAGGATCGAACCCGCGCCTTCGTGCATGAAAGGCGGGCCTTTTAACCACTAGGCCACCACTGATTAAAGAACCAAGGTACTAGGACTACCCTCAATATGGTTGAATATAATATATTGGTCTGCAATATGACTACCCTCTATGTTAAGTGGCCTGCAATACCAATAGTATCAAAGATCCGTCAAAAACAAAGATATTAATTACTTGTTATTAGTGGTAATGAATAATAATGCCTTGTTAATGTCAGTGTTGGCCTAGTGGTTAAAGGCCCGCCTCTCATACACGAGGACGCAAGTTCGTTCTGGCAAGTACCAATGTGATTTTGCCGAGTCATATGTACTTTCTAAAAGTATTTAGACACCACTGACAGACAGTGAAGGAAAACATTGTGAGGAAACATGGACTTATAATTTCACAATTATAAGCTTGAAATCACCAACCCGACTTGAGTTGATTAATGCTCTAACCTTCTCCATATGGGAATAGGCCTTTGCTCAGCTGTGGATTCTAATAGGCTGATGACGAACACAAATAATGTCAAGAACACGTCGAAAACAAAAATATTAATTATTAGCAGGAATTAATACTAATATCTTGTTAAGATACTTACACAGATATTAGTATGTAGAGGAGCTCTGGATACACGTAACAGTCAGTCAAATGCTTTAATGAAACATCATTTACTTAACATTGTTTAGTGAAACTGAGTCTTATGATAATTATTAATAACATATATGAATGTATTGATTTAATAATTTTTTAGACCTTATTGCACTACATTAGGGTTTAATTTCCTCTACTCGTAATTTCATAAGTGTTTCTATTACCTATGTATCTATTCCCCAGTTGTACCGTGAGCCGGGTTCTTTACGGCGTGAGTTCCACTCGACCCCCGACCTGGCCGCGGAGCACGACGCACGACCACTCCGCACCAGGTCCAGTGAGGACGTACATGGTAACATATATACATATATACATACATACATACATACATACATATATAGCGGTTGAAGAGTACATTGAGATTCCTATTGCAGTATTTTAAGTTGAATTATATAGACAACAAAAAAAACGTTTGACAATCGTTTGAAATATTTCATAGATGTATTGATTTTGATATAAATAAAAAAATATATATGTATATATATACAAGGTGACTGGTGAATTACTATCAATATTTAAGGAGCATACTCGGTAGAGGTGGTAGAGTCTAGCTGTGGTTAAGTTACTATAACTCGAACATGAGCTGGCTCATCCGGGGAAGTATCACCCTCTCACAGAAGATGAGCGAACACTGCCCATTAGTAGACCGTCTGCTCGTTTACCACCTTTTACATAAAAAAACTATGTACTGTTAACGCGATTTTTTATTTTTTTATACATCTGGTTGAATATATTATAATGAATCATAATTGTCTATACATCAGAGTCAGTCCGCGGCCCCCCTCCGTCGGAGGCGCCCCCTCCCCCGCCGGGTCTGCCCGCGTCTTCGTTCCGTCCGTCGTCTGCCGCCAAGCTGTACGCCTCGCCCAGGGACCTCGCGGCCGTGGCTTACAGACCCACTACGGACACGGTAACTATATTAATGTTCAACTGATATTTGAATAAGGAATGTCCTTGTCATGTACTCTGTATTTAATATCTCTGTCTCTTTCTTTCTCTCACCGTCTCTCTCTCTCCAGGGTCGTAAGCCGGCTGGTCCCCGCGCTTGGTCCCGCGGCGCCCGCGCCCTGTCAGCGGACGCGGCGACCCACCAGTACGCTCAGCCGGTTATGAACAATACATTCGCGAGACAGGTATGATAACACACTAATAATTCTTTTGTTCACAAATTAATACAAATAGAGTAAATTGTGGGAAATTTTCCAAAGAGCTTCCATACATTTAATGGTCTTGCCAATAAATAAATTCGTCATACATCTCTTTACCAAAGGATAGATTTCGTCTAACTTGTATGTAATCATTTTATTTCAATATATAACTCGTAATGTTCCAGAATTCCACGCCAGCGCCTCCCATCCCCGAGCCGGACTACAGCATGTCTGAGTCGGACGAAGAGACCAACAAGACGAAGATAGAGGCGACCACCGTGACTGAGAACAGCGCCAACAGTAACACTAGGTGAGAAACATAAACAACTGGTACAGAAACTTATTGGCTTTAGAGAGATAATGTTTGTGAAACTTTTCAGGATATACGCTACCATTTACGAAATCGATGACGACCGCTATTAGATTAAATTGCATGTTTGTTCTCGAGGTATAGTTGTTTGGATATTATCTTGTCCGTCCGGGATCTCTGTTCACTGTTGTCATTGTATCAGTCCTCTGCCGTGTTTCATGTCGCCTTGTATCCGTATTCACAAATAACATAGTTTTGTCTTGAAATATATTTGTCTCGTCATAATGAGATCTAAGATTTTCGCGAGTACCTACTCATTTAAATGAAACTAATGTTCTCAGATTTTACTTTGAGTTTTTTATTTTTGATTACAAACTACATACATACTCAGACACTCACATCTCGTTTGCCCGTGATCACGGTTGCTGAAAAGTAGCCGAAACGTCGGGAATTTGTAGTTTGTAATCAAAAATAAAAAACGCGAAGTTAAATCCGAAAATATTAGTTTCATATGTATCGTCATTTTGAAGTAAAATAGGGTCTTAGAAACGTCAGGGTTAATTACAGGGATGAGTGTTAAGATATCTAATATTAGAATGTTATGTTTCCAGCGGCAGTAGTTCCGGTTCCAGCTCCATGCAGCACTCGTTCTCCGTGGACGAGATACAAAAGATCCGCACGAGGCTGAAGTCGTCCAAGTCGTGCGGGGACGAGCTCGGCGCGGGCGCGGAGCGGGAACGGGACGACGGTGACAACTCGTCGTCCGGAGTGTCGTCCGACCAGGAGGCGGCGCGGCCGGCCAGGAGGGACAAGGTGTCCTTCTGTAGCTCCGTGACCGTCAAGTCCTCCAATGACGTCATCAGCACCGAGCCCGTGCACAGCTCGACCGAGAGCCTCGCGCCGCCACCCATGAGGAGGCACAACTCGCTGACACGCAAGCGAGCGGCCGCCGCACTACTGCGGGGCGCGGCGCGGGGTGCGGGGGGCGCGCGCTCGGCGGCCGAGCGGCTCGGAGTGGACGTGGGTAAGGCGCCAGGGCGGCGTGCTCGCGGCGTGTCGCTGGCCGAGCTGCCGCCGCCGCCCGAGGAGCCGTCCGCGGAGGACGCCGCGCCGCCCGTACTAGCGCCGCCGCCTCAGTTCAGTGACCGCGTGCGTGTGGTCGCCGCGCTGCCCAAGCTCGCCCACCTCCAGTAGTCGCCCTCATCAGCCACTCGTCTCACTACACTACTCGGTCGCTCGAGTTCTCCTCCCGTCTATTTCAACCACATTCTCCAAGCCGAGGTCTCGTATCCTCGGCTGTAGGTACCGGTCGAGCGTCAGACGGCTGGGCCGCGAAGTGAGAGCACTTTTTGTAATCAAATGACTAAATGAAACCAAAGATTTATAGTATTTATTGTTGAGGAGTTAACATTGATATAGTTGAGCTAATTTTTATACATTCCCTTACTGTCTGTATTATTATACTCTGTACACCTCGTCGTTATTGTCTGTATTCTCCGAAGTGTCAAACTCAATCGTTTTCATTTTTATTTTTATTTCTCCATCTTTCCAACGCAACCAAGTGCCATCGTGTCTTTGAGTTATTTTAATATTTTTATATGTATATGTAAATATTATCGAGATCTATTTTGTTGAAAGAGTGGACGATATACTGTACATACAAACTGCATCCGGCCAGCGAGAGCGAGATATGTGAAGTTTTAAACGCATCATATTTATAAATCGATATATTTATTTAATTTAAATTATATTTAAAATGAGAATGATATTATTTATTTATTAATTTCGTCCACGTGTAACGAGCAGTCCACTCTTTTGGCGGGTTTTTATTAACGTGTGCAAGGCGGACGTCATCTTGAATGTGTTCTCTGAAGATTATCGAATGCTTTATCGCGTCATCCGTTCCAATATTATGTACATTTTTTATATTAGCCTGTCTGTAACGTGGTTTCCATTGTACTTCAAGAACTACCTATCCTCGAACTCAAGAGGGAAGGCGGAAAGAATCAATAGCATAAATAAACAGACACAATATTAATGACATAGGGATCATGTTACAAGACGGATGTTATATTTTACGAATATATATAACACCAATATTAAGTGTTGTGTTCAGATCGTTTGCGTCTCGTGAGTCGTGTTTTTCTTATAAAGTAGGCTGCGGAAATATTATTTACAAAAAGACATGACGTGTTGAATTCATTTTCGTCTTGAAAATTTATAAAACTGTCAATTGTTCTTGAAAGATTGATATTCTTTTACAGAGTCGTGATTTACATTTAACTATTTGAACTATGTATTTGAAGCGGTCATCGATGTTTTTAGTACGGACTGACCAGTCAGCTATGGCCTATAATCTATACGATACAGTTTACAGAATATATAAAAGTTTTAGGTGATGTAGAAGGTAATCAGTCTCCAAGGACTTGAGGCACGCAGCGATGCTTCCTTAGCTCATAGTACATACAAGCCGTTCCCCAACACCTTATATATATAACAAACAACTCGACATACAACAGGCCTGGATATTTTGCAATTGACGTCGACTCGTTGGCGGTAGAACTTAGGAATTGCCAGTAATGGAATTATTTACACTTTCTAGATCCGAGTGCACACAGGGATAGGCGTTTACGTTATTTTAATGACAATTTTGATAAATATACAATTTAAACGATTATAGCTCGATAATAATAAGAATCTTACAATGTTTGTGATTTATAGACTTGACTGTATGAGAATTGAAATACATAAATCGGTTAGAGTTTTTTGGATTTAGACGGGGTCCACGTCTGTGTGTACTCGGGGTAATTTTAGCCAAAATTCTAGCGATATAAACTAGATCGAGTCGATTATTTTAGCGGGTTGACGTAAAGCCCTTATATTATTAGCACAATCAATTGATTTTCATTAATTATTATTGAGTTATATCTTCTTGTCATTAATTTAAGTTGTATAAATGTATTGTCTACTTAAGGCATAGATAGGTAGTGGTAATTATATTAGGGAAATATCGATGATTCTAGATTTAACGGACGGATTGTATGGCGGGCTTTGGCGATGGATATACTTTATAATAATAAGCTATCAACTTTGTTGTGCCTGAATATTCAGTCTTTAATCAACCTCGTGAAGTATATCGATGGCTGGAGCCCGCCGCATTTTATATTACCACCAATAGTTTCATTTGAATCTCAGTATCGGACGTTTAACTGCAACTTGGTATACTTTCAAATGAAAAATAAATGTTTCATCACTATGTATGGCTTTTATTTAATATTCATAGCTCATCAACCTTCAAACAAATTGTAGAAACCCATTAATTCAGTCTCCTGATGAAAAATAGCCTCTTGGTATTCTATAGAAGACACTTTAGAGGTTGTGCCAAGAAAATATATGTTTTAATTCCTACATTCCCTATATGTCGTTGCACAAACAAACACGCTTAGGTCCAACATCTTTTCGGAGCACACCTTTTTATCCGAAATAAGCAATATGCCAATGAGGAAGGCAAAGAATTGAAAGTTGCTCTGCCTCTATGTAACCTTGCCATTATAATTGGCGTGTTTTAAGGTACTGAGATGGTGTGTTCATTACTTATAAATACCACCTAGCATTAGATAGAAAGATAAATATTAACTGGATAGTTCCAGTTATTTAAAAATACTACATTTAAAGATAACACTGTTTCAAAACCGTTATCACATTTATATATATCAGTGAGACATTTTTTTATCCGTCCAAGGTCGACTATAAAAATGTTATCAAAAATCAAACAGAATATATATATTTATATGTCATTTATTGATTTAATTGTTTTATCAGTATGGACGGATTACTATCACAGTGTCGTTTCATTCTGAACCTTATTGACTCGTCTTAGAGTCCAAGTATAGCGACACGTCATCTATTCTCATCAGTCGTCGATAATCCACTGATTCGTTACACATCGGACACTTGCCTTCCTCGGAGAGAATTCTGGAAATTATAATTGTTATTAATAACAATATAATAGTAGATAATTGTTGTTTAACTTATATATAAATAACAGAAAAGTATTTTTACCAGACCATAATCTTATAAGTTATAACTTACTCCTTGAATTCTGAATATATAGCAGGGAAATCACACTCTGGACATGCTGTTAAATCCTCCTTCTCAATATGAAGACCCTGTGGATAAACCAAAGAACATATTTATTTTTAAGATTAGTGAAATCGAACACAGTATGTTCGGAAATATATCCTTATCACACATCACTTTATATCTATGGTCGAATGTTGGGATATTTTCTATTCTTTCATATTTTTAAAGCACGCTGTCTTTAAGATTTCAATAAATATATTAGTCCGGACAAATTAGACATTCGAGATTACATAAATTCCCACCAAGCTGAAAATCAGTAAGATTGTTTGAAATATCATTAAAAACAAAATTAGAAAGTTCCAAATCTTTCCCCTGTAAGGAAAAAATTTTATTCGAGGTCAAAGGTAAACAAAATGAGTTTTTCAAAAAGGTAAACAAACAGTAGAGGATCCGTTTAATTCCAACGATATCCATTTAATTCCAACAAGCAGTTTCATGCATGCATGCATGCATCGCTATTATATATATTATATAATATATAACGCAGTTTACATCCACGCAGGATGAAGATGAAGAAGAACAAGAAGAAGATTTTGAAAATTACGACATCGGACGATTAAATTTCACTACTTTTTTTAACTTAAATTGCTTTTATCTTTGCAATCTCTGCTAATATCCATTATTTATCAATAGTTTCACATTAAACAAGATCAAAATTGACCCGTGGAATAGAGCTACTGGGGAAGATACAAAAAAAAAGCTAAGTACACTACCTCATAGGTGGCGAGGAAACGTGTACATATTATGACGATTACAACTTTTTGAATCGTCATATCTCAAAAACGGTGGCTCGTAGAAAAAAAGTATTACTAAATTCTTTGTAGATTTGAAAATCGCGAAAAACTCATTTTGTTTACCTTTGACCTTGAATAATTTTTTTTCCTTACAGGGGAAAGATGGGGAACCTTCAAATTTTGTTTTTAATGATATTTCAAACTACTAATAATGTATAGTCATCTTACAGTGGCTATACAGAAGGGCACGTCGTCCTCACAGCTGCTGCATGTGAGCGCAGAGCGGACCAGCGGCGCGTCACAGCGGGGACACGGGGAACGGGGCGCGGGAGGAGGGGAGCCGCGCGGGGGGTGACGGACTACTGACTCCACCTTCTTTATGTACTTGGGGTCGATCTGAAAACGTATATAATAGGAAATTTTTCTATTTCCCTTCCAAAGTTACGTTAAATGTTTAACGCAACCTTGTTAGAATTCGCATAAGAAGTTTCACTTCAATAAGATGTATGTATTTAGTTTAGTATATCGATATGTGCGATATATAAATGACAATCTCGAACACCTGCATATGTTGTATCTCTTACTATAGTTATACCTCACATAAATATTTATTATTGTAACGTTTAATAGTCCCCCCACCTTGTTCCTGTATCGCGGCTCCATCAACACGCGCGCCCACTGGTGCGCCTGGTGCTTCATGCCGGCGCGCACACACTCGATCACCGTCGACGTTAATATTGACACTTGGTCTATAACGAACATACATATATTATATTAACATCTTCCTTTTGAAAAATTACTCTATGACCACATAAAACAACAAAAAATTGTCACATTTGTTGTGAGACAGCAAGAAGCAATTTGTATATATTTTTTCAAAATTGACATTACTGTCTTCTGCACTTGCTGATCAACTAGTGACAAAGAGTTAAGCAACATCAGATGCAGTCAAACTTTGGATGGGTGACCACATAACTGTTATAAAGACAACACGTAGGGAAATAAAATTATTAGTTGGCATGCAAAAGACTATACTTATGTTTTAAGTACTGTCACGTACGTTGTTCTGTAGGGAAGAAAGATACTTCAGATGCCGTCCGTAGCAAGAGGACGGCCGCCAGGTCGTGACGCGAGCGACGCACGTGAGTCCGCACCTTCAATACAATATAACAGTAGTTAATACTAATATAATTCATTTCATATGAATAAATCCTCTATATAACATTAACACAATATGAAACACACTAATTCAGTGGTGGCCTAGTGGTTAACAGGTCCGCCTCTCATGCATGAGGGCGCGGGTTCGATCCTGGCAAGTACCAATGTGATTTTTCCGAGTCATATGTGCTTTCTAAGAGTATTTAGACATCACTGATTAATGCTAATTCCCAAAAGAGGGTTGATGTGAAGGCGGCCGGTCGTAAAAACAAATAGCCAAAACTATTCACAGCATGTAAGGCAGACCTTGGCTATAGCTGGGAAATTGCCAAGAAGAAGAAGAAACACACTACTGAATCTCTGTCTCGCTCGCACATCATCTCTCTCACTCACCAGTATATAAGAGTGCAGCAGCGCCAGGTGGTGCATCAGATCTCTAGGAGGCGTCGCGCGACGTGTTCTCAACGCACAGACAAGCCCTCGGGACACGTCGCGAGCCTCGCGGTATCTGCCTACGGCGCACTCACTCGCACATACAACTACCTATAAAAGAAGAATGTATATTGAATATAACATTTTATTTGCCTTCATATGAAGCGATGAGGAGTTAATACTCAATTGATGGCTGGAAATATTATGAAAATGTCTTTGACTACAATTTTTAATTAATAACTTATGCTTGTAATATGAAAAAGCCAAATAATGTATTTACCGCTGTCTTAGCAGCTTCAGTGAACTGCTTTTTGGCCATATATAGACGGAAAAGGTGGCGCGGATCACGAGGGTTGCCGTCCATGTCGCCCAGAAGAAACTCTATTAACCTGATGGAACGAAACTCTTATAAGAAATCTAATATATTTTATAATGGTAATCATTAATATGCTTTCTACACTCTGAAAGTTATTTATGTATAATTTGTCATAGGAAACTGTTTTGGTTTAAGGTTTAATTATGTACAACATTTATAATTATTTATAGCACTGTTTGTTTCCAAAATATAAATAAATAAATAAAAAAGTCCAGCGTTACTTGCAGTAATATCTTACGAAATGGCTGAAACCAGTATTTATAGTTTTCAAATACACGTTGATATTTAAATGTTACCATCACAAATTATAATTAATTACAATGAGTCAGAAAAACAATTCTATGGATTATCGTATACTAGCTGTTCCCCGCGGTGTTGCCCGCGGATTTCCGGGATGTAAAGTATCCTATGTGTTATTTCTGGACGTCAGATTCCTGTATACAATATTTTATCAAAATCGGTTAAGCCGTTTGAGCGTGAAGAAGTAACAAACATACACACACTCACAAACTTTCGCAATTATAATATTAGTAGGATCATAATTAGTACAGCACGGATGGCTCCACTTATAACAATATTTTCAATGGTTATATTACTTATGTAATACCTCCTAGTTAATCTCTCATCATCACTAGCGGCAGCAGAGTCTATAGCGATGGTAATAGCTTCGTTTTCATCGTTCTCCGTAGCACCCGCCTTCAGTAGATGTGTCATGGCCTTATTATAATCTCCCGCGTGGTAATAATACTTGCCGGCCAACAGACTGTTCTTTTCCCCTTCGAAGTGTAACGCCAAACTCCTGAAATCCTCGGCCCTCGCATGTGACGTCTGTATCAGAATTTCTCCGTATAAATGCAGTTTCCCATTCTTACGCGCCAATTGAAATGCTTCGTCATAACAGAGGGACATAACTAAGAATTTTATAGCCGACGTCGGATCGTCGCTGTTTTGGAAATAATTGGCCACCATCTTCGCCCCTTGCACCGATTTGGTCTCTTGAACCAGATTAACGGCTTCGTCTATATCATCTAGTTTGTCCAAGTTCAAGCGAATGGCTGATTCAAAGTCTTGAGCTTTCAAATACGATTTTAAGGCATCTCCATATCTGCCTTCAGCCTCTTTTGCTTTCGCATATTGCAGGTGTATGCTCGGCGAATGGATTTTGGGTAGTAGAGCCTCTACTTTAAGCCAGGATTTCAGTTTAATGTACAGCGAAGCAGCCTTTTCAGTATTCCCTGCATGGTCGTACAACGCCGCGGCGTGGCTGTATTGTTTTTCTTCTACTAGTAACTGGGCGCAGTCTTTAAGTAAATTCGGATAGTGTGATAGTTTCATAGCAGTAGTAACTCCTCTCATGACGTCACCACATCGTATAGAGGTCCGAGCTATACCAGCTTCACACTTCTCGTTATGTTCTTTCACTTTAACGTCGTCTAAGTTTTCTGTTATAATACTCTTCTCATAATTCGCGAGAGCTTCGTGGTAATCGGCCCTGGAATTTGCATATTTTTGGGTGAACAACAAATAACAACAAGTTGGGGACTAAAAACATGATTTTAATACAAAAATCATATCGATATTGTTCTAATGAGTAGGGACTAGGATTGCAAAATTATTGATATACTAGAAGACCCGGCGAACTTCATATTGCCATATTTTTTATTTATATTTTTGGAGTTTACCTATTAAAGCCATAAATCTCCGTGTTTTGAAGTGCGACAGAATGATTGACATATTAGTTAGTTGTCAAATCTAATGTCAAAAAAAAACGTTTGTATCAACAACTACTAATAAATTAAAAATTAATTAAAAATACATTGTCCAGCGGACAAAATAGTGAATCTAAACCAGTCCCAGATGCCCTTGAACGCACACAAAAAATTTCATCAAAATCGGTCCAGTCGTTTGAGAGAAGTTCAGTGACATACACACTCACAGAAGAATTATGTTTATAAAGATATCAAATTTCAGTCACTCACGTGAGTTCCAAATGCTGTGCCTGATGTAGCGCGGTGTATGGTACTCGTGAAGGGCAGGTGGTGGCTGCCAGGTCAGCCGCTCGTCCCCACTCTCCCCTCGCTGCATATATCTCTAACGCCCTCACCGGTGGTCCATTTTCCAGCCACCGAGCGGCCGCCTCTCCTTTATCAAGACACGCGCATAACATCCCACTGAAAGCAGTATGATACAATTAAGTGACTCTACATGACACAAATAATTAGAACCTTATATAATACTAGCTTTAGCTACCAGCTTCGCCCGCGTGGAGTTCGGTTATATCGCGTTACCAAGAGAACCTTTCAAAAGTCTTGGATAAAAACTATCCTATGTTTTTTCTCAAGGTCAACCCCATCTCTGTACCAAATTTCATTAAAATCAGTTCAGTCGTTTAAGTGTGAAGAAGTAACAAACATACACACACACTCACAAACTTTCGCAATTATAATATTAGCAGTATTGTCGACTTGACATGGCCCATTTGAACTGAATTCTTTGGCTTCTTTAATAATAATTTAGAAACAAATGCTTTATTTTAAATATGACTAATATTTTTGGCTGTACTACTACGAATTGCTATTAAAGTATACTTATAAATTATAGAGTAGTTATTCTATACTAGTTATAATTTTAATTAGCCATCATTATACAGACAGACAGAGTTATTCTCGCATTTATAATATTAGTAGGGATTCATAATATAGAACATTTCGTTCACCATAACACGGGTATCTCCTCTATATGAAGCGCGTCCTCCAAGGCCCAGACCATGGCGACGTCGCTAAGTCTTGTATACACACGTATCGCTGAAACATATAGATAGATAGAAACTATTATATATCTTCTTCTACCTGGCAATTTCACAGCTTTAGCCAGGGTCTGCCTTACATATTGTGAATAGTTTTGGCTATTCGTTTTTACGACCGGCCGCCTTCACATCAACCCTCTTTGGGAATGCATTAATCAGTGATGTCTAAATACTCTTAGAAATACATATGACTCGGAAAAATCACATTGGTACTTGCCAGGATGCATGAGAAACGGCCTTTTAACCACTAGGCCACCACTAACTTTTAATATCCAGACAAAATCACAATTTTATATCAGATTAGTTAGTACTTAGCATATAAAAAAATCTTAATATTTTTTTTCTCTTCATAATGAAAATATGTAAAAATACTGAGTTACTAAATTCAACTGTTATATTTAAGAGATTTTATTTATATGAGAAAGTATATAGACATACATATTGTAGTAGTAATTAAATAGCCATGTTTGCATACAATAGACATGACGTCTGTATGTCAGTCATGTCAGTCACACAATATCATATATATGTTCGTCTAACCGAATTCTACAGCTAGTTCGGCCACAGCCGCCTCTCCAAGTTTCCTCCACAAATCCTCTTCATCCACAGCGTCACAGAACAGCCATGCTTCAGTGAATCGTCTCAACAGCAGCAGTTTATTGATATGCTGTCTCTGGTTCAGCACACGTTTCTCTGTATCAGCATCAGCCAGACCGCTCGTGTTGTGAGAATCAAGAGGTATTCTTAAAACGCTGAAATTATACACATTCAGTTTTAGGTGATGGGGTGAGATGAAAATTACAGCATTATTTGAATTAAGGGACTTAGAGGTCTTTAATATTCAGAAATAAAATACTTAAAAAATAATAAGACTCAAAATTAAGACCTAATTTGATTTGAACTTTTCTATCTTATCTGCTGGTGAAATAACTTAGATGGCTGATGGAATCAAAATAGTGAATGTCATAGACTACACACATACAAGTTGTCCCTATAGAAATAAAGACGTCATCATTGGCAAAATATCAAACAATTCCAATATGAATGAAGCCATAGCTGGCAAAAATTTCTTCCTAACCCTACAAGTGTATTAAATTATATAAGTCAATACAAACCCGCCTCCGCTTGAATAACAGTACACATCACCAGAGAACAGGATCAATAGCACTTGCTCCATGGCGGTTGTGGCCACGAAATCAACGTGCGGTCCATCGATAGAACTCGGCGAGTAACAGTACGTGTGGACCGCCTCGCCCGTGTACACCGCGAACACGTTACGATCAGACAGACAGATGTCCCATACCGCGGATTTAACGCTGATAAGAAAACATATTTTATGGCCTATATTTTTGGTAGGACATTTCATATTATATGTGATCTAGCATTTTAGACTTCAACTGATCGTCTAAGCCATTATTCTTATGATTTTAACATAATTCATTAGATATCAATAAAATGGGTATCCATAGAGTGTTTTAAAATCTTTGTCTTATTTGTTAGTGTGATGGGTCTGTTTATAAACGGCTGAACCGATTTTGATAACACTTTCCCTGACAGATAGCTAACGTATGTAGAGTAAAACTAGTATAAGGCTATATCTACACTCGTACATGTGTGTATCGACCAGCGCGCACAGTTCCCCGGCGGGCGCGCTGTACACGTGCGCGCGGGCACGTCCGTCCACCAGCAGCGCCCGCGCGCCGCTGATGTCGCAGTGGAGGGAGCGCGCGCCCGCCGCGTGACGGTAGCGGGAACACGAGCACCAGCTGGTGATACTGAAGTACTCGATGTGACCTTGCTGGGGAGGGGGGAGGGGGGCAGAACGTCACACAGAGCTCTTATTATTTATTATATACAATATAAGGACGACCTTACAGGGGCGAGGGAGGGGGGCAGAAGATCAGATATATGTATTAAATATTAGGACTACCATCATTATTATACGTTAAAATATGATGATACGAATAGTGTATCCGCTATATAAGTATAGCTGTATATCGTTTTGAATCAACACAGTTATAAATTTCACGTCCGTCCCAATATAAGGTTAAATAATGTGTACATTGCTTAATTCACAGACTCGAGTCACAACTGCTTAAACGGAAGAGTGATTGAAACGAAATATTCCATAGGTTTCATATTGGAATCTAGTTTATGGAGACGTATTTGTCATACTTTATTTTCTATTTCTATCTAAATTCCAGTATTAAAGACCAATAAATATTTTAATGCTGTAACATTTGCATGTTACACAAAATTATTATAATAATATATGTGTCTAAAAAGTGTATAGAAACTATGTATCAGATGGTTTAAACATTCATAATCATAGACAAAAACTTTTACTTTACAAAAATATATATAACTTACAGTTAAAGAACAAAACTAAGTTAGATACTACTAACATCAGTGACGAATATAAAGAAGTCGCTTGTGAGATGTATGTCCACGATCCTCACGCCGCTCATGTGCTGCTCAGGGAACAGCATGGCCTCGCGCTCCGCCTCACACGACGACGCTTCGATCTAGAACAAATAATAAAGACAATTACTATTACAGACTGTAGAACCTTCTATCAGAAGTCAAAAGTTTCCTAGTGGTTAAAACGCCCGCCTCTCATGCATGAGGGCGCGGTTTCTATCCTGGCAAGTACCAATGTGATTTATCCGAGTCATATGTACTTTCTAAGAGTATTTAGACGTCACTGATTAATGCATTCCCAAAGAGGGTTGATGTCAGGCAGGCGGCCGGTCATAAAAACAATTAGCCAAAACTATTCACAACATGTAAGGCAGAGCCTGGCTAAAGCTGGGAAATTGCCAGGTAGAAGAAGAATGTAGGACCCCTCTATGTAAGAATAACTAGTCACTGTCTCACTACTACCCCGCCTAGAGCGCACGCACGTCCCCGTTCTGCTCCGCGCTAGTCGTGTCACTGCCGAGCGCATGCCGCCCCCTCTAGTGGGGTACATGAGACAGTGTATTATATATTATATAGATACAAACACTACAGATACTATACAATAAACTTTGCAACTTTAAAAAAAGATATACCGAATGCAACATGGCTTTGCCGTCGAAGAGTGCGGCAGCGTAGCCTCCCGTGGCAGTGAGGGCGCTGGGAGCCCCCGGGTAATGTCTACGGTGAGGGGACCCGCCCCCCAAAGGCACGAACCACCCCACCACACCAGATGAGCAGCACACGTGAGAACCCCCTAGAGACAGCAGCTCGGGCTCCGTAGGCAAGCTGTACGTGGCTAGGGCTGCCGGCTCCGCTGTAGGGAAATAGATAATATTATTATCTCTTAACACTTCATTTTCATTCTTTTAATGACTCTCTGCCCAAAATATGAGGAACTTCCCTAAAATACTAACAAAAAAACTAATATTTGATTTTGAAGTACATTACCATAAATATTACAGTAAATCAAATTTAGAGTTACATTTATTAACCGCGTCGCTGTCATCTCCAACGCCGATACATTGGTAGACTGTAACCTCCGTGAGATTGGTGAGCGTGACAACCCTGGTGCCGTGCGACGCGTGGAGCGGAGGCAGCGCAGACACGTACACGCTGAGGTATCCCCTGCCAGCCGTGGCCAAGAGTCGCCCGTCTGCACTCCACTCAACCCTCTCACTACCGCCCACTGGAACTATGGAACCACAGACCTCACCACTGTTCCACACCGAGATGAGCTTAAGTCTGGAATTATGTTAAGAAAAACCAACAATAAATATATAATAAACTAGCTGCGCCCCGCGATATCACCCGCGGATATCAGGGATTTCCGAGATTTCCGGGATGTAAAGTAGCCTATGTGTTATTCCTGGACGTCAACTTCCTGTATACAAAATCTTATCAAAATCGGTTCAGCCGTTTGAGTGTGAAGAAGTAACAAACATACACACACACTCACAAACTTTCGCAATTATAATATTAGTAGAATAATTTTCAATAGTTTTAATTAGATCACTTACTGGCCATCCCCACATGATGCAGCCTGTCCATTGAAAACTGCCACATCGGACAGATTCTCCTTGTGATTTTTCACTTGGAATAATTCCTCACCAACTTCTTTTATGTGTGTTGATATAGCAATGATATATCCACCGCTGAATCCTATGAGGATGTAACCATCTCCATACCATTTGTATGATACTATCGCTCCATATCTCTGTTGGAATGCCAGCTCAATCGGATTCTCTGGATTCAAGAGATTGTATAAATACAGAGTCCGTTTTCCAACAATAAGACTTATCTATGAAAAAATACAACTATTAACAACTGTAACATAATGTAATAACTAATTAGGAATTTTTATACTCACAGTATTTTCTCCTGAAACTCTTTCATCGGTCTTCATTTCTGAAAATTGTAAATCATTTGGTATGTCTCTAAGTGATATCATTCTAAGTGTGTCTCCGTCGGAATTGTTTATTGATAAGTTCTTATCGTCTGAGGCAAGTACCAATATACTGTCACGATTCCATGCTGCACATGTAATCTTCTTTGTATGTTTGCCTAATATAGGTATTCTCCTGAAACATTATATTAATTATACATTTACTTGAATGAGTCATGTTTAACTCATTTAAGTTTAGTTCACAGCCTTCGGTAAAAATATACATATATAAGTGTCCAAATCTTGCGACCTTACTTAGTAGTGTGATGATTGTACAAAGCCAGATTTCCTTTCTGCGTCCCAATAGCTAACAATGGTTCTCCATAGTACCATGCCAGACATGACGGAGCCTCTCGGAGCCCTGTCTCTATATTGATCCGTTTATTAGAATGACACTCCCAAAGTAGCACAGTATTACTGTTTGGTGTAATGACTGCCAAATAATCACCATCATTATCCCATTCCATACCAGAACATAAGCTACAACAGAGTATTTAAGAAAGAGGTTTATAGTAATGAGGTTCTATATTAGAAAAAAAATGTTTTTATATACATTAGTGATGTATATGTGATTAAAATTTGAAATTATACCCTGGTAGTTTAATTCTTTCAAGTAATTTTCCGCCTCTATCGTGTATAGCTACTGTCGCATCAGTGCCAGTGGTAGCAAGAAGTGAATGAGATTCGCCTTTTTGCCACTTAAAGTACAGTTCGCCGAGCCCGTGTGGTTGTTCAATTGTGTATAAGAGCTTGAATAGCAAAATAACATGTTAAAAGTATTTACTATATAATACAATTCTATGGAATATTGAAAGCTAATACCAACCCTGGGAGTCGTCATTTTGAAACCTACACGGCTATTCAATATCAATAATAGTTTTCAAATCTATTTTTCTTAAAACTCTAATAGGTACATCTAATAAAATTAATCGTTTATATTTTTGTTTATGATATACATAGTTGCTAAGCAACCGCAACCACCAACCATAGCCAAAACATAAAAGCGCGAAACAATACCATTTGCATAATTTATTGATTTGATGTCAGTATTTTTAAAAGAATTTGTTAAAAATAATCCATTTAATTCTTAACTTCCGACGAACAAATTTAGAGAGTTCAAGGAGATTTCAAGAAAAAAACTTGTCATACATGTTTTTTGAAGTTTTTAAAACAGTAGAAATTTAGTTAAATATAGATTAAAACTTTTACATAAGCAAAATAGTTCTATGTAATATGTAAGAAGAAAGACTTTCTTACATATTACATACAAGTTATACTATTTTATTGCAGTTTTACGGAAATATGATAAATGTTGTTAGTTTTATTTGGTATTATATATAAATAAACCTTATAACATTTGTTAAAATCTTCTTCAGAAAATTGAAAAAAATGATGCGCTTTGCTTTCTAATCAAAAATGAAAAGAAAATTAAAAATTATTAAACACTACAATAGAAAACGAAAATGAATTTAATATACCTACTCTAAGAACATTAAACTACTATTGGCAATACAGATTTTATTAGTTCTTATGTCAAAGTCAATCTAAAAACCTAAAGTAGGAAACTTTAAAATGAAAACTTAATTTAATTTGTGAATTAAAAGAAAACTATTAGATCAAAGTTTTCAACACAATAAAAGTATTTTTGTAAATCTTCTGATTTAAATCAATGAATCTTGAAAATCTCATTAATAATGAGCACGAAACTTAAAAGACTTTTAGTTGAGAATGTATAATTTAAATTAACTTATATTTTATTATTTACGTCTTAATCTTCATTTTAAGTAATGTCTCTTTGTTTCAGGCTAGTCAATTAACCAATAGCAGTAGAAATGTTCTGGGCAGCTTGAATAATATGCATGTGTCGTATAAACACAATGAAAATGTTTTTATTGTAAATTTATCTTGCAAAGACATACATACACTAGAAAAGAATGCGGTAACGGATAGTCAAATAACGTTTGATGTGAAGAGAAATGTATTTATTAAAACTGTGCTAGACAATTTAAAAAACGTAAAAACAGCAATAAAACCTAAAAAAGTTGTCATCGATTTCAGTTCCCCAAACATAGCCAAACCATTTCATGTCGGTCATCTTAGATCTACAATAATTGGGAATTTCATAGCAAATATTAACGAATATTATAATAATAATGTTATTAAATTAAATTATTTAGGTGATTGGGGAACACAATTTGGTTTTTTACAATATGGCTTAAAAAAAAAGAATATCACACTCAATAGCCTTAATAATCCAATAAGAACTCTGTACGAAGTGTATGTCGAAGCTAACAAGTTAGCACAGATCGATGAAAGTGTATCGATAGCAGCAAAAAAATACTTCTCCGACATAGAACATGGTAAAACAGATTTAGATAACTGGAAGAAAATAAGAGACATAACTATTAAAGAATTAGAGAATGTTTACCAAAGATTAGGAGTAAAGTTCAATGAATACCATTGGGAATCAGATTATAACGGAAAAGCTATTAAAGGCATATTGGACAAACTGCAAGAGTATAATATTGTTACATCGGATAGCACAGGGAAGAAAATAGCCAAAGTTAACGATAGGGATGTGACGATTTTAAAGAGTGACGATTCAACATTATATATTACAAGAGATATAGCAGCACTTCTTGATAGATATGAAAGGTATAAATTTGACGACATGTTGTATGTCGTAGATAATTCACAGACGGACCATTTTGTTGCCGTTTTTGACATTGTAAGTAAGTTAAATAAGAATGCTGCTGAATGCTCGAAACATATTAAGTTTGGTAGAATCAAAGGAATGAGCACCAGAAGTGGTAATGTTGTATTTCTCAATGACATATTAGATGAAGCCAAGCATAAAATGTATGAACAACAAAAGATATCTAAAAGTAAGCAAGAATATATTTTTTTAATAATCTTCTGTTATAATAAGATCTAAGATTATCGTAAGTTTTATTCATTTAAATAAAACTATTATTTGGATTATACTACGCGACTCTATTTTTGTAAAAATAACCACATAGTAGTAGAATGTAGTTTTTTTACTAAAGTAAAGTATGTAGTAGTGTGTAGTATTTTACAAGTAGTATAATCCGAAAAATATTAGCGACATTTAAATCTTTTCATATATTTTACTTTATAACAAATCAGCGATAGTTATATGAATTTTCTTTTTCCAGATACCAGAATAACTGCCATAAATGAAGAAACCTCTGACATTCTTGGGATGACGGCTGTAATTATCAGTGATTTGAAGCAGAAACGACAGAAAGACTATACATTCAGTATGGAAAGAGCATTGCAGAGCGAAGGGGACAGTGGAATCAAACTGCAGTATCTTCACTGTAGATTATGGAGCTTAGAACAAAATTGTGGAGTGCAACTACCAGAAACATCGGAGCCAGAATATTTAAAAGAAGAAATAGTTGGCGATGTTGTCAACGAACTTGCAAGATTTGAGGATGTCATCAACCAGGCATATATTGAAAACGAAGCTTGTATACTAGTAAATTATTTATTCCGACTATCAAATATGGTCAATCGTATGTTCAATGAGCTGAGAGTTAAAAATGTTGATCATGATGTCGCTTCACAAAGGCTACTCGTGTTTAATTCTGCAAGATTTGTTATTAAAACAGCGTTGGAAATTCTAGGTGTAAAACCTCTACTTCAAATGTAATATAAAAAAATGTTACGTAATAAAATCAATAAATGTACTGATATGTTAACTATTGTTTCTTTTTCCTTCGACTCACACCGATGTTATAGAAAAACTTTGAATACCTAATTTATGCAATGTACATATTTAACTCCTATCACAAGATGGCGCTTTAATAAAACAACTTTTTTTCTGAAATAAAAAAAATATTATATCAAAGCAAATGTCATCTACCTAATATACATTCGATAAAATATTTTTTTAATAAATTTGAAATTCTTAGTTTGAGTTACAGTCTAATATTTATGTCTAAATTTGAATAATAATTGTATTGTATTAATGTAATATAATATCTAGAACTCATAATCATAGTAAGACTTTCGTAATTTATGATAGTATAAAGTATTATATGCATTCAATCATCATTTAAAAACAACGATTAATATGTAATAATTATTGAATGCAAAACATTAAATAAAACAGCAAATAGCCTTTATCTTTGTTTATTTCTGTAATTGTTGTTAAAAAAAGAGTATACAAAAATATTTTATTAGTACAAAACAAATATTTTATATACTCAAACTATTTAGAAGTTCATTAAGAGACTAGTGAATGTAAAAGAAAACTAATTAGAATAAATTTACTGTTAATATATATTTTATACAGCAATAATTTGAAGCGAGAGTTATAACTGAAGTATTCTTTGTAGTATTTATGTTATTATAAAGAAATATGTTATATAATTATTTTAAAATAGTTTTCTTAATAAAAGATTTTGTTTAAATATTCTTTAATACTTTTAAAAAAGTTTATTGTTGTCTATTATGACCTAGAAACCATAGATATAGACACGTCGTATTGATGATGACCCCTCCCGATTTTGGTGGGAAAATTTGAATATGTATTAATAAAGTTATATTTTTTGGCTACTTTCGGAGAAATTTTGTGAAAATATAAAATGGTACCAAAGTTCTTAACTTTTTGTATTAAAATACAAGAAAGACCTATTTTATGTCATTTATTTCAATACTTTGATTCAAGTGTAAAAGTATTCGGCTAACTTCGCCACCTTTCGGTTTCGTCTCCGTTGACGTCAGAATAATTGGACCGCTCCTGCGTCAAATCGGTACTTCCGGCGGTCACGTGGGCTGCGCGAACCAATCAGAGCCCGTTGTCTCTTTATAGGCCGACATTTTCTGACAAGCGTAGAAAAAGTTTTCATCAACAGCCGCCATTTTGCGCTGGAGAGACTGAGAAGTATTTCGGAATTTGTCGTGTAAATTTTCTGTTTTTTCTTACATCATTTAACCATAAACTGTACCATTCCGTATATTTTAAAGTGTTAAGTGAAATCGTGTAGTTCGCTCGGTAAAATAAGTTCCATAAAGTAGTTAAAATCTGGTGATATTGTTTTCATTTATTGTGCTAGTTCCGTCGGAAGATGGTGAGAGGGTCTGTGTAGCTCTTCGATTCGGAGCTTTGTAATGGCGAATACTTGAGTGAGAAATTTTAATATGTGCCTTCAATGGTTCGAAGGACATCGAACGATCGGGATGTGGGTGATATACATTGTGATGGATGACAAATCGCTCTAAAATGTTATTTCTTAAAGATATAAGACATATAAGTGTTATTTGAATCGGCGGGCCGAAATATTCACGACGGCTTACGTTTAGTAAACAGAGCCATGGCCGATCATCATGTGGATGAGCCGCCTAACAAGCGGGCTAAAATGATCCGGGACCCTTTCCAGGGTCCGTCGGACACCGCAGGTGAGTACTTTTCTCGGTTTAACAACTTTCATAACTTTAGAGCACCCTTCTGTCATTATTTTAATACTATGATTTTTGACATTTTGCCGTCGCTCTTGTTAGCGCCGTGCAAGTTTTGCGTCGTATTATTGTTTCTTTAGATTAAGGACCGAAAATATATAGTTATTTCATTTATTTCTAACCTTAAAACAATTTATACGGCCACTATTCATTTACAACTTTGATGTTTTCATAACTTCGAAGATGTTCAAGATTTTGAATTTTATCAAAGTTTACATTAAATAATTTTAAGTTTTGATGAACTAAAACATTTTTTCCTAAATGAATTTTTATTATTGCCTTAGTGTATCCATTTTGATATTTCAAAATTTATTCAAAACATAATTTAGGGTATGCTCATATTAAATGTTGAATAATATAAATAGATGGATATTAAATTTTAAAATTAAGTTTTATTCATGCACACACAGTGTTCATAATATTTTAGTGACTGGTCAAATTATTGATATGATACTGATGTAGACTGACCATAAATAATTGGTGACCTACATTCAACTTTCAATATAATTATTATAGAAAAAATATATCCATATAATTTGTTTATTAATACATTGTTTGATATGTAATTTGAAAGTAATTTTGTACATTGTACATGACAACATGAAATGTATATATAAACAATATAAAAATGAAATGGAATGAAATATTTTTATGATTCTTACTTATTTATTGGAAAGCATTTGTTTATATGTTAAATTTCTTATAATACATTGTGTATTAGATTAGATGTAGGTTGTTTAAGAATCTATGAAAAATAATTTTAAAATAAATAGTATTCTGATTTTATTTATACATTTTAAATAATATATAAAACGAGACAGACTAGTTTTTTTGAAATAATTTTAATTTACTTGAAATTTAATGTCTTTTTTTTTCAAAATTATCATGTTTTAATATTTTTTTGGCAGTACTATTAAAATTTTTATGCCTGCCCATAAAATAATTATGTGTGTATTAATAATTTACTGTAACTTATAGATTTATTTAACCAAATACATTTCTCTATATTTTTGTTTTAAATACATATTTCACAATACAAAAAACGTTAATGAAATAAAATTATTAACTATATTAGATTGTGATATTATGTGTTATATCATTGACAGATGGGTTTTCGAACCTTGACATGTTTGATCTCGAGAAGGACCTCCCCGATGAATTGATGGGGGGCTCTTGGGGTGAACAGCCCGGTGTCACGGGGCCAAAACCCCCAGCCCAGGGTCCAGGCCCCGGGCAAATGGTGCAGCAGCTCAACGGGGATGACCCCACGGCCGCTATGCAAAGACAAATTAATAATCATCTCATACAACAAGTGAGTATCTGGGACTGATGAAATATAAAACATATATTACTATATCAAAGATAAATATGATATTCTCGATTTTCATATAGTATTCTTAGTGCTCGTTAATTAATAATAATGTTTAATTGAATATACTAGTTTAATAAAAAATACTATATTTTTTTGTCTCAGAGATTCTGATTAACATATTTCTTATATTAAATATTAATTTATTTTCTTATAATAAAATTTAGTATTAAGTTTAAATAAAAGTAACATTAAGTACTAATGATGTATTATGTCGTATGCTGGTTTTTTCACAGGGCAACAAGGGTGGATTAGTTGGCCACAACAACCCGTTGGGGTTGAGTAGTTTAGGTAGTAAGAGTCCTAATTTACAGTCGCCGCCCAATGTGTCAGTTTCCAAAGATATTATGGGTGGCATGCACCAGCAACTTATACCAAATACAAGTCATCCAAATCAACTGCACTCATCTATGCCTATTCAAGGTATGTATAGTATATAATATTATTATATTATTTTGTCAATACATAAGTAATAATGAGATTAAGACAATAATTTTGTCTGTAGCTATAATCTTGTAGATTTTTTTTTTGTTGTAATATAAATATTTATTTTGTATTGGGGTAATTAAATATATTTTTAATCTAATATTGAGACTATATATATATATTTAAATATTCTTTATACAAAATGTTATGAATTTTAAAATATATAATTTTTTCAGTTTTGTTAGGCACTATATACAATAATATTAATTCTATTTTCTTTACATATATCAAAATGAACACTAGAATAGAAAATTTTTTAATTGAAGCATATAAATATATTTAATTATATTGATTTTTTTGGTTCAGGTGGTATGAATGTAGCCAACGTGGGTGGTAACATGGTGGTGACGAACAGCAACATGACTGGCTCCAACATGCTGGGTGGTGGGATCATAAACAATGTTAACAAACAGCTGCCCACGCTGATGGGGAATAATCACCACCAGCCACAGTCACACCATCCACATGCACAGGTATATATATACAACATCATTATAATTTTTATTTTATTTTATTTAAGATCCACCAGTGATGATATACATTAATACAATATTGGGTAAAGAAATACAGTATAGCTTAATTATAAATGCATTATCTTTTAAGGCAGATACAGCATGCAAAAATTAGGAAGTTTATAAATCATTTATTACATTATATTAAAAACGTATCAACTTATTGGTAAAAATTATTAAGATGTCTGTATATAAAAATTAAGTTACAGGTGGTTCATTATATTAAAAATTAGATCATTACCTATATTTTGTTTATGTAAAAATTATTTATTTAATTTATCGCTGAACAAAAACTTATAACGAAATGTTTCGAGTGAGTCCCATAATATACATGAAATTAACCATTGTTAAGTCATTACAGGTTAATTTAAGTACTAAGATTTAATATTTGTATTGTTTGAAAGAATATTGTCATAGTTGTAATATAATATACATATATAAGAAAGTCGTCATTTGTGAACAGAATTGTGTAAAGTAGTATAGGTCGGCGGCTTTCAGGCTATGCAGAACGGTCCCCTGAGCGGGAGAGTGGGCGTCGGTGGGGTTGGTGTTGGTATGCAGGCGCCCAACATGCGCTCAGGGTTGGCGCACGGCGCGCACGCTGCCCACGGCGCCCACGGTGGGCACGCGGCGCACGGTGCTCACGCCGCCCATAACGCGCACACGCGGATGGGCGCGCCGGCGGGCGGCGGTCATCCACTCGCGCCTTACCATCCCGCCTACGGTCAGTCGGCGGCGGGCGGTGCGGCGCAGAGGGCGGCCGGCGTGCGCTTCGGACCTCCGCCCGAGGCAGGCGGGGGTGCTGCGCAGGCTGTCCCGCCCGCACCTTCACCGCAGACGCCGGGCGCTCCGGCCGGTGGACAGGTGAATTGAAACGTCATTATAGATCCTAACAAAATGATATTTAGTGTAAACTCTATATAACGACACTGAAGGGACCGTGTATTTTATGGCGTTATAGAGAGTTGTCGTTAAATAGAAAGAAGAAAAATCAGAATTAGAAAAAGACAAAGTTAATTTCAGACTAGTGTTAGTACTTATGTACATAAAAAATAATGTTATTAGAACGCTATTGCATATAGTCTGTTGTTTTTTGCTGCATCAGTAATGTTGTTGTATTTTTTTACTTATTTTATTAATATCTTGCGATATTAAGGCATCTTGGTGAAGAACGAATTTCTTAATAAGAATGATTTTCTTAATTGATTAATAAGTATGTAGTTGTTCGTGAGTGTATGATTGCGGTTCACCGTCTCATATCCTCATTAAGCGATATGTTTGGCCAGTCGCAGCCCCAAGCGGCGACTCAGTCAACGACGCCGGCGCAGTCCAACACGGGCTCCATAGCGGACCCCGAGAAGAGGAAGCTGATACAGCAGCAGCTCGTGCTTTTGCTGCACGCGCATAAGTGTCAGCGGCGGGAGTCACAGTCAAATGGGGAGACCTGGCAGTGCACGCTCCCGCACTGTAAGACTATGAAGGGCGTCCTCAATCATATGATGTCGTGTCAGGTGAGATATTGTATAAGATCAGTAATACTTGCCAATATATAAACAGCGATCATTGATCAGTGATGGCCTAGTGGTTGAAGGGCCTCTCTCATGCACATGGCAGAAGGTTCGATCCTGGCCCGGGCAAGTACCAATGTGATTTTTCGAGTCATATGTAGTTTCTAAGATTATTTAGACATCACTGATTAATGATGATTCCCAAAAGAGGGTTGATGTCAGGCAGGCGGCCGGTCGTAAAACAATTAGCCAATACTATTCACAACATATAAGGCAGACCCTGGCCAAAGCTTGAAATTGCCAAGTAGAAGAAGAAGATATAAACACAGCGGTGTTATATATCGTTTGTTTCATTTCAGGCTGGCAAGAATTGTGGAGTCCCACATTGTTCATCATCACGACAAATAATTAACCATTGGAAACATTGTAATAAGAATGACTGTCCGGTCTGTTTACCTCTCAAACAAGCAGACCGAACTAGAACCAATACTATGAACGGTAAGTGTATGTTTGAATTTACAACGACTGTTGACTAATAAACTAACAAATGGGAATACATGTGGTTTTTATACGTTTTAACAGACTTTCATATTATTTTTTATCGTTTTTGTGATTAAATTTTCCGTGGGGATACAATGAGTGTGATTATATAGCGGCGGCGGCTCATTCGACGACGGGTGTGGGGTCTGTCGGTGGCGTGGGCCCTGTGGGTCCCGTGGGCGGTGTGGGCGCCACGAGTGCAGGCGTGGGCGTGGGCGCCGTCAGCGTTAACGTCGCCTCCGCCCCCGCGCCTAACACCCTCCCCACCGTCAACCAACTACCCGGTTAGTAAAACTATTGTAGATAGTTGCCGGATCGTTATAAACATATTGTCTAGCACCAATTATCATCACTGGGATATGGATCCGAATAACGATAATTAGTGTTACGATCCGCGGATATTATTTCGTATATTATTATTTTTTACTTATCGTGTCGGTGTGGGTGATCTTGAGCGATACCTGACACCGTTAAACGCCTTGCGTGACAGGACATGATGTTCTTCAGTTTTGTTGATAATTTTTAATTTCTTCATCATTGACTCTATATACTATTTCGTTAAATGCAAAAGATTTGTGAAAAAAATCGATATCAATACAGATCTTTCGTATCCCTTGTTCATATATGTATGATATAATTCTAGGCACATCACTTTCATATATTTTGTGTGGGTTTCTACTGCATGTATGTAATATGGGACGCATGTTAATAAAATTGATTTAATATGTTATACATTATGATAAAATTTTAACACTATATGTAATTATAGTAATATATTAACAAGCATAATATAATTAAATATTTCTGCCTCACTTTTCATATGGTTATATCTGTGCTTAATAATTGTACGCTTCCTTATGGTGCTGCCATTAAACATTCAGATTATTTTGCATGACTTCAATGGCATTTACAAATATTTTTTATAGGAGGCGCATCTGCCCCATCGGTGCCAACGAGTAATTCGGTGGGAGTGGGCGCGGTCGGGTCCGTTGGTGGGGTGGGTGGTGTGGGCAGTGTGGGCGGCACGGGCGCTGACATGAAGCGTGCGTACGAGGCACTCGGCATCGCCTGTCCTACATCCGTGGCGGGGATGGTGGGCGGCTTCCCACGTACACCACTGTCCCGGCTGCCCGCACCCCGCCCGCCCGGCCTCACAGACGTGCTGCCGCAGCAGACCATGCAGCAGCTGTTCCCCCACCAGCAGCAACCTGACATGCAGCAGCAGCAGTCGCAACAACAACAGCAATTGGTTAATAAATATATATATAAAAAAAAACCCGCTGAGTTTCTTTCCCGGTTCTTCTCAGGTCAGGGTATTTTCTTTTCTGAACCGGTGGTAGTGTCTCAAGTGACCATCAATAAGAAAGTGTAATGCTTCTATATTGAATAAAGTTATTTGAGTTTGAGTTAGCATATCATCTATTTTGGATATGCTCTTTATGTATGTTATACAAACATTTTGATAATATGAGATTTACTTATTTATCAGATGAGTACTGGCACCCTCCAACTACCGGGCGGTACTGTCACGGCCAACCCTCACACCGGAACGAAAGAATGGCACCAGTCTATAACACCTGATCTCAGAAACCACCTCGTTCATAAACTGTAAGTGGAATAAAATGACGCCTTATAAATAAAAAATATGAATGAAGGAAAACATTAACTCAACAATCTCATCTATGTGACAGGGTTCAAGCTATTTTTCCGACACCCGACCCAACAGCCATGGCAGACAAACGTATGCACAACCTAGTGGCGTACGCGAGGAAAGTTGAAGGGGACATGTACGAAATGGCGAGCACTCGGTCAGAATACTATCACCTGCTGGCTGAGAAGATATACAAGATACAGAAGGAGCTCGAGGAGAAGAGGCAGAAGAGGAAAGAACAGCAGCTGCAGGCTCAGCAGCAGCAGCAGAACCAGCTGCAGCAGCCTGGCGTGCTGCCAGGCGGAGTGATGGGCGTGAGGGCGAGCGTGCCCGGCGTGGGCGTGGGCCGCCCGAACTTGCCCACGCAGGGTTTGCCAGCAATGAGGATCCCTTCGCCCAGCATGCCACTATCGATGCCAGTCAATAGAATGAACTATCAATCGAATCTAGTGGGACCTCCCGGACCTAGTCCAAATCAGGTGAGATTAAAAAAATACTATGTGGAAATGTGGCGACATAAAATAACATTAATTCAGTATGAACTCTAATGAAAATGTGATTTTTATTAATTAAATTTACATTTTTGAATATGAAATTAGCTATAAGTCGGTTCCTTGTTCCTCGATCGTTACGGATTATGATCTTATTATATAATAAACAAAAAATATTTTTTGTAATGGGTGATGAAGTCGTTATATACTTATACCTTCATTTTAAAGATTTATTAAAAAGTCTATTGATTTTTTTCCTATTAATAGCATCTTAGGTTGAGACTAGGTTATGTCGCTCAGTATATTATGGTTTTGTATCAAGCACTTAAAAATATAGTACTCAACTTATGGGAACAATTGATTCACATTCATTTAAAACATTCTGTTGTTAGTATTTTCTCTAGATTTTCTTCTAAGACTTTGTCGCACATCTTTACTGACCTACCACTACCTTTTTTTATGTTAAAAAATAAACACAATTTAGACGTTGGTCTTATTGTTATTATAATTAAGAAAAGACGTATCAGTAAAGAGTATATCGTCTCGAAATAGCATTGTAGTGCATTATAAGGATCTTGTTATTAGTTCAGTTAATTTATATACCTCCACCTCATGTTTTATTTAAACATTTTAGCCTAGAGTAATTTCCCGTATAACACGGCACATGGGTTGTACGAGACTGACTGTATGACGCGCTCGTATGACCTCGTATAACGCGTTACGTATGAAGAAAAAGTTTTCGTTTGTCTTTATATTTTTTGTATACGCATTATTCCTATCACTTCAGTTGAGAAGAGATTTATGAGAACTATAATTTATTATTTTTAGAAACAGTTTATTTTGAGTAAAGTAAACTCACCAAAGGGTTTATTCCTCCACCAGATGCCTCAAACTCCGAACGGCGGCAGCGTCGGCGGAGTCGGCAGCGTCGGCAACCCTGGCATGTCACCGTTCGGCCAACCGATGACGTCACCCGCGCCGCAGTACTCGGTGCACAGTAACGGGCCGGCTGCGATGCCGTCCCCCGGGCCCGCCGCGGACACCAAGCGAGCCGGGCCCGTCGCCAGCCCCTTCATGAGCCACTCGAGTGCCTTCCGCGGAGATACGGGCGGCGCCTCCCCCGCCGCGACGCCCGCCACGCCGCTCGCGCACGCCAGCCCCGCGCCCGACACGCGGCCCGCCTCGCGCCCGCCCTCCGCCGCCGCGCCCGCCTCCGCGCAGATGGCGGCGCTGCAGTCCGCCCTCAACGACGACAGCCCGCCCGAGGTGAAGCGGGAACCGGACGACGTGCGCATCAAGGAGGAGCCGGAAGACGATTGCGGCGGGAAGGGCATGAGGGACGAGACGCCCGGGGACGGGGACGAGCGGCCCGACCCGTTCGTGAAGCAGGAGGTGAAGCGGGAGGTGAAGGAGGAGCCGCCCGGCACGCCCGCGCCGCCCGACGGGGAGCGAGGACACAAGAAGACCTTCGCCTTCAAGCACGAGGAGCTGCGGCAGGCGCTCATGCCCACGCTCGAGAAGCTGTTCCGCCTCGACCCTGAGTCTCTACCCTTCAGACAGCCGGTGGACGCGCAGGCGCTCGGCATCCCGGACTACTTCGAGATAGTGACGCGCCCCATAGACCTGTCCACCATCAAGATGAAGCTGGACCGCGGCGAGTACAAGGACCCCTGGGAGTACGTGGACGACGTGTGGCTCATGTTCGAGAACGCCTGGCTATACAACAGAAAGAACTCGCGCGTCTACCGGTATTGTACTAAGGTAATACACGAACAACAGTGAACTTAACACACGATCAGTGAACAAGTAAGTGTCTTCACGGTACTGGTTATGTTTTTAGCTGTCGGAAGTATTCGAAGTGGAAATAGATCCAGTGATGCAGAGTCTGGGTTACTGCTGCGGAAGAAAATACACGTTCAATCCTCAAGTACTATGCTGTTACGGCAAGCAGCTGTGTACTATACCTCGAGACGCTAAATACTTCAGCTATCAAAACAGGTCAGTCTGCAAGCTATATGTTATTAAGGAAAAATATTTGTTATATACAGATGAAGTTTAATAACTATTAATTAATGAATAAAATAAAACTGTGCATGTCCATGCATATTGTTTTCTCTTAATTGTCCGTTAAATTCAATTTTGAAATATTAAGGAACAATATTTTTTGCACTAAGCCCAGCCATTACCATTAACTTTTCTTTATTATTAGTGCTACATTAAATGTTTTTCGTTCAAGTATATATGTACTTCATAATTTTTGTTGTAAAAGATAATCAATAAAATATATAACACTCTTGTTATTTTATTGAGGAAAGATTTTATTGAGGATAAATATGATTCAACAAAAATTATGATATTGATGTGTTACTTGTTATTCGATGTTTTTTCACTATCTGCATTACCCTTGCCATAACCTACCTTCTTACTTCACCTGTCGGGGTTGTCACATAGATGGCTAATGTCCGGCTTGAACCAGTACGTCACTTGTATTACAACATGCTGTAGTTTCATAGCACATTTTGTTTTTTAAAGTGCTCTCCCTAGATTTCGTTGCGCTGTAAATTCAAACTTAGAAGTGGTATTCATTGAAAGAATTTTTTTATTTAATGTTGATAATTATAACTAATACCGCTTGTAAGTCGTTACATTACAATAGTTGTGCAATAACATAGTCTATCCATTGTACTAATCCCATGTACTCATCGCTTACTAATTTGTTTTCGCTCCGCACGTCCTTGCCCGCACTACGGACTGATAGTCTAAAAGCGTATGGGGTTGTGTCCGATAGATACACATTCTGCACCAAGTGCTTCCACGACATCCAGGGCGACACGGTCACGCTCGGCGACGACCCGCTGCAGCCTCAGACGTGAGTTAATATATACATATTATATTATACATAAACACTACATTTAAATTATCACAAGTAAGACTGAAAATCGCCCTGTCCAGGGCCTTTTTTTTTTAACAAATTATGATACAAACCTTTAAATACTTCTCAAGTTTTTACGTCATGAAAAAGCATTTGTAACTTATTTTGGTTCATTTTTCTAATATTTAAAAAAAAAAAAATAGTGTATTGGATCGTAATTGGTGATATATTACGATTTACAGAGCGATAAAGAAGGACCAGTTCAAGGAAATGAAGAACGACCACCTGGAACAAGAGCCCTTCGTTATATGTATGGACTGTGGCAGGAAGCAGCATCAGATATGTGTGTTACATCATGAACAGATATGGCCTCAAGGCTTCTGCTGTGATAACTGTCTCAAAAAGAAGGCTGCCAAGCGGAAAGAGAACAAATTTAGTGCTAAGAAACTGCCAACTTCAAAGCTTGGTATATATATTGAGACGAGAGTTAATAATTTTCTTAAGAAAAAAGAGGCTGGTGCCGGTGAAGTGCATATCAGGGTTGTCGCATCGTCTGATAAGGTAATTTGAATAACACTGAATGAATCTATTTTAAATAGAGTTAACCAAATAAAAGATTTAGGTGTAACTGTTGACTCTAAAATGAGCTTTATTCCACATGTAGACGAATTGGCCAGTAAAACATTTAAAATATTAGGACTCATAAAAAGAAGTACAAAAGCCTTTGAAATATCAGATTCTATAATAACATTATTTAATTCGTTTATAAGAAGTAAATTAGAATATTGTTCCGTAGCATGGAGTCCCTTTTATCAAGTTCATATAGACAGGATAGAGAGAATTCACAAAAAATTTTAAAATTTGTAAGATTCAAAGATAGAATCACGATTTTGCTTAATAATTATGATGCTTTATTAAAACATTACAATATGATAATGCTTAAAAATCGTAGAGATATGCTGGACTTATGCTTTTTACATAAAATAATATCAGGTAAAATTGATTGTCCTCAATTACTAAAAGAATTTAATATAGTAGTACCGAGACCTAACGTGAGGCATACAAATACACCAACTTTCAAATGTCGGTTTGCAAGAACAAATTTAGGAATAAAGGCACCTTTAAATAGGGCTTTTAGAAGTTATAATAATATTTCTAAAAAAGTGTTATTGATATATATATATAACGATAATTTAAAATCTTATAAAACAAAATTAAAAAATAACTTTAAACTTTTAATGTAATACACTTATTGTAAATAATATTTGCGGAATAGTCCATATACCTCTTACAAAGGAGTTCTATTTTATTTTATAACAGTTCTACTGTATTCTATATTATTTATTATTTAATAAGTTGCATATTTTTTGTTAATGCATGCTGGGTTAGCCTTTAATTGTAGTGTACTTTGTAAGATCATTGTACATTTATGTTGGCTTCCTAATAAAAAATAATAATAATAATAACCCTGTTAGGGTTGGCGAGTTGTTTAAATGTAAATATAATATATATATTTGTTTGATGTAGATGGTGGAGGTGAAGCCAGGAATGAGGTCTAGGTTCGTCGAGTCGGGCGAGCTGTGCGCTGAATTCCCGTATCGGGCTAAGGCGCTGTTCGCATTCGAAGAAGTTGATGGTACTGATATATGCTTCTTCGGAATGCACGTGCAGGTATGTATTTATATATTTATATATCATTTACTAGCTTTCCGTCCGCAGCTTCGCCCGCGTGGAGTTCGGTTATATCGAGTTTCCAAGAGAACCTTTCTAACATCTTAGATAAAAACTATCCTATGTTCTTTCTCAAGGTCAACTCCATCTCTGTACTAAACTTCATTAAAATCAGTTTAGTGGTTTAGGCGTGAAAGCGTAACAGACAGACAGAGTTACTTTCGCATTTATAACATTAGTGGGGATCAACGTGTTTGTGAAATGAACGTGGTGTAATGTGAAGTATTTTGTTTCAGGAGTATGGAAGTGAAAGTCCATCGCCTAATACTAGAAGGGTTTATATAGCATATCTAGATTCTGTACATTTTTTCCAACCGAGGCAATATAGGACTGCCGTGTATCATGAAATTTTATTAGGTTATTTGGATTATGCTAAGCAACTGGGCTATACGATGGCCCACATCTGGGCGTGCCCGCCTTCCGAGGGGGACGACTATATATTTCACTGCCATCCGCCCGAACAAAAAATACCTAAGCCTAAGAGGTTACAGGAATGGTATAAGAAAATGTTAGACAAGGGTATTATAGAGAGGATAATATTAGATTATAAAGATATTCTTAAACAAGCTATGGAGGACAATATCTCGTCAGCAGCTGAACTGCCTTATTTTGAGGGTGATTTTTGGCCGAATGTTTTAGAAGAATCTATCAAAGAGTTGGACCAAGAGGAAGAGGAGAAAAGAAAACAGGCTGAAGCCGCCGAGGCAGTGGTCAGTTATGTTTATTATTTATTATATTTGTTTTTCATCAATTTCACAATTATTTTCTATTCTCTGTTATAATTAGAGCCCGGATTAATATGTAAATACATATTTTTTATTTACGCGATTTTCGGTCTAGAATGTGATTTTTACATGGATTGTCATATTTAGACTGTGAAAAACCAACTTTTATTTTCCATATTTTAAAGTTAAGTCCATATTTTACAAGAAAATGTCCCAATCATCCATATAATCACAGAAATACATAAAATTTACGTTCCCGCCACTAATGTTTTGGATAAAAATAAAGGATTTTCTTATTCTGTGCGAAAGTTTCGAGGGCTGTAGACATGACTTACACAATTACTGAATTAAGCATGTTTAAGTATGCATCCATCACGTCATGTGACGTGGAGAGATCATACAGCAGATATAAGGCTATATTTCATTTTGATAATTTAAAGAAGCACGTCATTGTGTATTGCAACCAATTTGATAAGACTAGTGTAATGGAAGTTGAATAAAACTGTTATTTTTTGTTGAAATAAATATTTCGCTATTATTTTTTTCATTGTTTTTAAATGTAACTTAACTTTGTTCTTCACGAGTGATCCGTTTCTTATAGTAAAACAATGTTTAATTATGAAAGTATTTTATACTCCATATTTTTTCCATATTTTTGATTTTTCGTCCATATTTTTTAATACATATTTATCCGGGCCCTAGTTATAATTAATAATAATATCATCATAATCATCATGCCACTTATGTGCCTTAGAGAATATCTAACATGATTTTAGATATTCCAGTCATCTGAGGAGAACGAACAAGGCCCCGACGGCAAAAAGAAGGGTCAGAAGAAAGCGAAGAAGTCAAACAAGTCCAAGGCGGCCCAAAGAAAGAACAGTAAGAAGCAGAGCGACCAACAGCAGGGGAGCGATCTCAGTGCAAAGATATTTGCCACCATGGAGAAGCACAAGGAAGTGTTCTTCGTTATTAGGTTACATTCCGCACAGTCCGCCGCTAGTTTAGCTGTGAGTATCACTAACATGAATCTGATTTGCTTATTATATATTATGTATATATTAACTCGAAATAAACTTGCAGCCTATCGGAGACCCGGACCCTCTAATAAACTGCGACCTCATGGACGGACGGGACGCCTTCCTCACGATGGCTCGCGACCGTCACTACGAGTTCTCATCCACGCGCCGCGCCCGCTTCTCCACCCTGTGCATGTTGTACGAACTCCACAACCAGGGCACCGACAAGTTCGTGTACACCTGCAATAGCTGTAAGTCGCACGTCGAGACGCGCTACCACTGCACCGTGTGCGACGACTTCGACCTGTGCGTGCCCTGCTACGACAAGGAGGGACATCCGCACAAGATGGAGAAGCTCGGCCTGGACTTAGACGTGGGCTCCTCGCCCGGAGACCTCAAGCAGGCGAACCCGCAGGAGGCGCGCAAGCTGTCCATCCAACGCTGCATACAGTCGCTGGTGCACGCCTGCCAGTGCCGCGATGCCAACTGCCGCCTGCCGTCCTGCCAGAAGATGAAGCGAGTGGTGCAGCACACGAAGATCTGCAAGCGAAAGACGAAGGGCGACTGCCCGATTTGCAAGCAGCTCATCGCGCTGTGCTGCTACCACGCCAAACACTGCACGGAGACGAAGTGCTCGGTGCCGTTCTGCAGCAGCATAAAGCAGAAGCTGAAACAGCAGCAAGTACAGCAGCGGGTGCAGCAGCAGCAGTTGCTGAGGAGGCGAGTGGCCGCCATGAACACGCGGGGCTGTGCGGCCGGAGCGCCCAGTCCGCCGCCGCAGCCCGCGCTCGGCTCCCCGCCGCCAGCCAAGCCCGCAGCACACGCGTTACCGCACAACGTGCAGAAAGCGTTGCAGCAGGTTAGAAGTGTTATATAACATAAAAGTTATACATTTATTACTGACGAGGATATCTTAATTGTATTGTAGTAATTAATCTAAATGAAGACTGTTGTAATCTGTAGTTTACTTCTTTATATAATAACTAGAAGACCCGGCGAACTTCGTATCGCCCTATAATCAAGAAATATCTGTTACGTTTTTTATTTATATGTTTGGAGTTTACCAATTAAAGCCATAAATTTTCGTGTTCTGAAGTGTGACAGAATGATTGACATATTAGTTAGTTATCAAATCTAATGTTAAAAAAACGTTTGTATCAACAACTACTAATAAATTAAAAATTAATTTAAAAAAAATCGTCCAGCGACAAAATTGTGAATCTAAACAATTCCCAGATCCCCTTGAACACACACAAAAAATTTCATCAAAGTCGGTCCAGTCGTTTGAGACAAGTTCAGTGACATACACACTCACAGAAGAATTATATATATAAAGATTTAAGTATTATCAGCGAGCATGATGCTAGTTCCTATCGTTTGTTTTTGAAGGAATTTCGTTATAAAGTACCGAAAGAGGTTCGATCAAAGTAAGCGATTAAGGTTTTTAGACAAATATGTAATATTTATTGTTTTGTGTACAGACTCTGAGTATATTATAAATAAACATAATATTAACCTGTATCACCCACTAGGTTCAGGAAGAAGCGGCGAGACAACAAGCTCCGTCATACGGAAAACAAGCGGCCATGGGTCCGCCAGGCGGCGTGGGCGGTGTGGGCGGCGTGGGCGGAGTGGTGGGCGTCGGCGGCGCGGCGGTCCGGGGCGCGGAGTGGAGCGCGCGGTACAGGGCGCCGCCGCCCTTACATCACGCGGCACACCAGCATCACCGACTGCCGCACCACGCGCCGCATCCGCAGCACGGACACCATCCGCAACATCCGCAGCATCCGCAACACGCGCAACATCCGCAGCACGCGCCGCCCAACATACAGGTGACTAGTTATACTATCGAATATATAAAATAGTATTTTGTTATTGTGTGGTTTAAATTTATAATGAACGTATGAGAGGCATCTAAGTTATATAATGTACAATAAAAACATTCATAACAGCGGAGAAATAATAAATAAATAAAGTAACTATCTAAGAAATATAAAACAAGAATGAAAATGTTTAAAAGTTTTTGTTATAGTAATGTCACGTCTCGTAATTTGTCTGTGAACATTCGTCGTGATGAATGTTAATATACAAAACTACCCACTTATTGATTTATGTTTTTATGTATTATTTTTTAAATATATATATATATCTTAATCTTATAATACAATATATATATATATAGTTTCGTACGCTCAACAATGTAACAATTAATGTAAATAATTTCCTAAATTAGTTTTAAGTTTAAGTGAATATGTAATATTCTTTATGAAACAATAAATATCTTAAATCTCAAATATGAACAGTTTCGTGATCATATATCTTTATGTCCCAGCAGCGAGCGGGCGCGCCGCAGCAGAACGCCCAGCCACAGATGCATCAGAAGGCCCTGGCGCAGCTGATGGCCACGCTGCGGTCGCCCACCACACACAACCAGCAGCAGGAGATACTACAGATACTCAAGTCCAACCCGCCGCTCATGGCCGCCTTCATCAAGCAGCGGGCGCAGGTACACTACACTTACATAATAAACATACACTCTATAGTGTGAGAAAACGCTGCGCCTCCATGTTAGCGCGTCTCCGTGGCTCCTCCAACGGAATGCTGAATGTGTTTGTTGAAAGGTGGAACACGCCAATATTGTATAAATGGGTACAACTACACACTAGGTCTAATAGTGCTTAGTATATTAGTTTTATAATTTTATAGTACTAACATTAAGTTTTTTGTTACTAACACTCAGCTTTTAATGTTTTTTAATGTATTTTTAATATGGATGTAATTGGTCTGAAATAAATTATTATTATTATAATATTGATTATAATGAGCATTGAATAACGTTCGTATTCCCTTATTACAGAACGCCCAAAACCAACAGCAAGCCGGTTCCGGTGTCGTCGGCCCCGTTGGGAACGTAGGTGTCGGCAACGTTGGGGTCGGCGGAGCGGGAAACGTGAACGTGCCGCTAGGAGGCGTGGTGTCACAGCAGCCGCAACAGATGCAGCACATGATGCAGCCGCAGCAGCAGCAGAGGTTGCAGCAGATGCACCAGATGCTCCCCCAACAGACGCAGGTACGTCTTTATAAACATTTATGGTTAAGATTGGTTGATGTCAACTTGTTTGCTTGTTACCTCTATCTAGTTTACATATGATTCGATCCCTTGTTTTTCCAATGAAAATAAAAAAAGTAAATTACAAAATACGAGACATTTGTTAAAGGATACTGGCGATGCCAATAAATGATAATAAGACTTGTTTGTCATTATTGAGCAACGAACAAAAGACTAATGTTATAACTAGGGCCCGGATAAATATGTATTAAAAAAACTAAAATATGGACGAAAAATTCAAAAATATGGAAAAATATGGAGTATAAAATTAAATACATTCAAAATTAAACAATGTTTTACTATAAGAAAAGGATCACTCGTGACGTACATCGTAAAGTTAACGTACATTTAAAAAAGATGAAAACAAGTTGCGAAATATTTATTTCAACAAAAAATAACAGTTTTATTCAACTTCCATTACACTAGTCTTATCAAATTGGTTGCAATACACAATGATGTGCTTCTTTAAATTATCAAAATTAAAACTCTGACGATTTGGTCGAAATATAGCCTTATATCTGCTGATTGGTCTCATCTCAAGTCACATGACGTGATGGGTGCATACTTAAACATGCTTAATTCAGTAATTGTGTAAGCCATTTCTACAGCCCTCGAAACTTTCGCACAGAATTTTGTTAATTTTTTTTTAGCGTATTAAATCCTTTATTTTTATCCAAAGCATTAGTGGCGGGAACGTAAATTTTATGTATTTTTGTGAATATATGGATGATTGTGACGTTTTCTTGTAAAATATGGACTTAACTTTGAAATATGGTAAAATATGGAAAATAAAAGTTGGTTTTTACAGTCTAAATATGACAATCCATGTAAAAAATACATTCTAGACCGAAAGTCGCGTAAATTAAAAATATGTATTTACATATTAATCTGGGCCCTACTTATAAACATTTATGGTTAGTGAAAACCGGTTTTGCTTGTTACCTCTATCTAGTTTACATATGATTCGATCCCTTGTCTTTTCAATGAAAATACAAAAAGTAAATTACAAAGTACGAGACACTTGTTAAAGGATACTGGCGATACCAATAAATGATAGTAAGACTTGTTTGTTATTATTGAGCAACAAACAAAAGATTAATGTTGAAACTATGTATCTGTGTGTGCAGGTCGGCGGCGTCTCCGGCGTGAGTGGGGTCGGAGGTGTCGGCGGCGTGTCGGGTGTGGGCATCGGTGGGGTCGGCGGTGTGGGGGGCACACCCGGCTGGTTCAAGCAGGGGGTGGGCGGCGTGGGCAGCGTGGGCGGCGTGGGCACCGTGGGCGGCGGCATGATGGGCATGCGAGGCGCGTACGCCGGCGGCGGCGGCGCGCCGCGGCTGAGCGGGCGCTACTTCCCCGGCGGCGGCGTGGGCGCGGTGGGCGGCGTGCTGCAGCGCTCGCCACCCGCCACGCCGTCCCCGAGGCCACCCACGCCGTCGGAGCTGCTGCTGCTGCGCCAGTCGCCGGCGCCGCCCGCGCCGCTGGGCGTGCTGGACGAGCAGCTGCCCCCCATGACGCCGCAGGACCAGCTCACCAAGTTCGTGGAGCAGTTGTAGTGTACATAGGCCCGCGCGCGGTCGCCCTGTACCATATAATGTATCGCGGCCGCCGCCCGCCGCTCGACTCGACTCCCTTCCCCGCACTATTTATTGTCGACGATTTCGTTAGCGACGCGAAGGACGTATTAGTATTATGATGAACGAATCGAGCGCTCAATGTACAAAATGTAAATATGAGAAGAGTACATCCTGTCCGCTTTTGCGTAATGTAAGTTGTTCGTAGCGTAGGTACATATGATACTTATTCTGTTTATTGTAATTAAATCATTTTATAATATAATTATGTGATGATTATAAATCGTTGTTTTTGTTCGACACCTCTTTGAATGGAAATTCTTCTTAGAGCGAGTATCTTCAAAATTGCCTGCTGGTACTGTAAATATAAATACAAATGACTATCATCATATCTATTATGTTCCTAAGATTTTTTAAGTGAGAATGAGAATCTTAATGTAAATATTTGTTTAACTATTTCCTTATATTTTGTTCTCTATTCTATAGTTTTGTTAGACCAAAAGAATTTATTATTAAGCGAAAACTTATTGAAGATACATATTGTTTTATAATTAAGGAACTTTCTCCATTTTTAGTATTCATACCTCTCATTTGTAAATTAACAACCTAAACTATATGTGAATTGTTCCACTTATAACTTAGTACAGAGGCTATGTCTTAAGAATTTCGACGGAAAAAGTTTTAATTTTTTTTATAATATCTCATACAGATTTCTAACGGGAGCCTTATTAAGAATTTAAATGATTTTTAATATCAATAAAATAGATAAATGGACATTTTTTTTATGACTAACAACTGTTTGCCAAACATACAAAGAGGTCTTGTGCAGGAGTTGCACTGAAAATGTTTTTCTTTTTTGTACCAAAACATGATATCAGTATAAAATCTTAGGCGACTTTTTAAGAAATAACTGATGTTTTATCAAAGGGTCTTTCTTAGCCGCTTCCCATAAATACTAAACTCTTATTTCTTGAAGTTCAGTCGAAAGATAAAAATTAATTGGGGTAAATATTTTTAGCATTAACTTAGTTATTCATATAATAATGATTCTTCTATAATTTTATTCCTTATAATAAATTCTATCCATCCTTTAAGTTAAATCATCTTGTCTAAAGTATATATTTCTATTATATAAATGCAACAAGTGAAATTTAATTTTTTTCATATTTTAGACACTTTGTTTCAGTGTAAAAAAACACCAGTATGTGCAATCTTGATTTTTATACATTTTTATTTATAAAATAGCCTAATGAATATGACTGCCCTAATAAAGACAAAAGGTTACATACATATTAATAAAGAATATTGAGATGTTTAATTTAAATGTGTTTAAAACTGGAGTTTAATTGAGTTCATACTTATGTCCTGTATAAAATTTGATATAATATTTGAAGCTAGAAAACAGACAGTAGTGTACAAGAAAATATAACAATATAAAATAAGAGTATTTATAATTTCATGATTCTCGTTTTAGTTTTGTATATAGTTTTTAAATTATTTGAAAATAAAATATTCTCAACTTACAACAGAGTAAATAAAAATTATTTTGTGTTGCTACACAGCCCGTAGATATTTTAACACAATCCGACTGTTAAGTCGGATTGTGTTAATTACGTAAAAATTAAAAGTTAATAATTATTACGTAATAAGTATTTACAAACTAAAATACTAATTTAGTAGAAAATAAAAAGATGCATAAATAAAGTTATCTTAAAATGTTATGGAACAAATAGTATATACTTTGACTCCCAGCAAATTTATTTATTTATTTATTTATTTAAAAACTTTATTGTCTAACTACACACGTAGATACAAAAGGTGGACTTAATGCCTGAAGGCATTCTCTGCCAGTCAACCCTTAGGCAAAGCAGAAAGACATGAAGACGGTAGCAGTATGTAAAAGTAAAAATATACATATTAATTTCTATTGATATATAAATAATATATACACATATATATAGATACATATACATACACATACATATACATACACATACATATACATACACATACATATACATACACATACAAATACAACACACCAAAAACAATAATAAAAACAGAGATTTAAAACAGATTCTGAGCAAAATGTTCCTGTAAACGACGCCTGAAAATTGCCCTTGTAGGTGCTTTTCTTATTTCTAGTGGAAGTTTATTCCACAGTCTGATAGATTTACTTTCATATTAAAATTTATAATCTTCTTATTTTAACTCATACCCCTGTTTAGGATCTCATTACTTGAGCTATTTTTTATTTTATTTGAATTTCTGTTCATCTACCAATAATAAAATAAACGTCATTTACAAATACTACATTTTTACTAATATGTACCGTTACATATCAAAACAAAATATTGTCACTTGTTCTCTATGATTGTACATACCTAGAAGAAAGTAGTAAAAGAGAATCTAAAAAAAAGTAATCAAAAACACACTACATTAATATTTCGACATAATAAAGTTTCTATATATTTAACGAACTTTAATCTGGAAATACTTCTCTGATAACGTCCTTGAAAAATGGCGCGAAGCGAGAAGATGTTTTACCGCCAATTTGCCACGGAACTTCCATAAGCGCGCGAAATGCCGTAAGTATCGAAACGTCAAACTTTGGCATCTCTATAACAATTAACTAATGTCATTTGAAACTGATAGTTGACACTCAAACAAAACAATATGAAACATTGCTCCGTTAAAAAAAAATTAAAATTCACAACTCGTTACGAAGATCTCACTAATTAAATCTAATTAATGATTCCATAGCTAAACTTACCTTACGTTATTCAATGTCATTGTCTAAACACGGAACCTTATTAAACAATATTGTTTGAAACAAAGACGTGTGTAATGAACCTTGAATAAGAAGGAAATTCTAGACTTGTTACAATGTACACTAAGATTGTTCGTACATGTTATAGAAAACAATATATTCGTAGTCAAAACAATTAAATTTAACAAGAAAATAAAAATTTTATCAGTGTTACCTATCGATTTTTAGGAAATATTTTATTTCGTTCGAGAAGGAAATGCTGTATAAAAAGAGGCATAAAAATATATTTACGATATAAATTTATAGATTCACACCTAGATTTTGAAAATGTTTTTCGAAAGAGGTTTTACTTAAACAATATTCCGTGTAGCGTTAAAGTATATTTCAGTTAATTTAACTTTTGAGTTTGAGCATTGGCTCGGAACGATAATAATTCTACTATACAAGTTAAAACTCTTAAGATTCTTGATGTGTGTGGCTTTTAGAGTTCAATCAACCATTAAGAGGACTTTCTAAAGGGCATGGCATTAATTGAACTATATATGTTATAAGCATACTGTATTACCTATTTTTGTGTTCCATAGATGGAAAATGAGTACCTACACGGTCCATCTTATTATGAGTGGTTTCTATCGCTTTCGGATATTTCCAAAACGAGTAATAGAAATACTTTTCCAACTTACAAGGTGAAGAAGATGCCGCGAACATAATTTGCAAAAGGTGTGTAAAAATAGCACTATTTTTCAGAAAGCGGCCATTTTCATATGATGTCACGATTAATATAGTAGAAAGTTCTACTTCAATCCAAATCTAAATTTAACAATTAAATAAAATTACTAATGTGTGTTTTACTATTAAAATTTTTTTTATCTGATACTATTATCAGATAAAAAAAATAATAATACAGAACAATATATCCTTAGAGAGACAGGCAGACCCTGGCTAAAGCTGGGAAATTGTCAGGAAAGAGAAAAAGATATCCTTAGAGAGATAATAAAAGCGTTTTGAAGTTCCATATGACATTTTGACTGAAATATAAACACTCAAAAGCATAAAAAAATAATTAATATACATACTTATGAAGCAGATTCCTTGCAAACTGTGTTTCAGAATAAGATAGAGGGATTTATGTAACGTTGTATTAAGCATTATAATTGTTAGTAAATATCAACTAAAAGGTTATTTAAGATGTGCATTCTGTCTAAGTATTTCAAATATTCAACCCCAGTGCCCTCCCGGACACAGATAATATTGTGGTCCATGAGACTACTTAAAGCAGATCTGTGGCAGCTTTGTTGCAGCTTTAAATTAATTTTTCTGCCCCGCCAAAAGCTGTAAAGGAGTAACACGTCACGTCATCAGACTTCTTGGGATAGCTTCTTTGAAATCAAGGATTGGCAAAAAGCTACGTAGCCTCCCACTTTTTGTTTCTTTCTGTGTCAGCCACACGAATTTCTTATGTAAATGTAGCACGCTGGCTGATTTAAAGCAAAAATATATTCGGCGTTCCACTTTAAACATTTTCAAACGTTATGTGTACTTACTAAAACCCTGTTTTTTTGAAATTCTCTCGCACTTTTCAGAATAACCATGAAAATGGGACTCATTAACGTTTACTATAGATATACTTAGTTACTAAATATATTTTCTGCGATTCTTTCGATTTGTTTTCTCTTTATACGTATACCAGCTATGATACATATACATATATATATTTGTTTCTTTTTTTAAACCAATTACTCGGCCGAGTTTCAGTTCAATCATAACTACTCAGAACTCATTCATTTGCTTAAATTTGATTCATTACTTTAAATTGTCAACGATTTTATAAATTAGTGATATATACTTTTTGATTAATGCTGTTGTATTAGTTATATCTATCTAAACATATTGCTGTTCTTAAACAAAGTAAAGTCGGCAATCAAAACAAGTTATTCGGCTGAATATCTACGGAGTACTCGGCCCATCTCTAATATTTAGGATTTTTTTTTATTCTCAAAATCTTTACATTTTAATAAAGCTGTCCCTATATTGTTCGACAATTATTATTAATGTAGAATATAATCTATACCAATTTTTGGTAAGATTAAGTATAAATAACCTAATTTTATTTCATTTATATAAAGCATTTCATGGATATATCATTGAATTTTGGTATTACGACATATACGAAGGTCAATATACGAAGGTTTAACGTTTTAATGCTTTTAATGAAAGCTGAAAGTAGTATAGTTTACCTTATTCATAAAATGATTATTTCAAAAGATATTAAACGAATAGTCACAAACTCAGTATTCTTGTAAATTATTCGATAAATATTTTTTGTTATTTTTATTTTTTTACACATAATATTGTGAATATTTATATATAGTAACATTAATTAAACAACATTCAACAAAGTCAACTGTCAAGGTTGATCGTTTATCATTAGCCTCGAATTTATATTTTTAAAGTTTTTTTTTTATAAACGTTACTTATCTGAATTAATATTTTTTATTTGTTTGTTTACAAGAATTCAGTATATGTATTATATTAGATGCTTTTGTGTATAGTTTTTAGTAATTTTAAATAGGTTGCATAGTATTTCTATTTCTAATAGAAATAAACTTTTCTCGTACCAAAACTCAATTTGCTTTTAAAATAAATGTAAAAAGCTTCACTTATTTATAATTGTAATAGATGAATGGATTCCATTAACAAAAAAACGTGTCAACAGCTCGTCAGTCGTCACATAATAATTTAATAAGGGTTCATATCTTTATATATATAATTCTTCTGTGAGTGTGTATGTCACTGAACTTCTCTCAAACGACTGGACCGATTTTGATGAAATTTTTAATGAAATTGAACTGAATGATGAAATTGAAATTGAACTTGATGAAATGAATAGTAGATTAACTTATTAACAGTTGATTAATTTATTAACATCAAATCTATACCGTTCCTTTATTATAATCCTTAATATTCAAATAAATTTACTATAACTGTGTAAACGTTTGTTTCACGGCCAATATGCTGAGCCGTTTGTTACAAAATTGGATATGGATAGTCTCAAATCTGAAAAAGAACATAAGATACTTTTTATCAAAACTCCACGCGGGCGAAGCCGCGGGCGGAAGCTAGTTACATTATACTAAGAAAATAATTCCTTAATTAACTGTATAGTATTATGTCCATAGGTGACTTATGTATTTCTTTACGAAGCCAATATTCTTATAAAAAAAATATGAGATGAATTTTCAGTTTTCACTCAATTCTTATTAGACTCCGGATCATCTGCAAAAATAATGTAGTTTAAAAAAAACGAGTTTAACTATTTTCCTAAATTGTTCAGGAATCAAAAAGGAATGATTTAAATTATATTTGATCCTATTAGTTACTAATAAATGCACAGGGTAAACTGAATAAGCTTAGTAAAAAGTTAAAAACACGTTTATTAGAAGAAAACAAAACAAAATATATTCTTGGCTTAGTTTTATTGTTCTTTTATTTTCTAATTCGGTATGTCTTTTAAGTTTACTAAATAATATACAATTATACTAAAGAAATGAGAGGAGCAAGGGTGAAGGAGAGATAGATTTAGGTTACGAAACCTCGTTAAAAAATAACAACATTTTATTTATTTTAATTGAAATGACGTAATTGTTATTAGGTTTTATTCAATTTATCATCGATAATAGTACTACCTCAGGAAAAGCTTTTTCGATAAAAAAAAAAATAGTAAATCAGTTTTTAATTGAAGGAGAGATCACGTAACACGCATCGAGTCTAAGTTGAAACTTCATATTTTTCAAGTCCGTTAAAAGTTACTCCTTATGATAATACTACGTGTGATATTATGTAAAGACAGTCTTGAAGTTCAAGATATACTTAAGCCTCAACAAAAATTTTAAAACAATTCAATTTTGTTGTATACACACTTTCAAATGCGTTTAGTAAAAGCTTAGACTACGTAGATTGACACTAAATTGAATTATTGCAAATATTTTTTACTAGGCATTGCAATTTATAAGCACATTGAATGAAAAAAATACTACCACCGCAATAAAACTACATCATACTTTAGCGTGACACGCGTCCTAATTACCAACTACTCAGAGTAATTATGATTGTAATTATAATTATTGCATACAAGTTGAAAGACAGAAAAAATACGGAAGAAAAAATACCTAATGTTTTATTTATATATTTCCCTTGGACCTATATTATATTGTACAACAATAAAAATCACTTGGTTTACAATTTATTTTCATGATCGTATCATATAATTTCAATAATGAATATATTAAAAACGTAGCCAAATAATGACTGTCATATTTTTTATCGCGCCATCGTAACGATAACGGGTTTGTGAGTTGAACTGAGGCGAGCGAGCGTCGTTCGAATTATTCAATTAATCTAGTCACTAGTCAGTTCGTTGAGCAATCTCAGTGAGAGCAGTCGCATATTTAGTGATAGTGAGTTCACTGTACTAAACTAAACAAATATGTCCGATAAAAAACTTTTTAGACGCGATGAAATTTACAATCGCAATACTAAGACGGATGCAGTGTTTATTATACAAAATCAAGTGTACGATGTAACGAAATTCTTGGATGATCATCCTGGGGGCCATGAGGTGCTCTTGAATGTCGCGGGCAAGGACGCCAGCGAGGATTTTGAAGACATCGGTCACAGTATGGACGCTAAGGAATTGATGAAGAAGTATTTGATAGGCGAATTGGTTGAAGAGGACAGAGTCGAGCCTAAGAAACGAAAGTTTGATTGGGACAGCCCTAAGACTGAAAAAACAGAGACCAGCTTCACCAGTTCTTGGAAATTCCCCATCCTTTTGGGGTTGATAATGACTGTCCTGTACACTTATTTATTTGGTTAAACACTTACGTAACAGTGATATGTTGATTTAAATGTATGTCTCACGGGTTTATTCAAGAGGTTTGTAAATAATATGGGTGAAAAAAATATATAGGGTTCACAATTATATCAATTTGTACACATAGATTTTAATATATTTAATATTCTTTTAAATTGCAAACTCATAATCATTGAAGACATATCGCATCCGTGTGATTATGATTATTATAATTTAGATAACAGACCATAATTAGAACAAAATTCATTCTCAAAACACTTATAAATAAGAACATAACATCAAGGTTATATAAAGTGTTTTTGTTGAACATTCTAGAAGATTCGAAACAAACTCACAATAAAATCAAGTCATTGTTAAATCTATTAAAATTCAACAAGAGTTTTACTCTGTAATTGTTGGACTAAATTGAATCCTTCGAGATTTTTTGTCATAATATGTTTTATATTTGTTAATTTATATAAAAATTATAAAATATATCTTTGTTTTTTATTACAAAACCTTACAATTTAAACATACATAATAATAAGTGGCAAAAATTATATGTTTCGTAAATGCAATTGTTTGTCAAGGTCTAAATAATTCCAGGTCATTTGTTAAGTACGTATTACATTTTGTACACGTATTGTAATACAGTAGTACTTGTCATATCATTATAGATAATTGTTTTGCGTCGATTATATTTCAGTCTTATCAATTGTTCGTCAAACAGTTTCTGGAACAAATACAAGATATAAAATATACTTTTTTGTTTGTAAGAACAACACTTAAATGTCAAATTAATTGTCAGAGAATGTCAAATGACATTTTAATATTCAGCTACTTAAATATTAATATTTAATTGATCACTATTATTTGTTGATGATAAAAAAAAACTATGATAAAAAAGCAGATAATTATTATTTAAAAACATGTCTGTACTAGTACTTAGTACGACTAAGTTGTAAATGATTTTTTTGACGTAATATATTTGTTTTTGTTTTTTAAACACAGCAAAAACTACTAGAGCCATTTTGAAATAGAATATAAAGTAAATAAAAAATATACTAGAGAAAAACAATTGTAAAAGTGTTAGACACTAGAGATTTTTACATCCCATTAAAACTAAAATGGCTCACTTTAATCCATGTTTGGTTAGCCAGTACTGCTATTATTTATTAAAACGTATTTCGAAGGCAGCCGTAGTAGGGTCGTTGCAAATTTGGTTAGGTAGAGAGAGGAGTTTGGACGGCGGAGGTGAGCGTTTAACGCGCGTTAAATTGAGGCCCCTTAAACCTACACCTGGGTCGCAAGTCCCAGGCACTGTTGAAGCTCCTCTCCCTGCAACGCGATGGACCCGGCACCCGCACCGTGAATACATTGAATGCTGAGAAAATTTCATCTAGATGTCTGAAATTAATTCAAGTCATGGGTTTTATCATTGGAAAAATAATTATTTCTTTGGTGCCTATGTAATGAATTCGGGTGCGAAATTAACTTTTTTCATTATATTATATGTAAGATGGTCTAAACTGGACTTAAAAGTTAAAACTTTAAATTATTATTGTATTCACTCGTAAGGAAAACCTGCTCTTGGAATAGTAAGACTTAGAAATCTTTTAACATCTAAGATGACCTAAAAAAGTTTATTTTCAAGGTTGATTGTTTCTTGACATGGAAAGAATCGTTTATTTTGAATAATGAAGACGAGTGAGAAACTGTCTATTTTTTCATAAAACCTATTTATAGTTAATTGTTTGTAGAGTATTAACATACAAAGACCTAATATATAAAGGTAAGCATCAGTGCACAATGATAATCACTACAACATTGAACATTCAATAGCATCAGCTCTATTACGAGCTCACAGCTCTCAAGTACCTATGATTGTTATGTGACAACAGTTTTATCTAGACAAATAATAAATAGTGTTAGGTAAATCATACTGCTCATTCCGATATATATGATATATGTAGGTATAGTACATATAACGTAAAAAATATATAATATAATAAATCTCTTACGAACATAAATTGTATTTTTTTATATATATTTTACATCTCCTTGTTATCGGATTGTTTTAAATCTTGCAGTAACTTTAAAGCATTTAAAATGAAGAAAAATCGTAGCCATCTATTACGTGACGACTGAAAATCATTAGTTTAAATACTTTTTGTAATAGAATTAATATTAATAATGTGAATTTTCTTGGGTATATAAAAATATTTACTTCTAATTAGGTACTTACGATCATTTAATAAGTAAACTATTACGATCTCATCTTGTTTCTTCAAAAATATTGGCCATTCATGTTTAAGAAAAAGATTATTTTTTTCTCTTTCCTTTTCACTCGACTAAATTCCAAGCAGAAATTCATTTATTTAAATTAATGCGACTTTTTTTATGTAAAAGTGGCAAAATGAATAGAAATGTTTGAAATCCCAAAATAAATAATTAAATAATAAATCGGAGGCAGTATATATGTTTTAGAAAAACACGCAATAAAAAATTACATAAAATAAAAAAAAAACAGACACAGACAGACCGATTAAAAAAGTAATTACAATCTCGACATCCCGATTTTCGACATTCATATCAAGATTATAAGCAAAATGTTATAAATTATTTAGACAAAGGAAATGGAAATAGTAGATAAGTATATTAATTCATAATAGATCTATTTCAATTAGATTTTGTAATCGCAGTTCGATGAAATAATTGCGTATGTATAATTAAATTTTTAATGCAGTTAAAGATGGATGCGTTTGAGATGCATCCACAACTTATTTATGCGTTTTATACACTTAATCAACGTCGGTGCATGTGCTCCAACTAAAAATATGCTGTTAAAAAAAATTTTTCATATTATTCAAATAAAACGACTTGCAATTAAGAATAAATAAAAGTTATCAAACTTATTACTGCAGCTAATAATAACACAAACACACTGATTTGGGTAAGGTGATGTAAATATTTTTATTATACTTACATAATCTGAACATTTAATGTTTTGTCTGATATATGTTTTATCGGCAAATAAAGACCATCAGTTTCATTCGTTTGAGGATTGACGTGCATATTCTACGCTTACTCCAGGTTTGTATCGTCCCACTAGTCACTACTCACTAGATACGGAGATTTAATTCGTTTTTCATACTTAAAACTTCGCACTGTTGATTGAGAAACCGAAAGCTTGTACTCGAGGGTGCAAATAGCAAACCTGTGGTAAAATTTATTGTTTGATACATAAAGAGATTCTGAAACAGGTCATACTGTCTAAATTAATATAATATATACTTTAAATTAATGATCAACATGACCATTTATAATAAAAATTAAATATGGAAATGAAAAAATTTTAAAACAAATGTCTGATACTTAGCTAAATAATTATGTCTTTCGTCTGTTGGTGAAAGAGGAGCTATATAAAGACAAAATTGTGCTCTCATTATGGAAAAGACATATCCTGTTAATATGTATAATAATTGTGAAATTTTGTGTGTGTGACGTGAGTATGTTTGTTACTTCTTCACGCTCAAACGGCTGGACCGATTTGGATAAAATTTTGTATACAGGAAGCTGACGTCCAGGAACAACACCTAGGCTACTTTACATCTCGGAAAATGTTCGACTTTTCCTCATATAAGCGAAAAACCATATTTACTTACTCGAGAACTCAACTCCTAGCCAAAACGACATTATCGCTATGTACCTTTTACCGGTCTATGCAGACACGATCGACAGGCAATAGGCATTCCTTTCGTTAATAAAAACGAGTTATGATAGACAATATCTATAGACAACAATTTCTTTCTGTAGTTAATTTGTTAAATACTGCCAAACAATTTTTATAACATTTCTGTTGTTTTATAGTTGTTGGGTATTGCGCCATTTGTAATTAATATTACCAATACATTAACTGAATACAAAAGGAGTTACACGCTGACGGACTCGCGGGCACAGCTATCTATACTTTTTTGCCGGAAGTCACTATTCCACGCGGACGAAGTCACGGGCAAAAACTAGTTATTATATACACAGTGGCGATTCATAATAAGGAGATATATGAATCATAAAACAATCAGTAAAAGAGAATTCTTCACATGTCACGTACCTAAAGAGTATGTTATGTGTAACATTTAATTTTTCGGATAATTATACTTAGGTATGTTTTTAAATAGTTTCAAAATGTGTCTTCTAATTCAAAGAATTCTAAATAACCAGCTAATCTTAAAAGGCGCAAAAGTTTTTTGTTTTTGGTGAACATTGCATTAAAGTCATATATTTAAATTTAACAATATTATTGTATTTTCCATCCAGAAACTTTCACTTTCTGGCAAATGTATCTCTTAAACTCCCTCTTAAAAGGTCCGCAATGGGACAGAGAATTTGTGTCATATTTTTTTTTTTTTTTTTATTTAAGTTCACAAAACTGACTTACAACTAATGCATACAAAATAAGGTCTAAGCTAAAACAGAGTGACATTTAGTTGCAGTCTTCTAGATGTAAACCTAGCATGCTTTGAAAACACATACCTTTCTTAGTATTAATAACAGTACTTGAGTTAACTAGTTAATTCTTTAATAATTACATAAAATAATGTGAGTTTATTTTAAGTTTATTTTTAAGAGAACCAACAGATTCACTGAAGATATCTATGTGGTAATAATTAAATGTGTCATTACCACATATAAATAGTCATATGTGGTAATGACACATTTAAACTATAATGAGTTAATGACACATATAAAAAACTGATATTAAATAATCACAACAGTAACATTACTGTAGGTACATACCTAAGTAAACGATCAGAATGAGAATCTATGAACTTGCGGTGGCATCATAACGATTGAAAGTGATATGAAGTCACGTGACGTTAATAGATGGCGCTGCCCGCCAAACACCATTTTGTTTAAACCACATATTTCTATGAGCTCAATTTCAATGTACCGAGATAAAAGTAGAAATATATGATATGAATTTGAATTAATCAAGAGGATATATAACAAAAAAATATTATTTAACATAGGAATACAAATCTAATAGCGTAAGGAAAATGTTATACCAAAATTTTATGCTTCAATTATACTTTTACTAACAATGATTTATTTATCCGAAGACTTCGTTTATATTTAATAAAGTTTATTTAAGTTCTTTAATTTTTTTTTCATTGCATTGTTAACAAATTTCCTATTTCAGGATTCTATAACAAAACCTAACACTTTATTTCTATTTCAGGCATTGTATAAATCTTTAATATTATAATAACACAGGTAAATGTAAGTTGTTAATAGTAATAATTAATAAAAAAAGTTTATTAGCAAACAAACCGCGAATTTTTATTTAATTTATCTATGGATTTATTCCAACCGATATCACGTTATTAAAACAAAACAAATAAACGTTGTCTATACGAGTTGTAAAGGTATTTTTTTGCGTGTGTATGTTAAATTTCTATAGAAAATTAATTTAATAATGTAATGTACTCGTAGAGCCAGAAAAACCTGAAAACTTAAACATTTCGTACTAATTCTACTATTGAATGCATTAATAAGGTAAAATAAAACAGAACCACAATGTTAAAAACGTATATTAAGAGAGTTTCCACAACTTAAAACGAAGCTTATTAAATAGTTACACATCATAACAATATTAATTTCCTCAGAACATTTAAAATACCAACCAAATCTATAAGAACATTCGCTTCGTTAAATGCCAATAAACAAATAAAAAAAACCGATATAAACACCACCAATATTACCGATTCATTTGTACCGATCTCTAAAACAAGCTCTGCACTACACAGAACACAGAAAAATCACACACCACAGATTTAAAAAAACTTAATATATAACAATGAATATTTTTATACTATATTATGCACATTTTCTTGTAGTCGCCATGACAATTTAAGTACCGAATAAGTAGGTTGAAATAATAAAATAATTTGTAAAAAAAACATGTCCAAACAATAATACTTGTTAAATGCGAATCATCAAGCATGGCAACGATAAATTACAAAAAGAATGTGCATTATTTTCACTTCCCTTGATTTATCAATCTTATTTGCCCTCAGTCTTTCGATTTAGTACATATATAAAAAAATTGCAAACAAAACTCATCAATAATGGAGGCCTCCCTATATTTAGACCAGTTGCATTTAATTTGAGAAAACATTATAACAATATTCAGAGCGTAGATATGGCGTTCGAACTTTCTGGAACATTCTAGAACATTCTGGAACTTTCTAGACGTTAATTTGTTACCGTTCGCTCAATAAGCACATATTTCATTATCCATATTAACAATATTTTCTACACTTCGTAACATTCACAGTGTAAAAATAATTCTCTAGTAAATATATATATATTCACGGGATATTTATATCACATACATTTTTATTTTGTACATGAAACTTTCCCACGCAACGCATAAGTATTTCAATGTTTAAAATTATGACGTCACACTACACGGTGACCTTGGACGAAACATTTCATTAGTGAGCAGTAACCCATAATCGATTTTTATAGAATACGGATTTATTGATAGCAAGTATCAAATAATTTTAAATAGATATTATATAGTATACGATTTCCGAGGTACCGTTAGTGTGGACGGACCATGTGAATGCACCTTATTCTACTTAGTATAGAAGCATCCATTAGCGGACATATGTTTGTATGAACAAAAACAAAACAAAGATTAAGGCGGATTCACATCAACCTGTCGTATTGCGGGATCAGATTGGTACAAACCACAAAAATATTCCTGTATTTATACTAGTTATGTGCTCATTTCGATGTACATATAAAATTAACTTAAGTGAGCCAAAATTAAACATGGCGTTATAATTGAAGAATTTATAGGTGATCTCTATGTATGAGAGCGTCAATGTTCGTTTATTTTTCCACTATTAATATAATTACTGTGCTTTCTTTTCATCCGGTGAGGTTGATGTGTCTGTATCTTCGAGATCTTCATCCGAATAGTTTGTTGGTTCTTCGCTTGGTTTAAGAAGCTTGCCAACGAGGTCGTATTTTTCTGTAACATTAAGAATTATTATATACTATGAGAAATCGTAAAATTAAAAAGGTTTTTTATACCTTATATGATATTATTTGTTAAAGAAAAATAAAGTTTATATTACTATATTATATTAATTGAGGTCAAGTTATTTATATGAAATAAATAAATAATAGTTCTTTACTAAATAAATCTAAATTTTTAATACACAGAACACTTATAGGAATTTTAAATATAAAACTTTCTCCGCACTCACAATACAATACTTAAATATTGTATTAATTATTTACAAACAACATAAAAAAGACCCTTATGCACAACTAACATAAAGGTCTTCAATTTTAATCACCAATTAGCATTTCAAAAGGTACTTAAAACATTAGAAAGTCAAAATGTATGCGGTAGACATTAATTTACATATTAAGCAAAGTATGTTTACATTTTAACATACACAGTACTGATTTAATGTACCGCTAACTATAAAATATTATGACTTTTATTTCAATATTATTGAAACAATTGTACTGTTATATTTCATGTTATCAAATAATTTATAAAACTTTGATTATTATATAGAGGTGGGTCAAATATATGCTTAACCAAATAAGAATATTTGTCTAATTGTGATCTTGGCAAGACATTACATTACGATGGAACAATAAATTTTATATACACGGATGACTTCTGAACAAAACTTAACATTTTTTTGAGGAATAAGGTAGTCACCAGTTTCTCTTTTGCATTAATATCTGAATTAATTCTTAAGATTAAAAAAAAACTTCTAAAACATTTAGATAAACTGAATGTTAAATAGGAGGTTTATAATGTGAATGAAAAAGGAATGGAACACAGATTTATAAATAAATATTCAAAAAGATTAATACTGCACAGGCAACATTGTAAAATCTTAGATACGGACTGGATTTATTTTGTGTAGTTAAAAATTAATCTTAAAAAACCTTAACATCAATATATTACAACAGATGCGTTAGAGACTGTTATCAAAGATATATAAGTTAGTGTTTCTTCCACTATACAATTACATTATTTAAAAATTCACTTATAATAAGGTAAATAATCAGATAAATTAAAATAAATATATATGCAGAACTCGTAAAAGAAAAACATTCAGTTCAATATTTGGTGAATCCCTATCTGGTAATTTAGTTAAGTAAAGATTGAATTTATACTAAGTAATAGAAAAGTTTTGTTATATCTGATGAAAGTAAAAACAGAATTTCACACATAGTTATATATATACATATATACATATAAGTAGTTGAGCAAGAACAACTAATTAATGTAAATAGTACTGGTGTCAATAGTTTCACAATGTCACTATGCTAAGTTATTCAACAAATAACAAGTGGACACAACAATAACAATTTACTTTCAACACTAAAATGTATGTCATTATAATATTCTTAATTTAATATTGAGTTACTAAAATACTTACAAGTAAATAAAGATAAGAAATATTAAAATATTATTAAGGGTTTTTGAATATATTTATAAGTAAATCCTGCTTACCTACAACTGATAACATTTGATTGATGATATGAATTTTATAGATTTATTTTATCAAATAAAAACACATGTACCATATTTGTATTAATAGTGTATGTGAGTAACACATGAGTAATATTTACAAAATATTGCAAATCATTTTATAAGTCATATAGCAATATATTGTGGGGGATAGTGCAAAACTGCATAACAACCATTGGATAATTTCGCGTATCTACATTGGAAGCAGATTATCAGGAGAGAGTTTGAAATGAAATATTTTCGATATTTCTGACTTTTAAAGTCATTTTTTCACCATTAGTCATTGTTCAGTGTTTAATTTATAAGTAATTGTGAAAAAATTACTTTAAAAGTTGTTAATTTAGAATATTTTCAGCTTAAACTTGTCTTCTGATCTACTTCCAATGTAGATATGCGGAATTATCCAATGCTAGTTATGCAGATTTGCAGTATCTCCAACGATATATATGTTTTAATGATCTCACCTCTAAACTGTGCCTCCCACTCCTTCACTGATTCCATTTCCATTGAGTTCAAATCGCTAAGGTCGTCATATTCCTTGTCAGATGATGTTACCGAGAAAGTGGCTAATCCTCGAGATGCATCTTTACCACCAAAAGCTGCATATGGACCGCCTTAAATATAAAATACATTGATATAATTATATGAAACTTAGACTCACTTAGTTGAACATATTTTCAATAGTTCAGAAAATACCAAAAATGTATATTTAGTAATAGTATTTTCTATTTATACATATAATAATATTTATACATAAGAGACTTCTGTATTTAGGAATAAGAAAATATATACAACTTATTGCAAGAATGATAAAGAAAATTCTCTGTAAGTAGCTTTAATAATATTTTTTAAATTAAGTCAGAATTTGATTACATAAGTGCTTGTAGATTTGACTGAGCTCAATAATTAAACCTGTTTACATAGTTCGTGTGATTACCATTTAGGTATGGCGCGATACCAAAATGCTAATGCAATTAATGCATATCAATGCCTTGGATAGACGGTCAGTGAGTCACGAAAATGTCTATTAATAAACAGACGAACTCACCAGGGCCGTAGAAGCGACGTCCCCGCGTCACGTCGAATATCCACCCGTTTACAGCAACCAGTACTCTACCATCTTCCTGACTGCCATCGTATTTACGAAGTTCGGCCACTGTCATATCCTTACGTATTTTCGGTAATTCCGGCGCTGGTGCCTCTTCGATTATTTTACCAAACTTACTTTTAATAATTTTGTATATCAACACAACAATCACCAAAGTCAGTATTAAATTTACCGGACTGTATATTATTTCATATAAAATATTATTAGAATTAGTCGCAGGAGTTTCGGATTCAACTGGTTTTGAATCGGATTGAGAGGACATGTTTATGTACAATAAAAACGGTAATCAGATAAGCGCACAGAAATATACTAACATTAAAGTTTATAAAACTACGTTCTCCTCTGATGATTTTGTCTAAAAAATAATCAAGAAATCAAGTCACTGACGTCAGCGTTACTTTTGGTAAAGAAATATTGACAATTGCTATCCAATGTTGCAAGGTATCAATAATTTGAATTTCTCGGTCGCCTTTGTTGTATGTAATGGAAAATATATAAATTTAGTTGTTTAATGTGAAATAAAAAAATATATTATGATATAAAATTGAAAATAATTAAATGCTTTCAAATATAAAATACCTCAACGCTTATATTTGTTTATATCTGTTAAAAAATCAATGATATTTGACATGAAAATGTCGAACAAGACAGTTCTTATATTACTTTATAGCCAATAATACTTAATAGTACTTTAAATTTTACAGTGACTGTTTGTATTGTTTTTAAAAATTTTACATTATTATATTCTAAAACTTGTATTCTATAATTCTTCGCTGATTAATCTGAATCTGTACTTTTGTATAATTTTTATTTAATTCACCAACACTCAAAAAATGAAAGACCGAAAATCTGAATTGTGCTCAAAATACATTACAATATTTATTGTTGTATCGTGTTATTGGTACGTGTTTGCTTAAATTTTAATTATTTTGTTATTCTTGAGCGTAACAATATTTTATAGTTTTCCGATTCTAATTTATACGTGACGAATTTGTAATCTCTGTGTAATCTTTGTAATAATAAGTGTATTATATTTGCAGGATTGTATCAATAGCCACAGTATTTGTTAACAAAAGTTTGTTAAGCAGTCAGGCGGTCGCTCTCGAGGCGCCTTTGTTCATTACTTGGTTCCAGTGCATTGTTTCATTTACAATATGCTTTACATTCAGCAAAACCGGAGGAATTCCTGGAGTATTCAATTTTCCCAAGGGCACTCCTTGGAGTAAGGAGATTGTAGGAAAGGTTAGCAATTTGAACAACCTAATATATCTGATATCCTATATAAAATTAACATGAGTTACAAATGACTTAACTGTTTAATATTGGTCACTTGTGAATTACATATATGAACTTTAAAATTATTAATGCTATATATTTCCAGGTGATTCCACTCTCTATCATGTTCACTCTGATGATAGCGACCAATAATCTTTGCCTAAAATATGTCGGTGTACCATTTTACTATGTCGGAAGATCCTTGACGACGGTATTCAATGTTATATTCAGTTATATCCTGTTACGACAGACCACATCACTAAGGTGTGTTTTGTGCTGCGGCTTTATCATATTCGGCTTTTATCTAGGAGTCGATCAAGAGAGTCTACTAGGTAATCTATTACATTATAAAATTGAGTGCTTTATCATGTTCTGATAATATTTGTAATTATGTTTAGAGGCGGCACTTCACTTGGCGTTGTGTATTCGCCGCATTTGTCCAAATATTTGTATGTGGTCGCAATAGCGCAAACACAACATCCACACTTGGCATGCCAACAACGTTTTTACGAGTTTTTGCTTATGACAAATAAACCCTCCACACATGGTCTTATTTTGCCGAACACAACAAATAAACGCCAAGTGAAGTGCCACTTTAAAATTTAAAGGTTTACAATCTCATTTTGTTATATCATACATAATGTATAACTTAATTTGTAATTTATAGTTATATTTTAATATTATAATAACCCTTAATTTCAGGTTCCTTTTCACTAATCGGAACTATATATGGAGTGATTGGATCACTCATGTTGTCGCTCTATTCCATTTACACAAAGAAAGTATTGCCGAGTGTTAATCAAGAAGTCTGGTTGCTATCATATTACAATAACGCATATTCCATAATACTTTTCATCCCTCTAATGATTATTAATGGAGAATTAAGTGTAATTTGGAACTACACAAACTTCCATAGTTCATATTTTTGGATGCAGATGCTCGTTGGTGGTTTATGCGGTTTTGCTATCGGATATGTTACATCTTTGCAAATTAAGGTATGTTTGTATTATCTTAGTTATGCTTGCTCGGTTTTGTTTAAATATGATGTCAAGTGTTATGTAGGTAGATTACTATTATATTAGTAGCTGTCATTCAATTTGCTCCTTAGCACAATACATACTTTTATTGAACAGTTTGATACATGATTTCTTATAAAAATTTCAGGTTACCTCACCCCTAACACATAATATATCAGGCACAGCGAAGGCATGCGCTCAGACTGTCATAGCTACACAATGGTACAATGAATCCAAGAACGGCTTGTGGTGGACGTCAAATGTTATAGTTCTGGCAAGTAGTGCTTTGTATGCCAGATTCAAGCAAGTCGAGATGGAAGAACATTCAAGAAAGATAACTCCAGAAGAAGAGAAAAGCTTAGTCTAATTATTTGTTGTCCATAGAATTGTGTAGCTCAAATCATTGTTCAGTTTTTATTAATTTATATTTTGTTAAGTCTATTCCAAATAAAATTTATGTGATTTTATTTTATATTTAAGTTATAAAACTTAGTATATAAGACATATTTGCGTATGAGTATTAATTTGGGTGCAATTTCAATGTAATAGATGTTTTAAAAAGACTTCTGCATTTACTAAACTAGTAATTTATATATAAGGTAGGTCTAGAATGTAGTGTGTACTTTAAACATGCAATCAAATGTGCACTGTTGTTTAGTAAAAATATGTTTTTTATAGTACAATACATATTAATCAAGTTAAAACTATATTATTTGTATATTATATATACTTTTCTATATGTAATTTACTGTTGACCTAAGTAATTCTGATAATTGTTTTTTTATATCCTGGTAATATGGTACTAGGTACAAGTTATTTGATTCTTCGTCGTCACAAACATGATTGTATAGTTCAATGCCATGTATTTTATTCCAGTTCCTAGTGAAATGTGTATTATTAAATGATATCCATTCAGTGTATCTATATTTTTCAGTCCGGATGCTGTAACCCATTATTTTTATATCTTTTAGCTTTGGTTTATCAGAATTTATTGTAGGCTGCTCCTGTGGCCGTGGATATTGAGATATAGCAAATGATCTTTTATTATGTTTGTTTGACATTAAATGTACTAAACTTTTTCCACTCGAACATAAATTGGATTTGTCATTGTTCTTACATTTTGGAACAAATATATTTAAACCCACTTCAAGTAATGTTGGGTATATATCAACCAATTCAACTGGCTTGGTTACAACCTTTGGCTTATATCCAGGTATTTTAAAAATCAAGGGCACTTTCAGGGCGACATCAAAGTTGCTATACTTTGCCCAAAGTCCGTTTTCACCCAATGACCAACCTTTAAAACAAATATACAGTTAAAACATGGGGTTTATTTAGTGATAAAAGGATTTCTTGTATCAAAATATTACCATGATCACTAGTAACGACAATTATGGTGTTGCTATGATTTACATGGCTAATGAGTTTTCCCAATAGATCATCTATGTAGAGTGATGCAGCATAATAACTTTGCCTTATCTTTAACGTCCATTTCGGAGGCATTATTCCGAATGGAAAAGTAAGGTTCAGTTTCTTAATGTCGTCTCTTCGCCGTACATCTGTCCAAGGATGCCAAGAAACCAGCGGTAGATTCTCAGGGATAGTGGAAACATGTGGCGGATTCACGGAACTAATTGGTACGTTTTCTGAAATTATCAAATGCTCTTATAGATTCACATTATTATGTTTAGATTATTGGTAACATTTGAAACACTTACTAAGGTATTTATGAGGATATTTTAAAGGAATATGAGGTTTATGAAATCCGACAGCTAGCAAGAAGGGTTTAGTTTGGTTTCTATTTTTAATAATATCAATTGAGTATTTTAATGTCTCGAGGTCAGGTAAAGTATTATCGGGCTGTTCCTTGACGTTGACAGGGCAAATCAGATTTTTGTGTAAAATTTTACTATGTCTATCTTTACACAAGGCGTCGTCTTTATATTTTTCGGTCGGAGGATGATAGGGTTTTACTGTCCAGCTATAAGGATAGTCGTCTGTAAAATTTGAACTCTTTCCTGGGTGGAATATTTTTCCCGCCGAGTAAGTATCGTATCCGTTTTCCTTGAATATTTGAGGAAATGTAGAAAAATTTCCAACAGTATCGCGCCAATAATTATAAAAGTCATACAAGCGTAACTCATCTGGTCGACGACCGGTTAAAATAGAATTTCTACTTGGAGCACACAATGCTTGCTATAAAGATGAAAATAACTAATTTATTCCATGTTGACATATAGGTATTTGACAAGTAATAAAACCTTATTTACTTGTGCAAAAGCCTTCTGAAATGTGATTCCTTTTGCCGCCAATTTTTGAAAATTTGGCAAGTACACTTCCTCTGAAAGATATCGCATGTCGTCAACTATTATAATCAACACATTGTTTCTTATTGTGTTTCTTGCTGAACATTGTATTTTAGAAAAAATGAAAATATAAAAACATATGAGTACAAACATCTTGTATTAAAAATGTACAAGATTTACATTTTTTTAAAACAACTCAAATTCAATTAAAACTACAATGACATTTTCTCATAAGTTGCAAGTGTTATTTTAGATTTTTTATATTATTATTTATATTCGGTTGTTATAGTTCCTCAAAAACTTAAAATAAAACAGAGATAGATATTAACAAAAACAATAATAAAACAGATTTCTGTTAAAGTTACTCAAAATTTTTATATTATTGTAGATTTAATATATGGCAATGTTTATTGAGTTGACATTGAGCTATACGTAGTAGTGTATTGTGAGTGTATATATAAATGAAGTCTTGTACTGTGTATACACTGTATTTACATACACATTCATTGATTTTTCATTTTGTGACGAACTCACACATGCAAGTGAACTAGTGGGCGTTAAGTATTTTCAGTGTAGGTGTACGTGTTTAGAGATATATTGTCATTCAAAGTTCAAAACATCTGTTGTATGTTGTTGTTGTATATTTTCAATTATATATACATAATTTTATTTCTAGTTCAATACTTGTATTAAAAAGCATTTTACAAAACGATATCATACGACTGTGAGTGTGAGTGCTGTTATACTTTATCAATTTATTGTGACGTCATAGTTTCCATCTGCCAGTAAAAACGACGCAATTGTTATTTTAATCAAAAATGGAATTAAAATGAGAAAATTTGTAACAAATAAGGTAAGTGGTCCCGTGAAAATTATCATTGCTTTTAATAATATAATTTACGTAATAATCTATTAGGCTGTTGAAATGTCTAACTTACATCGATTTCCTTTGTCCTCGCTCCTAGGTTTTGCACTGCAGTTGATATCGGACTTATAATGTAAACCTGATTCAATCATTTAAAAAAAAAGTCTTAATAGTTACAACGAAAGAGTTTCTATATTTATGATTTTCAATGTTATTGATATTGTTTTCTCGACATTGTTTATACCCACAATTATGTAATCTATACAAATCTGAGAATTTAATAATTTTTGTGGCCTATATATTTTCCTTACATTTGTGTTAAACGTTAACAACATTTTCACTCTTTAAACTGTTTTTAAAACATACGTGACTGAATCATAGAAAACAATAACAAAAAATATTTATATAAAAGTGATCCTTATTACATATTATTAAGATTGAGTTTCGTATAATGATAGATTTTTTGAATGATAACAAATTTACATTTATTATCTTATTTACGTGTGACTTGTTTGCCGTTATGTTCCAAAGAAGTTAAATTTATTGCTCCGAAGTAAGGTTCTTGCTTTTGTTTGTTTTGTAATAAACTACGGGAATATAATATATAGAAATAAAAATTCTAAAATTTTATGTCAAGATTGACATAAAAAAATATTGCAGGTAGTATGATATTATCCATTAAATTGCATTCCATTTAAATATTTTAACGATTTAAACATCGACTTGAAAAAAAAAATCATTAACAAGATGTTCTTTATTACCTGCCAGTTATAAACAGTCAAGTGTGATCTTAGATTAAGCATTAATTATTTCTTTTTTTAAATTATTCTAGAGTATAGACAGCCAGTATGTCAGCGGAGTCCCCGCGGCACGCGCGCTCGGGTGGGCCTCTCACGGTTCCCGCCCAGCCGCCCAGCGATCGCAGCATCATTGACGCGGTGTCAGGCTTCATCAATGACGTCACACTATCTTCTTCATCCACTGTTGATCCAAAGGACGTTATACAGTGGGCTAGGTTAGTGAACTTGGATAATAACATAAAATTAGGATTAATCTAGGTTATATTAGATTGAAAAAATGTAAATTTAATTCTATATAAATTTCATCAGGTTTGAAACAGCAGATATAAATGAACCTACACAAGAAGGGGATGGTGATAATGATGTTCCACCGTTGCTGCTCATTCTGGGCTATGGGTCGGGGGTTCAAGTGTGGCTGATACCCTCCACTGGGGAGGCTCAAGAGGTACTGTCGTGGAGACAAGGCACTGTGAGGGTGCTCCGTATACTGCCAACTCCGCAGCACGGCGACTGCTTTGCATCGAAGAGGCCCCTCATAGCTTTGTGTGACTCGGCCAGTCCCGGACCAGCATTTTGCTCGTTGATCTTTTTATCCATTAGGGGTGGGGAGCAGGTAAGATTTAATTATAGTTAAAAAAGTAATAAATAAAGTTATGTGATGCATTAGTAATTTTATTTATAAATTTCAGGTGAAGAGTATTAAGTTCAAGAATCCTATACTGGATGTTTTGGCCAATAAGCGTTCAGTTGTTGTGTCATTTTCTGAACGTTTTGCTGTTTTTGATGCTGCCACTTTAGAAGACAGGCTGGCTGTCACCACATGCTACCCCTGCCCTTGCCCATTGGGAGGGAGCGCCCCTATTAACCCACTAACTCTTGGAGACAGATGGCTGGCATATGCTGAGAAGAAACTCAACCCATCGAAACGAAGCAGCGGAGGTTGTGAAAGTAAGACACTTTCCTTTGTTTTTATTCATACATAGAATTCATATGTTTTTCATTAATTTTTTGAATTGTTCTAGAACATTCTATCTTGAATAACAGACTATAAAGTAACTTTCCTTTGTTTCTTTTGTTTTATTCATTAATAGAATTCAATTTGTTTTTCATAAATTTTTCAATAATTGTTCTAGAACATTCTATTTGAATAGACTATGAAGTCAAGTTTGAGTGTAATTTATTAACATAAATTCTGATCGTTGAATGCATGTATACCATAGTGAATAATTACATTTTATATGCGATAAAATAATTACGGTTCCTTTGTTTAATCTATGTTCAACTATATAGAGGCTAGATTGATATGACCTTGCACTCGTTGCATTGGTGCAGTTAATATAAAATAAAAAAATGATTGATGTTGAAGTGAAAACCAGTTATATTTCAAACTAAAACTTTGTTTTTTTTAATATATTTAATATTGGAATACGACTTATCTTTATGCCAGTATTATTCGTTATTCCAGTTACCTTTACGATTTATAGCTTAATTAAATCGTGATTACCTGAATTAAAGTAGTAAAATGTTCTAGGTAATTTATAGAACAGTTTTATATTTGCAAAATATATTATACTACGGATATATAAAAAAAAATGTTTCTGTTACGTAAATAATTGCAAATATAAATCACTTTTGCAATATTTGTATATAATGTAAGTAATATATTATAAGGAAAAGTTTTTAGTTTTTTATATGGTGACGTGATATTTTATCTGTATGTATTTGTTCCCTTTTCAAATGTAAATCTCGAATACCGTAGGATAATATTTAGTGGTTGACTAAAATATATCCTGAATTGTCGTGAGAACCGAGATCAAATGAGGCGTATCCGAAGGCAATAAGTAGTATTGGATAAAGAATATTGAAGTAGTAATTAGCGGCTGTTAGATTGCAATTAGTATGAGTAACCGTATTTAATGGACAGCTGAGTTGAATTTTAAATATACCTAGCATTGAATATGCGATTGCAACTTCGACTTTTACGAAATTTACTTCAAGGCCCGCATAAAACTTATTTTAGGAGTAATGTTAATAATTTTATTTAAAATATTTTTTTTATACAGGGTGACTGGTGAATTACTATCAATATTTAAGGAGGATACTTGGTACATGATTCTCATTCGAATTATGTAAAAAAAATAGGTACTTAATTTTTGACAAATTTTCCGTATAAATAAATAAAGTGTTGACACGTTCCAAGTGTTCCAAGTGTGGACGCGTGCGGCGACGTGCTGATACAACACAACGCCGCCACACTCGTATGTGTGAGTGTGGGTGTATACCTAATCTGTAGGGTGTTTACACGATGCGTAATTAATTACATAACTTTTGGTTAACTTTACTTAGAAGTTTATTAATATTTATGTTATATTAATTTTTATTTTGTCATATATGATCGTCACAAATCACGTCCTCAAATATCGATAGTAATTCACCAGTCACCCTGTATATACATTTTTTAATGTAAGACTCTGTAGATTCACAACTTGTATATTATTACGTAAAATTTCATTGTTTTTATCACATATTATTTTGATATTTGTGTTGTACGATTTGGGTTTAAAGACATTGAATTGGTTTTGAGAAGGAACGGTTAAGGCTTGATGGATAAATATGAAATGAATGAGCTTTGATAGTGCCTTAGTCTGGTTTTCCACGGAGTTTTTGAACTGTTATTCTTTGAAATTGATGAGTTACTTATAAATATAAGTAAACGATTCTAAAAAGACTATAATCAAACCAAGTAACTGTAGGATCGAAGGCGAATAATTGAGTAGATGAGTCGAAATATCTTCTCCAAAAAATTTACTATCACGCCCAACAAAAAAATTAACTAAATGCAGTTGAATATAAACAAGATACATTTTGATTGGTTTCCATGAGAGTAATGAGATCTATTGAGCGATGAGGTTTTCGCAAGTGTTATTCATTTAAATGATACTAATATTTTTTCGGATTATACTACGCGACTTTATTTTTGTAAAAAACTACATACTCCCGACGTTTCTCACTTTTCAGCAACCGTGATCATTAAGACGAGTCACGAGATGTGAATGTCTGTCTGTTGGTCGTGTTATTTATCACTTACCACCATCGATTGATAGGAGAGTATTTTCTAATAATATTATCTGTTTTGTCTAACAGCTGAAGGAGTGACGAGTTACACGGCGACTGTACTCCACGCGGCTAAATCTCTCAGTAAGGGTTTGCGTGGTCTTGGCGAGACGGTGGCACATAGCTTGGCTGGTGGACGCAGTACTTCACAGTCACCGTCACCACCGCACGCTGATATACAGCAGCCTGGGGTCGTCACTATATTGGATATAGAGGTATTATAATATAAAGCTGAAGAGTTTGTTTGTTTGTACGCGCTAATCTCCGAAACTATTAGTTCGAATTGAATAATTCTTTTTGTGTTAGATAGTCCAGTTATCGAGGAAGGCTATAGGCTATATAACATCACACTACGACCAATAGGAACAAAGATATAGCGGTAAATGTGTAAAAAACGGGAGAAATTATTTCATCTTTGAAGCCTTCCGTTGCGTGCGCCGTGAAATAAAAATTTATGTAGAGGACTGGCACTGGCTGGTATTTGCTGGCACTTGGCAAATAGTAACTAGATAGTAATGTTGCCTTAAGTAACTTTATTTATTTTCCAAGAATTTATATTGTCTTCTTTTTGTTTTCGTATTAAGTTTTTTCTTGGAAGCCGGTTTTTGTCGTCAACAACTTGTACTTTGAAACAAGCCTTTGTAAGGATTTCTTTATTTTTAGTATTTTATTGTTTTGAAGCAGTAAATTAATTTGTATAAAACTGGTATGGCTTACATTAAACGCTATTATAAGCTTAAACAGCATAATTCGCTTGCTTTTATTATGTTTGTATTTTCGTTTAAAATATTTTGATGTCTTAAATGAAATAAGAATAAAATAATATTGATTAAAAATTAATCGACACTAGGATTTGTGTCCGCTACCGCGGGAATATCGTATTTCAGCCGCTTTAACATTTGAACTATCGTGCCCTAACTATTGAATGAAGCATTCTATATATATTATACTGTATTATATGATATATTTGTTTAAATATAAGATATAAATAATATATTTTCCATAGGGTAACGAAGACGAAGACAGTCAAGACTGCGAGGAGCCTTGTGATCCTATAGTGGCTCACTTCATAGCTCACTCGGAGGCTATTATAGCGTTAAAGTTTGACCCCAGTGGCATGTTACTAGTGACAGCCGACCGAAGAGGTCACGACTTCCATGTGTTCCGTATAAACCCTCACCCTTGTGGACCCAGCCTGGCTTCTGTGCATCACTTGTATATACTACACAGAGGCGATACTACGTCCAAAGTGCAGGTATGTTTTTGGAAGCTGAACCTTAATAACATGATATTAGGACTGATTTTAAAATGTCTCGTCAATTATGACAATGGAAATGTTTTTGAGATTAATGTTGAAGTGTATTAAATGATTTTTTGTTTGATACGTATTGTATGCTGTGTCGCTTGATATGTATAGTTTATAACGATTGTGTTATATTTGTAAGTTGTTCGTCGAAGGTTACCTCTTAGACGATTTGACGAATCTCTTAATTCGAAGAGGTCCGATCTCTGTAATGGCTTGAGATAAACTATCCGTACCCTGCACTATCGCCTCTATTTATACCAACCGACACTAATTGTTGTGACTACACCTACACGAGTGGTTATGCCAGTGACACCTGATAATTAAGCTACCCTAAATTATTCAAATAATAATCATAATGGCGCCGATACATATATTAAGTTTAAAGAGTTTATTTTCTCATAAAAACACAGGATTTACATAAAATGAGATTAATAGATACATTAATATGTAGTTACAATATAACACCTCTGGAGCGCCGGTATCTAAACAAACTATTATCGTCTAAACCGTATTTACGTACTCCTTCAGCTTTGTCTTAAATGTATATTATTAAATGTTTGTATCTATTTCCAGGATATATGTATATCGGGTGACTCTCGATGGGCGGCTATATCGACTCTTCGTGGCACGACGCATGTATTCGCTATCAGTCCCTACGGCGGGGCGATCGGAGTCCGCACTCACACCCAGCCTCGACTAGTGAACAGATTGAGTCGGTTCCATCGCTCGGCAGGCCTGCCAATACATCATACGTCACACGTACAACCCGCCGCTCACAGCCCGGTAAGAAATATACTATACATGGAATTATATTGATATACCTACTAGAAGACCCGGCAAACTTCGTATCGCCCTATAATCAAGAAATATCTGTTACGTTTTTTATTTATATTTTTGGAGTTTACCTATTAAAGCAATAAATCTCCGTGTTCTGAAGTGCGACAAAATGATTGACATATTAGTTAGTTGTCAAATCTAATGTCAAAAAAAACCTTTGTATCAACAACTACTAATAAATTAAAAATTAATTAAAAAACATTGTCCAGCAGAAAAACATGTGCATCTAAACCATTTCCAGACCCCTTGAACTCACACAATAAATTTCATCAAAATCGGTCCAGTCGTTTGAGAGAAGTTCAGGGACATACATACTCACAGAAGAATTATATATGTATATAAAGATATAAATAATATTAATAATAAGTCTAACTTAATATTGATCTTATATGATAGATCCGAACTATCAACTTTTGTTATATGACTATGAAAATCAATGTAATAATTACGTTATTTTGCTCAAACGCAATGAAGCGAGCATTTTATACTATTCCAAGTAGTAGTAGTATATATACGTCTACAATACTAATTATCCAATGTTCATCAGGTTCTAGAGTCCGGGGCGTGGTTTCCCAACCCGCGTCTGCCGCCGTACCCGCAGCCCGCGACTTGTTCACCCCTGGCGCAGCTAAGACCCACACACCTGCCTACCACTACCATTACAAGGAATAGTTCGGGTTAGTACAAAACTTAGTGAAACAAACAGAAGAGATTGATTTTCTTTTGTTTTGGGAAGATTTATTCTATATGCGAAATTGTTACTTAATTATTATTAGTCCATTGGTTTGGTACTTCGGCTATTCTTAAAGATTGGGGTCGTATTATGTTTGTGTTTAGGAAATATTAAATTTTATGTAAATCTTCTGATGGCCCATCCATAAAGTACGTCACACTTTTTTTGGGAAGGGAGGGTATCACTGACATGTGAAATCGTGTGACAAGGGGCACGGGTGGGTCAATAGTTTTGTGACGTCATGTGTTATTAAAATTTAAATAACTAAAATCAAAGTTTGGTGGTGAATTGAAAGTTGAAAAAAAAGTTGGCTTTAATGTTGAGTTTATGAGATTATTATCTAATAAAAATGAGAAAAAACTTAAAATACATAGCTGTTCTCTCAATTATTTTTAAATACATACATAAATTTAAAAACTGTGTGACGTATCAGGAGGGTATGTTATAAAAATGTGAAAACCTGTGACAAGGACAGTGGGAAGGGGGTTTAAAAGTCCATATCTGGTGGGTCAATGCTTGTCGGGGGTATCGATGAATGCTTCGGCAATACCCGCCCCTCTGACACACGGGTACATGATGAACACGGGTTGGTTTTTAGTCAGTAAGAGTCTGACAGTCCCCTCCGCCCTTCCCCGAGGGCAGCGGGGCTCCGTGAGGATTTTCCAACCCGATACTAAAAGAAAGGATTTAAAAGACCTAAAATTCTTGAGACGTACTTTATCTATGTTCTCCAAAGACTATTAATCCATCTTTTCATATTAAACCTACGTGTATATGTCACAGGTCGTCAGCGTCTATCATCATTATCCGAGGAGGGCGGCGCGGCTCCTTTGCTCGCGCGTGCGTGCTTCGGTGTGAGCGGCGCCACTGGCAGGGCTGCCTCTGTGCCGCTATACCTTGCAGCAGCTAATGGGGCACTGCTGCATCTGGCTCTACATCCAAAACCGGCCCGCAGTTAGTATCACAATTTTAATTTTATATAGATATTTCATACACAAAGTTATAAATGAATAATTTTCAATATATCTAATGTTAATAACTTTGATTTTAAACTAATTAATTTGCTTATTAATATAGAAAAATTGATAATATTTGTCGTTTTTGAAAACCTATAATTATAGTGGAATTGCCTTAATAAAATATCCCAACACGTTCTAGCTCTACAACTATCAAATTAGTGCTATAGCTAGTTATTTTAAGACTAAAATATGTGTATATAAAACAAAAATACAAAATTATACAGAAATATAATACGCTACAGTCATGTAAAACTGGTTTTGATCATAAACAGACTTTATTGTCTCGAAGTTAGTATTGAAAAATCCTTAAGAAGATTTCTAAGGAAATTTCTCTATCAATTCCCAGGTGTTCCCAAGGAGAAGATATGTGATGAATCTCCCATCGAGTTAGAGGTCGAGGCTGTGTCACAGTGGCCTCTACAGCGACCCGCCGCAGCCTCCGACCTGCTCGCCCCACTACCGCCTTCCAACCCCCTCTTACAACCTATGAGTTGTAGGGTTAGTGTGACTACATACATACATACATTATTATTCATACATACTACTACTACTACTACTACAACATTAGAACATTATCAAGCTACCAGAAAAGTTTGCAGTCAATTTGTATACAGTTAAAGTATATTATACATGGAATATTATGTTTTTTTTGAACTACAGTTAAATTTAATTTATATCGAATTTGATAAAGAATCTTTGTAATAATGTCATATAAAATCATTTAATATCAGTAAGTCAAACTTAATATATTTATATGTTTTATAATATATATATATATATATATATATATATATATATATATATATATGTGTGTATGTTAATTAGCGTTGCGCGGACATATGTATGAGTGAAGAGGAGCGCTGGCTGTCTCAAGTTGAGATCGTGACGCACGCCGGCCCGCATCGGAGACTGTGGATGGGGCCGCAGTTCGTGTTCAAGACATACAACTGTACCGGGTACGTACACATACAAAATAAATTTATTTAAAGACTATATAATAATAATACCTACTAGAATAATAGTCTCTCATTGTATTTCTTACCTTCGCTAAACTAAACGAATCATTCCTTCATTGAATGTATCAGTGTCATTCTTCATAAATATATCTATCTCTCTCTTTGTGTATATCTGTCTCTTTCTATCACGAGTGTATATGTATGTGTGAATATATAAACCCCTCCCCCAGGTCTACGTCATCACTATCCGAGGCGGAGGCTGTGGAGGTGGACGCCAGCGCAGCCCCGGCTCGCTCAAACCCGGTCAACATGCCCGGCGCGAGGCCGGCTGTACCCGTACTTATAGACTCCGGATCAGCCAGTGAGTGACGTCAAACATTTTACTATAAGAGAAGCACGTGGAATAGAATTAGTAAAGACATTAGTGGTATAGTCCGTTAGACTTAAGCTGAGCTTTCATTTGTGTGAGTGAAAGTAAAAGTAGAGTTAGACTAAAAACTTTTAGAATTCAATTTTATTATATTATAAATAGATACATAACATAAGTGTTAGAGCTAAAGCAAAATTTGTAAAAGGCCAGATGGAAATATTGTGAATATTATAGAAAAAAAATATGAATTAGTAAAATTTTTGAAAAAACTATACAAATTCTTCTTCACTTGACATTGCGTTTTTAACATTTGACGCTGCTATCAGTACAAAGGGTGAAGTGCGGAAAGTGCGGGGCGGAGTAATAGCAGTATAAACTGGTTCAAAACTAGAAAAGAACATAGAATTCAAACGTTTGACATCACACCTACACTATCCATGTGCACTCACACAAATACAAAGCACAGCTTAAATCAAACTCACTATAGGTATGTTGGAGTCTGGGCACTCAGTAAGTGTCGTCACGTATAGCACTGAAGTAGTAGCTTCATGAGTGCTAGTTGTGACGTCATATAATAGAAATCTAGGAAGTCTGCTACTGATGTCACTAGTAGTAGTAGCAGTATCAGTTCGAGGAGTGAGCTAGTCCATGACGTCATAGATGTAATAGTATATTAGTAGTACATAGTTTGGGTCAGTTAACTAAAGAAGCTCATATTAATTCAGAATCACATACAAATATAAAGATATAGGCGTCTTATTGATGATTGAGGGTTTTTTTGCAGGTTCTCTGGAACATTCTCCGTCGGATAGCTTCCGTCGCAAGTCGCTCCTGGAGCCGGGGCGAGTGTGTGACGTACAGCTGAGAGAGGACCTCGCTGAGGCTATGAAGGAGGATCACGGTATGTACTACACTCATATATGGATACATACCGCTTCACTGCTTACTGGTTTAAAATATAACGTTTGGATTTAGTATGGTGGGTAGTTGGAGATTTGAGTTATATAAAACAAGTTATATGAAGGTACCTTGATCGATTTGTTCATAAAAATAGGTATAGTTTTGAATCAAGTGATATATTTGCAGTACAGATTAGATACTTTTTATATCTATCATCTTTCACGTGTCGTCTACACTAAATCTAAACGTTGTATAATTGTATGAGAAAGTTAACTTTATCGCTTCGCGGTTCGTGTAACGCTGTCACTCTAACTTTGACCTTACATCGAGCGTGAGTCGAGTGTTTTGCCGTGACGTTACTTCATCAATAAAATGCTGAAGCGCGCAAGATGAAGTGCAAGTGGAGAAGTTACCGAAGAAAGCTCAGTAAGAACCGGACGCACTCTATACCTAGCCGAAGGCACCCGGCAGCTCCGGGCTTTCCGAATAACTTGTCCACTACACTGATGTATCGTAATTTACTAACGCGGTTGCCTTCGGTTCGGTATAGGGCTGCCGCGGGTGGAGCGCGCCTGCAGCGTGGAGCGCGGGGCGGCGGTCGTGGCGCGGGACGTGGGGCCGACCGGGGCCGTGGCCGCTCACCGCGAGGAGCCGCGCGCGCCAGCCCTGGACGCGGACGCGCACACCACCTGCAATACTGACGAGGCGGCATTTCGGCCTGTAGTGCGCGCGCCGGCCACCCTAAGCCCGCTGACACCGGCCCTATCAGCCCGGGAGCTCCCTTGTTGTACAACCATCCCAGCACAGCCCGCGCCGCCGCGGCGAGCCTCACCTGATGACAACCCGCTACCACTCACCACGGACGTCGTCATACCGGCCGAACTGACCGACGGCCGCCTCGAGTACACTCACCTGCCCACCACGGACCACATTACTGACACGATCGGCGGGTTCGATTCGTTCGCAGATTTAGATGTTAAGGATACATATGTACATAGAGATCTCGATTACAGTGAGCGAATGGAGAGTGAGAGAATGAATGATAGAGCCCCGGCACCGGACAAGAGAGATGAGGTGCCGAGTTCACTGCCAAAACATAAACGGCCATCGGATGATATTCAACCGACGGCTCGGAATAGAGTTAAGAAATCTCCCACCACGAAAACGCATAGTGATAGAGCAGCTAGTGGTATTAGTGATATAGATAAATTATGTATGGATGATAAAGATTTTATGAATATACAAAATGATGATATGCCTTCTAAAGTGAAAGCAGCGGAGAAAGAAAAGCAAGTCCTTAAAGAAATTAAACCTCAGAAAGGAACTAAAATGTCCAAAGGAATTGAAAAGCAAAATGAACAGGGTATTTCAAAAAATGATAAAGATATAACTCAGGTGCCAGAACCAAATGTGAGAGAGACTGCTACGAAGTATGAAAAACATTCAGAAGCGATTAAAACAGAAGATCAAGCTTGGGATATGCTTTTAAATGACTCACAACAAACTACTAAGAAAGACGTAAATATTGTTACCGCAAATAAAGTTGACATAAAAGATGACGTGAAAGCGAAAACAAAGAAAAATCGGAAATCTAAGAAATCGATTGAGGATCAACAAGCCAAGGATGACAAAGACAGCTTTATAGAAATACATAATATAGAGGAGAAACAAACTACCAGCGGCGATCTAGTGTCTATATCAATGCCTTTTGAGGACATTGACTCTTCTTACTTGCCAAAATCTAAGAGACGTTCGAAGAGCCGCACACCCGAGAGAAAAGATGTCGCCGAAAATAAAAAAGAAAACATCAATGAACAAGATTTTGATACTCCAAACATTAATATTAGCAAGAAAAATAATAAAATGAATGAAAACCTAACAACAGAACCTAAAACACAACCGATTTCTTTGTCTACTACAAAAGATATTGATAGTAAACAGAAAGAATTATTAAATGTTGATGCTAAAACTGGTAACGAATCTAAGTCTGGAAAAACACTATCGACCAAAGAATCACCAAAATTAACAAAGGGAAAATCACCCTCACCAAAAGTTGATAGAAAAGAGGAAAACAAAACTGACGATAAAGAAGTTTATGTCATCGAAACAACTGAAGATGACTTCCCCGAAATACAAATAACGAAGGGGAATAAATCGAATAAGAAATCGTTTCAACTCTGTGACAAGAAGAAAGAAGAAGCAGCGAAACCGGTTAAATCTTGGAGTTCCGTAGCCGCTTCTAAAAATAAAAAGGTCGACGATGTCAAAGTTGTTCCAGAAAATATTGAAGAACAGGAAACGGAAGACGTGGAAATGAAATCACCAGTATCGCTTCAGGAAAAGTTATTTGAATTGTGCAAAAGAAGGGACATAATGGTAGCTGAATGCGATGCTCCATCTGAACTCAATTTCGTCGAGGAACATCATGCTGTGATAGACCTACCTCCTCTAGAGCAATTGGACTTCGGTCTAGATAACTTTTCACTGGAGGTCATGCGGGACAGTCTTCTAGAAGTCAACGAGCCGAAGGTCTCAAGCCCTATTTGCAAAATCAACATCGACGAAATCCTGTCTTCCATTAAGGAAACAACGTCGAAAGCTATCGAAACCAGCACCTTCAATCTAATTGATGTCGAAAAAGTGCCTGCGAGGAAAGAAAGGGGATTCAATATAGTCGAAAGCGATAAAATAACGTCCCAAGAAGTCAAATTGGAGGATGAGGTCAAATTCGAGAAGGACGAATTTGAAAAATCATCTGACGAAGAGATGGCATCACCAGTTCTGTCGACCGACAGCGATAAAGAAGAGAAAAAATCAAGCGAAAACAGTAACGCTACTCCGACAGCCAAGCAATCTAAGTCTAAAAAGTCACGTAGGAAGAAGAAATTATAGTATGTTATAGATGAGCTTCTTACTTAGGCTTAGCTTGTGGGTTTTATTAAGCAATTTAATATACGGTGTGCAATGCTGTTAGTTATCGCTTGCACCAAGGATTAGAAGTATCATGTTAATCATAATGAATGACAAAAAAATTTAAATAAAAAATTAAAAAAACAAAGAAAATATATAAAAAACAAGATTCCCCTAGATTTTTTGTTGGGATAACATTGAATGACATTCTCATGTGATAATCTTATGTAACGCTAAAAGTACCATAATGATAATATTGATAAGTTTCTAGAAAATATTAGTTAGGAAATTTTATTGAAATCTTTGTCGCAGCAAAAAATTTAGTTTGCAATTATTTATTACAGCCCTCTTAGTACTTATTTCGCTTAAAATATTTCGGAATATGTTTTATTTTTTTCTTGGTGCACTTTTCGGCCAGTAAAGTAAATGTTACCTAATCTGTGTTATTTTTTATGATTATTAAAAATATATATATAAGAATCTCTTATAAACAATATTCTGTACATTGTATGTATATTATTTTAATCTCTAAACTTATTTAGATGCGCAGGCGCATACATTTACATGGAAACTGTTTATTTAATAACGTATTGTAAATATATAACAGCTCTTATATCTAAAATACCTCAGTTTTAGTTGTCGTGTAACATGACTTAGTCGCCTAGTCAACTCTGGGTATCAAATGCCACTTCAGCTGTCTTTACGTACAAATAAATATATCCCCTACTAAGAGTTTTCATTGACGAATACAAAACAGGCAGTTTAAGATTAACACTCATAATTGTATTGATATTATTATGTTTAAGTATTCAAATATGGATAAAGTACCGGATTTTTTTTTGTATGTACACGTAAACTCTTGGTAGGGGTAAAGATTACTATCAAGTATTATTTATTATGATTTTATTATTATTTTTTGTATGTTAAATCATGACATTATTTTTATATGTTTCATTTTGCTGGCTCATGCTCTAAAATTTGGTGCATTCTATCAAAATATTTATTGGTTAGTTCTAGTTTTTAATACCAAAAAAGTCTATGGAATCTGGTATAATGAAATAAATTGGTGCACTTTGAAATATATTTGAGAAACATATCATTAGCACTTTATTAATATTTTAGTTAAATTTTTAGTTTTAATTTTTTTTTTTATCGGTGGGTTTAAAGATTACATAATTAAAGAAAATTAAATAATTTAAGTGAATAGACAAATTTTAACCATTGTAACAATTTAATAGATAATTGTAATTGCAATACCTTTTTGAAATAAAATAGCTGTAACATTACAAAAATTACTTCTGGAACAAATTGTTTTTAAAATAATATGCTTTTTAAAAAATAAACATTTCTTGAATTAGTGCTACTAATTATACAAATATATCTTTATTATGTACATTTTTTTGTTTTGTTTTTGTAATAATATAATATTTAAAATTGGCTAAAATATGATTTTGAGATTGTATAATTAGATTTTTGACGAAGTTTAAAATTTTAAAATGATTTATTTTATAAAATTTACAACATCCGAATGTATTTATTATTATTTTAATTCAAATAACGGATTTTAATGTTATTATAATTGTTCTGACACAAATTTGAATGTATGTTTAGGATTTGGCTAACACTAACAGTAAGCTATGTTATGGAGTGTTTTGAATTCATTAGTAAAATTAAAAAGAATACATTCAACAACAAATTTAAGAAGTTTTATTTATATCCCTGAAAAAAATTATGAACGAATGAATGAAACAATACTTTTTGACATTGAATGATTACATTATAGAATAGAGTGAATGAAAGAATGAAGTTTTTAAGTATACCTGATGATAAAACAAGAATGAGAATTGAGAAGTTTCTCCATTCAAATACTATTTATGTTTTTATTAATAAGTATGTGAGTATCATATATACGAACCTATAGATCGAGGCAGTACAATGTATGTTTTGTACGGTGTACCAGGTCGCTTCTCAGAACCGGAGGAGCTAAGTTCGAGCAGTTTTAGTTCCTCACGAGCGTCCCCACCGTCATCCCCCACGCCCAGCTGTGGGGGCGACATGATGCACTTCCCAGGAGATTCAAGCTCCTCACTCTGAGGCATCGTTAACATTTGCTGCCTTTGGAACCAGAAGCGCTTGACCTAAGCTCACTTTGGATATATACTACAGAAATATAAACCGAAAGATAAAGTTGTAAGGCGTGAAAAAGTTAAGTGGTATTATTTTGTATGGTTAAATAGGATTTAAATGGTCCGTTTAGTTTGAACTACGTGTGGAGTGAGACGTTCTGTGCATTGTTTTGAAGTTTTCTGTGGTGTCAAATAATATCCCGCGTTAGGCAAGTAACGACTTTTAAGTTTGTGGCAGTCAAATGTTAAACGATTTTTTTTATTCTAATTTTATAAAAATGATCAATAGAATAGAATTTTACAATTTATTATGTGTATATCAATCGTAATTGTTTATTAAACGTTTACTTATTTATGTATTAATATTTAAGATTATTATTACAATATATAATCGTGTTTAGTTGTAATCATGCTTGTCAGCGAATATTTTGTCTGATTAAGAAACACATTTTTGTATAACGTCTAAAAGAATCAATACATAATCGACCTTTATGATATGTCTTAAAGGATATATTATTAGAAAATAAGATTTAAATGTAAATTTAAGTATAGATATTTTTGTACGATAAATAGGTTATAAGTAGTAATAAGTTTTTTACTCTGTATGTATCGAGTATAAACGTCACAATTTGTCAATATCGATAACAATTAATCATCATTTATTAGGGTTTTTAATTTTTTTAATCGATGTTCTCAAGTATGCTTTATATAAGATTATACATAATATGATTGTGTCAGTATATTTAATTGCATATAGTTGAAAATGTTAGTGATGCGCATTTTATTTACCGCTACTGTGATATGAATATTAATTTGTTTGATGATTTATTAGATATTAAAACATTCCGTACAAAGAGACATTAGTTCGTGCTTCAGATCTACTTTGTGACGTTACGCTCGTCTGCTTCCCTTTGTCTTCCTTCATTCCATTTCTGTTTAGTTTGTTCTTACAATTTTCGTTTAAAGGTTCTCAATAGTAAATTCTCATTGGCTATAATCAATTTTTAGACTCAAAACAGGTTTTAGCGCTAGGTACAGATAATTATGCTTATTGGGAACCAAAATAATATTGAGTTATTATTAATTTATTACTTGCTGATCGAACGTGTCCTATATTCGGCGTCATTACATTTAAGGCCTCGGCCTCGAATTTTGCGGGCAGCGGAGCGGGAGCGGGAGCGGCAGGATCTTACGCGTATAATCAAATGGACCGACCCTCGAATACAGCGGTGCCCGCTGCCCGCTATTTTGGAGAAATGTATGCGTTTTCGTGCCGCCGCCGCTGCCGCTCCGCTGCCCGCAAAATTCGAGGCCGAGGCCTAAAAGTATATTTTGTATGAGTGGCATATTAAATTATAAATTCAAAATTATATACTGTAAACGACAAATATAAATTTTGAGTCTTTTTTCATATTTATTACGCGTTAGCTTTAGACGAATGCCATAAAAGAATCTTGCACATGAAGTTACCATGGAGAACTCAGATCAGGGTAATCGGCCATTATGAGAATGAAATACAAAAAGTAAAGAAACTATTTGGAATAAAAAATCATGAAGCTATAGAAGCTAAAATAATTTAGTCGTAAGTAGTCGAAAGAATGTCGAGTCTTTATAATTTAGTTTATTATATTTATTACATTGAATTGTGTTAGGGATTCATTTTGATAATTGTTTTTATTAAAATTTATCATTTGTCATCATGAAGGTTACAAAGTAAGGGAGCATTCAAAATTTCCAGTGATCTTAATAAAACCTCGTAAGTTTTCATTTGTACGAGAGTTTAAAAATGTATAGTATTTATTATAAGGTTTATTATTTCCATTAAATAGGTTAATATCCCTTTCTTTCTAACCTATATGACATTCATTTATTTTGGTTGTGAATAAATAAGGAATACCTATGTTACGCAAAATGTTTTAGTACGAAGATATGGGATGTCTGGTAATCGGTATGTTAATTGGTGTTTCTACTTAAAAAATTGTGATGAGCAAATCTTTGTATGTGATGGTTGAATGTGATAAGATTATTGTGCGTTTAGTTATTTTTAAGCGATATTCCTATATTTTATTAAGGCTTATATATAAGTTTTTGTATTGTAAGCATTGCATAAAAATATATGGAATTCTTAGAGGTTCGTTTCATTTCTACCCTAAAAAGAAAATATTACGTATTCATATATATTTTTTTATTATAACAGTGTAAAGAGTGTATTAGCTATAACATTTGGAATGTATAAAAGATCAATTTTCTCTAGATCTTAGAAATACATATATATTTTTAGTTACAACAGCCTAGTAATTATTCTAAACAAGTTTTGTATAAAATATCTTACATTCAAAACTACTTCAATATATCTTATTTAGGACGGATTTGTTCCATTAAGTACATTATTATATAAATTTTAATAACTACTAAAAAAAGTGTAAACAATAAATAAATAAAAAAAAAAAAGACTTGTGCCTAAAACTATGAAAGAATACTTTCCTTAAGTAAATATAAAGTTGAAACACAGAAAATTGTGCTACATAATAAACAAAGTTAAATAATTGATGTAAACTGAAATGTAAATAACTAACAAAAAATTACTCCTCATGTCATACACATTTTATATGTACTCTCACAATAAGAGTATCATCTTTAACGAAGCCGTTCCTAGCAACATCATTAACCACTGCATACTCGGTATAACCAAAGCCTCGGACACATATTTCTGTAGATGGCTTCCTGAATGCTATCAATGTTGAATTGGACATCATTGTATCTCTCTGTGTGAGCTCCGGGTTGTATTGATTGATCATAGCAAACGATATCCTCCCATTGAACGGCCACTCCAAACAGTCATCGTACTCGGTTTTCATTAAATGCACATGTAATGCAAAACATTGTGGGTTCTGCGGTGATATGTTGAGACGGACGCAGAATCTGTAATAATATGTACTTGTCAAACAAATAGCAATTTTTTTGGATTATATACAGGGTGATTGGTAAATTACTATCGATACTTGAGGACGTGATATTTGACAATCATATATGACAAAATAAAAATTAATATAACATAAATATTAATAAACTTCTAAGTAAAGTTAACCAAAAGTTATGTAATTAATTACGCATCGTGTGAACACCTTACAGATTAGGTATACACACACACTCACACATACGTGTACGGCGGCGTGGTTTTGTATCATCACGCCGCCGCACGCGTCCACACTTGGAACACTTGGAACGTGTCAACACTTTATTTATTTATACGGAAATTTTGTCAAAAATTAAGTGCCTCTTTTTTTTACATAATTCGAATGAGAATCATGTACCGAGTATTCTCCTTAAATATTTATAGTAATTCACCAGTCACCCTGTATAATTAAAAATCTTTTAATTTGTAATGAGGATAAAATTTACTATAAGTCTACAAGAATGAAACTAATATTTTGCGGATATACTACGCGACTTTATTTTTGATAAAAACTACATACTACCGACATGTCGAGACATCTCGCCCGTGATCACGTTTGCTGTAAAGTAACCGAAACGTCGGGAGTATGTAGTTTTTATCAAAAATAAAGTCACGTAGTCTACAAAATATTAGACATATTAGTTTCATTTAAATGACTCGCGAAAATCTCAGATCTCATTAGATTACAAGAAATTAATATTTCTTAATGTAAAGGTAAAAAACGATAATAGCTTACCTGTAACCATTAGGTGAAGTATAAAAGCCAGGGCTGTACAACATTTTAAAATGATCCTTCTGCATTGCTTCTAATCTAGCCTTAAAATTGTCTATCTTCCAAATATAGTTTCCCATACAGTATCGGAGTATTAAGTCGTTGTTTTGCTTCATTTTGGCGACAGCAAAAGCTGATAGCTGCTTTGAAATGTTGGCTATTACTATATCCAGTTCACGATTCCTTTGTTCAAGCACCACAACCCTTTCATATAGTGCCCTGTGATGTGTGAAAATATAATTATATATAAAGTTTATGTATTGAAACAGGCAGGATAATACTACAAAAATCGTCATGTTGATATTAATCTTTCATATTTACTAATAGTTTGTTTTTTTGAGAAAATTTCTTAGCAATTTGAAAGATTATTTTCGTTCAGTAAAACATTATGTAAAATTACAATAATTTGCAAATTCTATTAGAAAGTACTCAAATGTCCTGTAATCATTACATATATAAAATTATTTGCTATATTAATTTCTTTTGATCATTCTGGGCCCCAAATATGGAATGTATGTACATATTTGGTTTATAATTTATAAATTATAATATTAAGAAACTATACAAATACCCCTCCATGACTATTGACAAACAGACAAACCCATTAGTGTTAGGAAATTTTAATGCTATGATGAATGTATGTAAAATATAACAAATTAATTCATTATCGGTTCATAAAAAGCTTGTTTCTTTACCTTATAAGTGCGCTGGTATTGTTCACTGGTGGCGACGTACTAGCAGCGCCATCTTTGGACGGCTCCCATAGAAGCATAGCTTCTTGTTCCTTTGCGTCCATACTTGCATTTGATATGTCGTTGTCGATTTGTATCTTTGAATAGGCGTTCATTAGAAACTGAAAAGAAGTATCACAAAATCTTTTCATTTCACAAGGCCAGAAATAACTTCGTTAAGTCGTTAAGAATATTAGTCTTTGTTATTTAGACAGTCATAAAAGTGAATAATAATCTTTATAAATTTTTAAGTAGTATTAAGAAAAATACTTCATTAAAGAGAGTATTACGGTATTGAGAATTTCTTATAAAAATAATTTATTAGCCCAATACAGACAGGGCACGATAGCCTAAATGTCTAAGCAACTGGCACTCGAAATTTGTAAGTTCTAGGTTAGAATCTTTGTCATGTTTAAGAAAATTTTATATATAGATTTAATAAAAACTTTAGTACATATGAACTATATATATATATACTAGCTGAGCCGGCAAACATTGTTTTGCCATATAAAAAAATAGAGGTTGGTGATAAGAAAGTAAAAAAAATTGGGTTGTAGGTAATTTTCAGTCACATTATAAAAAAATAAAAACAAAAAATTTTATCTAAAAATTAAAACAAAAGAAAATTAGGGGTGAACAATCCTTATGGCTTAGGGGCGTGAAAAATAGATTTTAGCCTCAGACCTACTCAATATGCTCATAAATTTCATGAGAATTGGTCAAGCCATTTCGGAAGAGTACCGAGCGAACATTGTGACATAAGAATTTTATATATAACTTACACTCATGTGAGTCTGTACATCAGTATGTAAATGTTCATTCATATCTTCCTGTGTGTCAAATGTCTCCTTGCAGCCAACAGCACTGAAAGAACATGGCACCTTTACTTGAGATTGGGATGAAGCTTCAGGTTGATTGAACTCACAACTAGCTATGTGCGAGTCCAAGTCCAATGGAGTCACTTTCACTGCACAACCTTGAATTAAATATGGCAAATTGGTCAAATATACATTATTTTTACACATTATCTTACATAATGCAGAAGAGTGTCAAGGAGTATTTAATTTATAGTAAATTTATGTTTTGTATTTTAAAATATTGTTATTTTTAATTGCTATACACAGCTACATTTTTGTTATAGATGTCAGCCAAGTCATAAAACAGCAGTTTTTGAAATTAGAATGGTCACAAATATGTATATCTCACAGATTCTTAGTACAAAGACGTGTTTTGAACAAGGCGCAAATCTTCTATAGAGTTTAAGCTTGCAATATTCATAAATCTAATGATTGTTGCACACAAAATTCAATTTAATATCCTACTGATATGATGAATGTAGAAGCTGTTAAGGAATGTATAAATGTTTGTTGACCTATATCACAAAAACTACATAATGGATTTTGATGAACTTTACAGTTTTGTAATTAAGACATCAGTTATACTTTTGTAACTTAGACATCAAAATAAAACAGGTTGTAATTTATCCGGAAATTCTATGTAATTACTGCCAAAACTAGGGGATAGTGGATATATTTAGTATGGAATCCTATGACTATAAATTTTGTTATACATTAATTACCATATATATTTCTATAAGACTAATCCTGAGTTCATCGGAGATGAACTATGGTAATATACAAGTATTAATATAATTTTTTAATACAAAACCTTATAAATACCTTTAGTAGCAAATGGACATGACATTCTTTGTTCTTGTATTTCCCTTTTAGTGTAATTGTCAGGGAATATGTCAACTTTCATACTGAGATTTATATTGTCAATTGGGCAGTGACCACTATTTCTGTAAAACAATATTAGGAAAATTAAAATGTTATTATTAATTATTAATTTTAATATAATAATGATGCAAATAATGTTAATTAAGGAATGTTACAGTTAAAATATTGTAGACACTTGAAATTTAACTTGCATCTGTTTTTCTTTCTGTTTTTTAAACACAATTAGATACTTTTTTCAAAAAATATGCAGTCAGAAAGTCTTCTGATTAAAATTAACTTATTTTAAACTTAAATGAACTATATGTGAGTGAAATCCAAATAATGTAGTATTTTAATTTATTGTATAACATTACAAATCAGCAATTATGATTCATAAAAAACACCAAGTTACAAGCAAATAATGGTAGTAAATTACTACAGATTATAATAAATATTTAAAATTTAAGATTAATTTATAGTTAACTTACTGCAACCAGGATGTAATGCATGATTTACAGAATTTGTGACCACATGTAGTTATGACAGGATCTCTTAGCCAGTTTAGGCATACAGGACATTCATACCTTGACTCTGGCTGATTAGTCAGAATAGTTTCGGTAAGGGCCGTTATACCCATAGGCTGAAAATAGAACAGCGAATTCGTTAATATTTTAAAAGTTTGTACATATGATTCAAATGTATGCAAATGAGGATGAGGTCATATACGACCTTTTTTAAGTTGCGTATGTGTATAACAATTTTAACTTTTTATTTTTTTTCTGATGTTCCAAATTCAAAATAATTAAAAAGTTAAACTCAACAGATATTAGTCAGCTGTATTTTAAGAGTGGGTTAAGAAATCTTATTCCATTACTTACAGCTATACCTTCCGAAGCATTTTTGATTTTGTTGGGATCCATGTGAATAAACGGTAGAATGTTATTTATATTATTGATTTACTATTAATTGTTAATGGTTTCTTATTTCATATATTGCTGAAAGTAACAATTTTCTTTATTTTTAATCAGTTGTATTGTTGACATTGACATTTGGCATATCATGAGACGTCAAAAAGTACGAGTATAGGTACAGTTTATATAAGTTTATAGAATATACGTGGGTTGAAGAAATAATACTTGATGTATTTCGTTTTTATAAAATAAGCAAATTTGGTGAAAGAATATATTCTTTTGCGAAACCGATTAAATGCAAATGGGTTATAAAAGATGAAGAAAACCGATAGCCCCCTTTTTAGTTTCCCTTTTTTCACAAAGAACTGAATAAGACATAAATAAGATGAGTCAAAAACCGCATACAAACAAGGGATTTTGCAGAAATTATAGACATAGAAGCAAAAAATCATTATTGACAAATATCTAAAATCCGATTTTATAAGGGTATGTTAAAAGTGTCTCTACATTTTTTTTAACCATACTAAAACGATTAGATTTAAAAAAAAAAGTTCATAGATATTTGAAGCGTAGATGCATTATTTTTGGAAAAATTTGGTATATTACTAGTAACGAATATTGTTTTTAACTTTAACAGCATAAATATGCATATGTTTTTTCTGTATTAACGTACATAAATTATTATTTATCCAGTATATTCATATATATAATTATATTCAGGTGTTGTGAAATTATTGCCCAATATTAGTATCATTAGGACTAGATATATTTTTAAAAATATTATATAATGATATTAAAATTTTTATTTTTTATCATATTTTAAAATTGTCACTGGATTCACACTGTAAATCAAACTTATTGAGCCAAAAAGATAAATCAACAAAAAATTTAATTTTCCACTAGAGGTATATTCTAACGGTAAGCACATTTCATAACTGAAAATAAGTAATGTTTGGCAATTTCTAAAATTGAATAACTGTCAGGCGGATCACAAAACTTCTGTAACTTGAAACATTATTCAACTGTTTATGTTTAAAATTATAACGTCATTTAATAATATTAACAATTAAAACCCAACAGAAATTATAATTAGTGGTTTACCTTTATAACAATTTTATATATAATATAAGTTTATTTCATATAAAGACCGATATAATAAATGTATCAAAATCGCTATAGTGTTACGTAATCTTCCGATAGGCATAGAACTCCTTACATAATTTAAAACCATTTTACAATTCCGTCGTTGCACGACTCTCGCGCAGAAATAATGTCAGCAAAATTGTGCCATAAGGTATTCTGATTCATATGAGAAATCCTTGTTGCGTTGTATAACCGATTGTTGGGTATTAATCTTCTATTACGTCACATTTAAGGGAAAATATTTGAATACAAAGTTCGTTATAGAACATTTGAACTGAGAAAGCTAATACATGAGATGTAAGATTTTCGCGAGTATTCATTTAAATGAAACTTATATTTTTCGTATATACTACGCGATTTTTTTTTTTTTATCAAAAACTACATACTCCTGACGTTTCGGTTGCTTTACAGCAACCGTGATCACGATTTTAACCATCCAATCACCGTGATCACGGAAAAATATGAGTTTCATTTAAGATAATACATTTTTTTAAATATATTCAGCATTTTAGTATTCCTTGATCGGACGTTGTAACAAAGTTTTGATTTCTCTGTATAGTATTATTTTTTGTTATAATCAAAAAAATCAATGTAGCGAAGACCGATATTATTAAAAGAGATCGGAAACAGAAACTGCATTATATAAAAGCGATAGAATATTTATAAGTAGCAATTATAATTTTTATTTCGACATGCTTCATTCACCTCAATTTATTTCCTAATTTATGACATCTACTTTTAAGGAGTAGGTGAAGATTTTTTCATAAATATTATTGGCCCGCGTAGAGTCCGGTTATATCGCGTTTCCAAGAGAACCTTTCAAAAGTTTGGGATAAAAACTATCCTATGTTCTTTCTCAAGGTCAACTCTATCTCTGTACCAAATTACATTAAAATCAGTTTTGTGGTTTAGGCGTGAAAGAGTAATAGTCAGATAGACAGAGTTACTTTCGCATTTATAATATTAGTAGGGATTTAACAGTGCTATTCCTAGAAATATAATTCAAAGAAATAATGCGTGAATAACAGCTACCGTTGATTTGTGTGAAGCGGTTTTAACGAGGTCAGAACAACATGAATTATTCTATGAAGTATAAATATTTCGAGATAAATTAAACGAATTAACATTGTAACACATTTTCTCATAAGTAATTTGAATTTTAAATGTTTACGTAATTTGCTACGCGTCAAATTCAATATTATGTAATGTTTGAATTGACAATGAAATTCTACAAAGCAGACATATCAAACTAACTTAGAGTAACTCGAGAGTTGACTGGCTAATCTATAAACAAGAAGCCGAGTACAAAGCTGCATGATATCAAGACAACACTAATATTGTAGGAACGAAGTTTCTAATCGTCTTACGAGATAAATTCTTTCTGTAATTTGTTTTAAATTTTGTTTCAATTCATTATATTACACCTAAGTTATAATTAATTTATAAATTGTATTACGTAGGCGTAGTAATAGAATGCTTTAATAGTAATTTAATTTGTACTGACTTAAATTTTGTGATATAGATCTACTTAAATTCTATAACTGCTTCTAAATAGACTCACATCTTGTCTGTCCGTGATCACGGTTGCTGTAAAGTAACCGAAACGTCAGGAGTATGTAGTTTATAATAAAAAAATAAAAAATCGCGTAGTAAATTCGAAGATATTAGTTTCATTTAAATGAGTAGTACTAAAATCTAAGATCTCATTATGCTTCTAGATGTCAAAATAATAAATTGTCAAACAAGTCTGTCACATTCTGTCATATAAGCTTAAAGATTTTTTTAATCTTAAAGTTTTTGCTTGAGATACAAGCAATGAATAAATGGTTGAAGTAAGTAAAGGACTGGATGTATTTTATGTACAAGTTAAGGAGCAAAGGATGTGTATCAATAAACAGGTCGGGTTGATAGTTTTATCTTGGAAGTCCATCGATATACTTGTACCATGACGGAGCTCGTTAGGCTTAATCAGACCCATAACAGGCCTTACCTTCCATTACAAGGAAGACTAAAAACTTAGACCTCTTTTGTTGAAATAATTTTATATATTATATTTATGAGGTAAAAATTATGATGGCCTATTTTTTTTTATATTTCAATATGAATCTTTTAGTTATTTGTCTCAAATTAAAAAGCTATTTTTTTATTATTTTAAAATAAAATACAGACGATTTTCGGTGATGTCCCATCAGTTTTTTTTTCTTCGTATGTTATTTCTACATATTTATGTATGTTCATTACTTCAAAATAATGTCCTTTTAATTTTATTCTCCAATCGTAATACATATATTAATCGTCAATTAACATATAAACGCCTATTACCCGGTTTTTAAAAATAAATTAAGTATTTAGTAATAAATTAAAGGTATCTTGTGTAAGTGTATTAATGAAAATATATACATATACATATTAGGACATTCAAATGCCTAAATTATTGTAAAGTTCTATATATTTATTTTAAAGATTAGTGTTTTTATTTATTTAAAAAAACCTAACGATTTTTATCTTAAAGAAATTACTTAAGATTAATTTAAAATTATTATAATATTTACATTTAAAAATAAAAATTTCGTTTAAAGTATACTCATAAAAACTTTGTATGTTAAATATTTTTATATGGCAATATCAAAATAATTTTGATTTTCTCACAAAAATGGATAATTAATTTAGTTTATACATTTCCTGGTTACATATACAGATAAAAACATAACAATTCAGGTATGTTTTAATTGTACTCAGTTACAAGATGTGTTGATGTCGGATTGTCAGTCATCCATTTTTTTAACCTCCGAACATGGACATCTAATTACCGCTTTAATTGGATAAATTATTTTTAACATACGACACGTTAACGACAAGACAACGACTATTACTCATAGTATTTCGTATATTTTATCGTATTGCAATCGTTACGGTGTCGTCAAGTTTAAAAAATAAAGTTTTTATTTAAACCGTAGCACGATCAGGGTCGATCAACCTTATTTAACGGTAAAATAGACAATATCGCGTCACGGTGGGCCAGTACTTAGATTTTAACGGTAGTGGCTTACAAGATAATGCCGATAGACATAACAATACAATATCTATAACAAAACGACGAAGAGAACAATGTTATTTTTAACATTATGTTATATAGAACATACGGTTTATTTTAGCATTTTAGCATTTTTCTTTTTAAATTTTGGAGGCAAATATTTTGATGATGATGTTTTTGATTTTCGTGACTAAATATTTAAATGAAACTATAATTTTTAATATTATTTTAGTCTAGATATAAATTTTGCTTCATTGTAAATAACTGGAAATTAAACATTGTTACCTTTTTTTTTTTGGATAACACAAATTAAACATAAACCGGGTTTTTATTGTGTAAATTAAAAAAGTTTTAAGAGCTCTCGTGGGATTCATTAGATAAAATAAACACTTCGTCAGTTTATTATTTGCTTAAAAGTGTGTGCTTTATTTAGTGTTAACAACACATTTATATATGCATCGATGATTTGATATTCCATTTTTAAAAATTCGAAATTCAAAAATTAAAAAAAAAAAAATTTCTTTCTTTTAGAACAGTTTGTAAAAAGTATATATATGTATGTTTGATTTTAATGTTTTAACACATGGTATTTATATAAATATTTTGTTTTTAACTAAATATATTCGTAATAAATAGTTGTATTCAATGGTTGTTATATCAATAGCTAACCGAAAGCTCAAAGCCCGCAGTGTGTGAGGAGACGCGAAACGTATCGTACGCGACTATCTTGATACGCACGTGGTTTTTTTCGGAGATTTTTAGTATATTAGATTTTTTTTTGTGTGTTAAATAATATTTGGAATTATTCAACATTTTATTGGTATGTTCATATACCTTAGAATATAACGTGTTTTGTATATAAAATTATACATATTTTTTGATAAAATTATTATATAATACTTGAATTTTTTGAATTAATTACAACATTAATTTACTGTAGAATTACATACATAATTTAAATTAATAAAAAACATTATTTTACAATCCGTTTTTGTTTCCATTTTAAAGTCTTTGTTGTGTTATTATTTTGGCTGTTTTGCGATTCTTGTATAGTTAAGAAAAGTTAATTAAGTTTTTACTCAAACATTTTATTTTTCTGTTGAACTAAAAGTGCATAAAAATTAAGAGGTCATTTATTTAATTTAAAAATAAATACATATATATATATAAAGAAATCACAAATGCAATTTAATGTCAAATCAAGATTTTATTATGTCTATTTTATATACCGACCTTGCTTTGAAGCCGTTAAGTGAAAAGTTGCCTGTAATTTATTTCATAATGTTTCAAAGTGACCTAAGTTATACAATTTTTTGTTGCTTAATCGTAGTTTTACGTGAAATGTACTAAGTGGATGCAATTTACACGCTGTGGCTAACATATTTATGGCTTCCTTGGCTGGGATATATACTAGTGAAGAATTTCAAATATAACTTAAACTATCTTTATTAACTTTGTTGAATTTTGGCTATGAACTGAATTTGTTATCTTGATAGCTGCTCTTGAATTCAATAGTCTTAAATCATTCTTATATAAATTAATTGAAAAAAAAAACAACAAAGATTTGCTATATAATTGTCCATTAAATTGCTTAAAGATTTTATATGTAACCTCCTTGGATAAAAATGAAATACTTTTTTTTTTGGACCAAAGCCGTAAAGATTTAAAAACCTACTTAGTTAATTGCTGTACGTCGTTTTGGTCATTTGAGTTATTGTCAACATGAGACGAGCTCGTCATGACGTTGTTTACACAAAAAACTTTTAGGTACTTGAAATTTTTGGAGAATGTATTTGTATATTATACCGTCTCTTTTTCTTCTACCTGGCAATTTCCTAGCTTTAGTCAGGGTCTGCCTTACATGTTGTGAATAATTTGGGCTAATTGTTTTTACGACCGGCCGCCTGCCAGACATCGACCCTCTTTGGGAATGCATTAATCAGTGATGTCTAATGTCTCTTAGAAAGTACATATGAGTTATGATTCGGAAAAATCACATTATATGTAATCTATAACTTTAAATTTCTTCTAGTACTAACGTTATTTTTTGCTATATTATATAATAACTAACCCAAAATTTTTATTTTCTTCCGTATACTATTCTAAGTTTTCGTGGTCACACTACATACGGAACGTAAACAGTTTTTACTTCATAAATCTTCGTATATAGCATTAATTTATTGAAACAGAAACGGGAAATGGGAAATATTTCAAATTTACTGTAGCGATGCAAACTTCTAATATTCATACTGTTCCGTTTTCCTTAAACAGTCGATAACTTAATTTATCTTCGTATACAGTTTTTAATATCATTATTATTTACTAGAAGACCTGGCGAACTTCGTATCGCCCTATAATCAAGAAATATCTATTACGTTTTTTCATTTATATTTTTGGAGTTTACCTGTAAGCCATTAATCGTCGTGTTTTGAAGTGCGACAGAATGATTGACATATTATTTAGTTGTCAAATCTAATGTCAAAAAAAACGTTTGTATGGAAAATAGAAAAGGGCTGTTTTTATGGTTTTCCCAGTAATTAATCAATTTTTTCAGCTTTTATACCTTCCCTGAACCTCCACGAACATTTCAAGACTAAGATAAGATAAATCCGTTCAGCTGTTCTCGAGTTTTAGCGAGACTAAGGAACAGCAATCCATTTTTATATATATAGAAGAAGAAGATTACAGTTGTAATCGTCATTAATCATATAATTATATAACAGTCCAGTAATTTAGAATTTCATACAAAATTATACGCTCTTCAGCTTCAAACTGACCTAGGATTACACATTTAACCTATTAAATTTCCATCCCGTTATCATAATTGGCTTAATCTTCTGATAGAAAATAAGAATCAAATCTCAAATATTTAGTTCATCTCGAAATAACAGAGAAAAGAATTATCGGTGAATATTTTCACATTAAAAGCCGAGTTATTTTAATGTTGAAATTATATTTAGAAAGACTTTATCTATAAAGCAGTTCTTCTTAATCTCATTTTATCTTTATGGATGACGTAACAAAGTCGTAAAATTTTTATTACGCTCTATACATTTTAAAGAGAGTTAAATCTTTTAGATGTACGCTTGAAGTACAGGCTTTGGTTGTATTCGAAATTATGCTAATATGAGTAAATTTTGAGTCATAAGAAAAAAAAATTATTTGCTTCAATGCTTCACCAAGACAGCAGTTCGTTGTCGGTCTTAATAAAAAACATTAAAGGCGATTCATTTCGACACGAACTCGGCGGGCGGTATATTAAACGGTACCCACACCGTTACACTAGAAATTGTAGTAATTTGAGCCACGCCAAGCACAACTATGTAGAACATTCGAATTAAAGTGCAAAACAAAAACGGGATTGTAATAGATACTCTTTGGATGACTTTGGCATTATACTTAAAACTGTGATCGATTTTTTGTATTTTTTTTTGTCATTCTATATATCTTAGATAATCTGTTACCTGATCTTCATGAAATTATTAGATCGAGGAACCACCCGAGCCGGAACAATTGTGATCTAAGAGCTATTTGAAAGTGAATCACGGAAATAGTGATGTGTAAAATGAAATGAACATACATAAACAACAATAAATAAAAAACAAGTGAGAATGTTTGTGAATTTTTGAAATTGTTTTTATTCCTTTGTGTACTGGCTGGTTACATTGAAACATGTGATTTAATTTAAAAAAAAATAAAGTGACAATTATGGCTGTGTGTTTGTGGTTGGCGATACTGTTTTATTTAAGTCAAGCTGCTGTTCTTCCACCTCCTTGGGCCGATGTCAGAAGAAACCCATGTGCAGCTCATCCTCAAGGCTGGCTGATGCTGTACTGGCCTTCAGATGGAAAATGTTACACTATTTACAAGGTTACCTAGCATTTAACTATTCATATAAATTGCATAATATTTTGACGTAGCAATACTTAATTGTACCATTACTTTAAACGTTCCTGCAATCCGGAAAGGGAATTAGCATTCTTGGCCTATTTAGATATAATGCTTGCTTAATAGCTCTTGATTAACATAACGAATTGCTCTAATAGATTATAAATAAAATGAGGGCGTAGGTAACGTTTATATTTATAAAACATAACCGGTATATCGAGTTGTTTTGTGTACGCGGAGACCGTGACCGATTGGTGTGGTTACAATCGCTGACCCACTGCACTCGTCTTAAAAAAAACCCATGATATATACGGAATTCTAATAATATAAACCTCTAATTCCAAGAAACACTTCATTCCCAAAAACCACCAAAAAAATTATGGTAATAAAGACTATGTTGATTAATAAACATCAAATGAAATACAAATTCATGTGTGCTTCATGTTTGTCTATTATATATTTTATGAACAGTCCCGGTGTTAAGCTTGTTACCGGGTAATGTTACGTGACTTATCTTTATTTACATCCCACGACCTAAGACGACCTTTTATTCGTAAGGAAATTAAGACATTATCACATATATATTAGAATTCAAATTCATAATTTTGTTTTTAAAAATATTTAGGTTTTAGCAAATAAAATCTCATTTTTTTAGGCTGTATGACATAGAAAATCTCTATATGTTTCTCGTGACTCGATTTCTACATTGGTAACCTAGTTTCAATCTTTCATGTTATGTGTAACATGACATAACTTAATAACTATTTATCTGTCACCAAAACGAATATTTAAAAGCATACAAAGTTATTTCATTATTAATTCAGTAAAAAATATACTAAGACTAATAAAAAAGTCCAAGGCTAGACAAACGAGTGTGATTTAAATGCATTTGTTAACAATATGCATTGCTTAAAACATGTATGTATAATTTAAGCAATGCATATTGTAAGTACTCAGTCAGTTTGATATCAATACAATAAATTTAATTACTTATTGATGTGTGTATGTATCGTGACATCTAAATGGTTGTAGAGTTCAGGGGTCGGATTATGCAAGCAACCATGAGATGCATATAACAGGATGCTGTAAGCTTTATTGTTGATATATCATCTCCTTATACTCGTAATCTTACTAGCTGTTATCTATAACAAGCTTTAATAAGTTCTTATAAAGAACATAAACTCTATTTTTTATGTATAAAACATTTTTTATATCTATTTCTACGAATAAAGAAAGTAGTTTATATTAATATTAAAGTCATTATTTATGTTATGAAATTTTTGCTAAGTCTAAATGTCAATATAAAAAACGTCTACATAGAATTTTCTTGTCACGTAAGAGCATAGCCCGTATAAATATTTTAATTCATTGTACAATACTAATGGTAGATTATATCAGTTATCGACGATATTTTTTCATACGATTACAATTTGTATTATAAAGTTTTAAAGACTATATTCGCTTGCATCTTTTACGTCAGCGCAACCATGTCGCGGACGTGATTTCCGGATATTATACGAAGCCCGCTATAAGATTACACAAAATTATATGTATACAATTTTAAGCAGTTCCTAAAACGTTGCTACATATAAAGAATAAGATAGCTTCTATAACATTATGCTGAAATTTAAATAAAGTTTGCTCATGCTTCGTTGCGTTGAGAATTAAATGAAAAATTTAAAAGTAAATCCACTATGTAATGCTAATGTTCATAAATTACTCAACTGGTTTGTTCCCATTGTTTGCTTCTTTTGAATTTATGGTATATTTGAGACGAAACCTCTCCGCATTCAATGTATTCACCGTGCGGGTGTCGGCTCCATCGCTTTGTAGGGAGAGGAGCTTCAACAGTGCAATTTAAATTGTACGAATGTACCTAAACATTTCAGAAAGGCCACCCATGTCCAGATACTCAAGAACTAAGTCCTGGCAGACTAGGCGGGAGGACGGTAGCCGAGTGCAAGTGTCCGCCTGGAACAGCCCAGCTGCCCCACACACACACCTGCCACAAGCTCTTCGAGAGAGGGCCCTGCAAACACGGAGAATACTTCGCACCTGTCGAAGAGTCTTTTAACATGCGAGGGTAGGTAAGGATCTGTGTGAGCGGTTTCGCTTTTCATTTAATGATTGACGATATATCATCATATAATCATTATTACTATATAAAATGTGGTCTATATAGTTTTTTGTAGATGTTTTATATAAACAAATGTATATGGCTGTTTAATGGTCGGTTTATTGCAAATTTAATAGACCTCACAATTATTAAATAATAAATGTGTTGTGATATTTACGAATGAATTTTTTTTGCGTCATTTTCGTTCACCTAGAATCAAACAAGGGACCTATGTTGAAATATAGTTTCTCATGTTACAGTGAACGTCAGGGTATGTGTGTGAGACCACAGCAGTGTGCGGACGAGACTCTCCTCTACTGGCCTCCAGATGGAAGATGCTACTACAGACTCACTCAGGGTCCATGCTATCCCGGTCTCATCTTGGATGTAGGCAGCGACGGTCTGGCGAATTGTAGTGTGAGTTATGTAGCAGTATATTCTATTATGTACCTTGGAAATAATTACTTATAGACATATATATAACAAAATCTTTAAATTAATTTTCTACGGCATATTTTCTTTCATTAACTATTGTGCTTCGAAAGCAGCCTTAGTAGTTTCGTTTCAAATTTGGTTAGGTAGAGAGAGGACAGTGGAGGTGAGCGTTAAACCTACGCCTGGGTCGCAAGTCCCAGGCACTGTTGAAGCTCCTCTCCCTGCAACGATAGACCCGAAACGCGCACTGTGAATCCATTGAATGCTAAGAACTTTCGTCTCTTATAAGGCAGTCTTGATTTTTATGATAGGTTTCAGCAAATATATCATACAGTTCTATTCCAGTTCCTATAGTTCTGGGGACAATTCTTGTCATATCATTTCTGTAATGTCCTTGATCCATAAATCGTGAATGCACATCAGTCTGATAAGTGTCTGAACAGTGTTCCAGGTCGAGTCCTCACTACTACCAGGGCTCGTGTTACGCTCATTACACGCGCGGTCCTTGTGAGCTCGGCCAGCTCTTCCTACCTGATGGGAGGTGCGGCTGTGAGGAACATCTGCCTCACTACAGCCGAGAGGCTGCAGGATGTTTTGAACTCGGTGAGATTTCATATAGATTTGATCACCCTAATTCCGATAGAATGTTTTTGTTTGTAATTCAAGCTTGTTAGCTTGTTAGCCTTGACTTTGTAATTCACTTCTAATTTTGTTTAGTTTTTTATTGAGTGGTTTTAATTTTGATTGATACGTCAGGTTTTTGTAAAATAAAACCAAATTCCATATTTATATTTCTGGATAATTCAGAAAGAACGTTAAGTATTATTCTGTCAATAGTATTTGTGGTACATTATTCTAAGAATGCTGTGGTCTATTTTAAGTACTAAAGATTGGAAAAATATCTCAAACTACGAGTACAACTTTGTTAAAAATTGTTGCCCCTATTGAAATGTTTTAAAAATAAAATTATATAAGAAGAAATATTAAAAAACAATTTATTATAAGCTGGATATTTATATTACTTGTATTCAACAGTTCAAAGTAATGTGTTAAATTAACAAACACTTTCATTCAAAACAATAATAGAATGAGAAGCTCATAGCAAAACCCTATTAGCCTCTTTTTCAGGAACTATTGAGTAGTATATCTAATTTCGACCCATTAACTTCATTCCAGACACGCTAGGCCCATGTTCCAAGGGTCACATATTCTCAATATCAGAAGTATCAGCCAATGGTTCTCGTGCTGAGTGTCGTTGTAAAAGGTTCCACGCTCGAGCTACAGACGGAGCGTGTTACCGACTGTACACGAGGGGTCCCTGCGACCAGGACGAGATGATCAGTAGAGGAGGAAGATGTATTAAGGTATATTACCAATTGGCGTATCCAATGAACACAAGTTGCACACTAATTAAATTTTCGTTGTATATTCTATGCTAAACTGTTATTGACTGTAAGCAATGCAAATAATCAAAGAAGTGGTACTGATCCTATTAATGATGAAAGTATCCAATGAACATAAGTTGCACACCACTAGATTTTCGCTGTACATTCTATACTACAATGTTGTTGATTTTAAGCAATGCTTATAGTCAAAGAAGTGGTATTGCTTCCATTAATGATGAAAGAATCCAATTATCGCAAGTTGCATATCCATTTGATGTTCATAGTACCTTCTATACCACAATGTTGTTGACTGTAAGCAATGCTTCTTATCAAAGAATTGGTATTGATCCTATTAATATTAAAAGTATCCAATGAACACAAGTTGAACATGCATTCGATGTTCGTCCTACGTTCTATACTATGTACAATGTTATTGACTGTAAGCAATGCTTATAATCAAAGAAGTATTGCTTCCAATGATGATAGTATCTATTGACCACAAGTTGCTCACTGTATGTATGTACGCTCGTATGTCAGGTGCCGTGTGCTCGTGGTCGTTTGTACGTACCGTCTCGTCGTCGTTGTTACCGTCCAGGCTCCGCTGAGCCATGCGGTGTTGGCGAACACCTCGCCTTCGACTTCGAGGCTCGCCCCGCCTTGGACGGCCTCAGTCATAACGGTGTATGCGTGTGTGGGAACAGACAATGTGTTACTGAACAGGTATTATACATTAATTAGATTTAAGATTTTCGTGAGTTTTATTCATTTAAATGAAACGAATATATTTCGCATTATACTAGGAGTGTTTTATTTTTGTAAAAAACTACATATTCCTGACGTTAAGGCTAGTTTCAGCAACCGTGATCACGGGCAGACGAGATGGGAGTATGTAATTTTTTACAAAAATATTCGTTATAAAAATTCGTTTTTATAAAGTTTTCCTACATTCTGTTCTTGAATGATTTCTAAATTAAATAGTTTTAATGACATCTAGCTATCTATCTTTGAATAAGCAAACGGAAATTTTGTAAACGATCACCAAATTTCTATCACAAGGACTTCATACTTTTCCAGGTACAGTCATGTCATACACGTAAGGGTTCAGCGATATATAAAGGTACGTGTCACGTGTTGTATACACAGGGGCCTTGTTCTGACGGTCGCTGGCTCGTTAGAGATGACACCGGAGTCAGCTGCCAGTGTAGACCCGGCTTAACATATTGTAAGGACAGCTGACGAAAGATTATATATTTTGTTTATAATGTTTAAAGGTTGCACTTCACTTGTCTTTGCGTATTTGCCGTATTTGTCCAAATAGCACAAACACGACATCCACACTTGGCATACCAACAACACGTTTACGCGTTTTCGCTTATTTGTGTATGTGTGTTATTTGTGCAAATATGTCAAATGAAGACGAATAAATTCTCCACACATGGTTTTATTTGGATGAACATAACAAATAAAGTGAAGTGCCACCTTAAGGAGAATTATATTCCTATTTTAGTATTGTATTTTTCTTACAATTATTGTTCGATGATTTATTAAATATAATTGTTTGTCAGTCGTGATGTATATCCGACTTAAGTTATTTAATTTTAAAATTAATATCATAAGAGTAAATATACTATAGTCTAGATGATATTTAATTAATAGATGTATGTTTTTTATATGAAAATGTACAGGCCAGTTATAAGAAAATAAATTATTTTTTACTTTTATACTCGTAAAATGTATTTGGTATTATACTTGTATGACACTTGAAATGCCATATTTCAGTAATTAAAAAAATATATTTTTTATAAACTAATAAAAAAATATATTTTTTATATCTAGGAGATATGATCTCATTTCTTTATTAAGAAATCATAATACTTTTTATACTAAAATAAATTTGTACATAGAAAACTGGGTTTTAATTAATCTTGAATTAAAAGAGAAAAGAAATAAGTCATTTTATTTATTTTTCACATTATCTTAAATCTTATTAACATCAGCGTATAAAAATATGTCGAAGCTACAAACTAAATATCATATGTTTTGGCTTAATGCTATTCAATAGTCACAGTCCAACCGAACTCATTTCTCCTTTAATTTATTCTGTGATTTTCCTGCAAAATAAAATTATATTTTATATATGGAAACAAAGAATTAAAATCTTAATAGCATCGGATAAATATTGTATACAGTGAGATACGATTTAATATTCGACTATGCAGATCTTTTGTGTTCCAAGTAGGTCGAAAGGAAAATTAATTACGGCTCTTGAATAGATTGTATTTCAAGTATTTTGTAATATAACAACAGTTTTAACTAATGATTTTTAATTACATAACTAATAACTTGTTGTTATTTGTTGTTTTATAAGGAAAACTCAATATTTAATATTTGTCCGTTAGCAATTTTTTTTAACCAAAGTTAAATAAAGGAAGGTTATCAATTCAGAACTGAACAGTTTTCATATATGTTGGCCTATATCGGCGTCTGAACAAATTTGCTAAATTTCAAATGTGTATGTATGTTTGTGTTGTCATATCTCGGTAACGACAAGTACGATTTAAGTATTTTTTTTTGTTTTACTGGATGTTGTTCAACTTAGTGAATGCTGCAATTGTCATCAAAATCGGTGCAGTAGTTTTTAAAATCTTGGTAGTATTACGTACCAGCCAGTAAAATATAATTTAGATACTTCTGGCTATCTTGATAATAAACCTTTAGGAAAGGTTGTAAAGGAAAAAATAAATTAAAATGTTTCTTTTACAAACTCCCTTTTCTTCTCACAAGAAATCAATAATATTAATTTGATATTACAAATAGATATGTAGTTTTATAGATAAATGTAGAAATACTTAATCAAGAAGTCATAATATTATACTTACCAAAATATATCCTATACACTTGGTTGAATGGCATCTCAATTGACACTGTCGTTAGAATAGAAATAACGAAGACGACTAAGATTTCAGGTACGTTTGTCTGTAATACAAAAAAAAATATTATCATCAGTGGCGGCTGTACCTTAAGTGCACTCGTGCGCTGAACCACCAATTCAAAAGATTTAAAAATTACAAAATATTACTTCATCTTTATTTTTAAATTACCATTTTAATATTTATTTCCTAAACATAGAAAAAAGTATAAAAAATGAAATTTCTAATTATAGTGAAAAAGTTTGTGCGCTTTACTGAACTAATATCTCGTGCACTATGGTGAGTGCACGAGGACTGCTAATACATCTTGTATGAGATACGCATTAAGACGCCTGACGCGTGAAACAAAAGATAGTTCATAGAAATGTACCGAGTAATGAGTCGGTTCTCGAGCGCCGCACGAGCGGCCGAAGATTACCGAGAGCACCCGATGTATGACGAATTGGAATTGAATCAAAACTTTTCTCCGAAATACCATGCACTTGCTAAATGCACTTTCTATGCTTAGTATTGAAAAAAATAATTATATAAACAAAACCCGATTTTAATAAAAAGGTGATTAAACATTTCGCTTCACAAAAATGTCGTCGCATTGATTTAATGTTTAAAAAATAAACATATTTTATGTAAATTGGTTTTTTGTTGCATTTTCTAATTTTAATATTTTATTAAAGTGCACCACCAGTTCGATAACCCACCAGCCGCCACTGATTATCATACAAGAGTTCAGGATAAAAAAATACACAAAAAAGGTTTTAATTAGCTTGATACTTTATATTGTTCAGTTATAAGAATCTTGTAAAAAAATCGAATAATTCCTAAGTAGCTTAATTTTTATATATCTGTATATATAAAATTCTCGTGTCGCGGTGTTATATAGAGAACTCCTCCGCAACCGCTGGACCGATTTTGATGAAATTTTGTGAGCATATTGAGTAGGTCTGAGAATCGGCCAACATCTATGTTTCATACCCCTAAGTCATAAAGGATGTTCACCCTTATTTTTTTTATTTGTTATTTTCGGACGAAATTCTTTGTTTTTTAAAAATATTAAAAATATATATAACCAAAAATTTTTACTTTTTTATCACCAACCCCTATTTCTTTATATAGCAAAACAACGTTTGGCGGGTCAGCTAATTTATATTTATAGACCTATTTAACTTCTCATAAAAGTTTTCAATAAGATTCATCCCATTGAAAGTTTAATGGGAATTTATTTAATTCCTTTAGAATATCCTAAATTATAATGTAATATAAGTAAATAATGTAAAAGGTTGTTGTTCAAAAAGTTTTTGATAGTCGCAGAACTAAACCTTACCTGTGACAGGCTTTGATGGTAACGAGGGTCAGATGTCTGAACTGCTTATCAAATAGCCTATATTTCATTCACAGTAATGGAAACTTATTTAAGTATTCAATGGTTTTTCACTTAAATATAAAATTTATATTGATCAAGTGCCAAATTTCTAACAATATTTTTTTTTGTTAAACTGATCTTTTTGAACAACTGTCATAAAGATAAAGGTTGCAATAAACTATATATGTATCTTTTTCTACCTGACATTTTCCCGGCTATAGCCAGGGTCTGCCTTACTTGTTGTGAATAGTTTTGGCTATTTGTTTTTTTTTTACGACCGGCCGCCTGCCTGACATCAACCCTCTTTTGGGAATCAGCATTAATCAGTGATGTCTAAATATTCTTAGAAAGTACATATGACTCGGAAAAATCACATTGGTACTTTGCCCGGGCCAGGATCGAACCCGCACTCTAGGCAACGAGAGGGGGGCCCTCTAACCATTAGGCCAACACTGACTATACAGGGTGACTGGTGAATTACTATCGATACTTGAGGACGAGATATTTGACGATCATATATGACTATATAAAAATTAATATAACATAAATATTAATAAACTTCTAAGTAAAATTAACCAAAAGTTATGTAATTAATAACGCATCGTGTGAACACCCTACAGATAAGGTATACACACACACACACACACACACACACATATATATATATATATATATATATATATATATTAATATGTTTCGAGAGTAAAAATAAGTCCTGTCAATTAAAGTGCTTAGATAAATTTGCTTGAATTAATGTATAGAGTTATTAACTTACAAGAAGAAGTGGTGTATAGAACTCCGAATGTCTCTGGATACCAACATTATAGAAGAATATTGGGAACTGGGTCAAGTACACGCCGTACGCGATCTTATTGAAGAACTTAAATAGACGCCATTCAACAAACGGCGTCCCGACTCCTAGAAGGAAAGATCTCGATAAGGTTTACATAAATCATTTCATTTTATATTAAAGCTATTCATTTTTACGATTAAAATTATCAACAAAAATACTTTTGAACGCTGATCAAATAGAAGAGAAGAAAATAAAGCACTGTTTTGATAAGAGACGAAACTTCTTAGCATTACATGGATTCATCGTGCGAGTGCCGGGTCCATCGTTGTAGGGAGAGGATCTTCAACAGTACCTGGGACTTGCGACCTAGTTTTAAGTAATTAGAGCTAAAACAACGTACCAGAATATTCGTTGCATATACACCAGTGGGCGATGCACATAGAAAGACCCCAGAGTATGGGTGTGAATGCAGCGAACATGGCTGCTTGGTGGTGTTCATACGTGTAACCCTCTAGACCCATCTTGTAAGGGCTAACGATTGTGAATGCGGCCAGCGCAAAACTACAAGCCCATACCAGTCTGGCTTGATTCTGTAATGTAAACAATTATTACATTGTAAACAACAATGAAAAATATTTCGATAGACTCTAATATTATATGGATTATTATTATGTTAAAAAAACTACATAGTCCCGACGTTTTGGTTACTTTTCAGCAACCGTGATCACGGACAGACGAGATGTGAATGTCTGTCAGTTGGTCTTGTTAAATATGAGTTTCATTTAAATGAATACTCTCGAAAGTCTTAATCTCATTATATTGATAGAATTTAATACATTATAAACAATCATTTGATTTCATTTCATTGGCAAAGTTATGATTTTCTTTCATAAATCAATATAAATTTTAACGTAATGAGAATTTCTTGTACTATACTTACATCACTGAGATTTAAATATGATTTTTTTGATTTTATAAAGTAAGCCATGAGGACTCCTATAAGGTATATCGTTGCGCGGTGTGTCGGTAAAATATATGAGTAACGAGCAGCATCTAGAAGCTTCTGAACACTGAAAAGATTGAATAATACATTTAAATATTATTAATATGAATAAAATATCAAAAAAGCGTAATTATCATATTATTTGTGTTTCATTTGTACAGTAAATATTTAATTATCTTTCATTATATTCCTAATATTACAAATGAATGTCGAAAATTAATACTATTCAAAACTCCAGGCTTTCCTTATATTTTTCAGTACGTATAATTGGTACTCATTTTGATGGTTACGAAGGTGTTTCAAGTGACGTCAAATTCGCTGTAATCATGTAATCTAGCCTAAGAAGTGAATAATTATCACCTCGTATTTAATATGTTAATAATGTCTGTAATTTTCAAAGCTTTGTATAATTATGTACGTTTAACTTTATGAATGAAGGTCTATACATCTCTGTTCTACGGAGTCTTATACGTGATAATAGCTTGATAAAATGAATATACTAAAATAAGCCATAAATATATTAGTTTTTAGACGTAAAACTATTCTTAATTCAGATTGCTACAAAAATGAATATCCTCAAACGTAGACCTAAGTAATGCTCTTTATATAAATTTAAAAACATCACATGTACATTGTACATGCATACATATTTTTTATTTAATTTAAGTTAGAAAAGTATGAATTAATTATAGTGTAAAAACTTTGGTTTCTGTCATACTATGAAATAATAAATCAAGAAAAAAGAAACACTTAAACATTTTATAATAGGTATGTTAAATTGATGTTGTAGCTATAAAAATTTTTCGAATGATTCCAATTTTAAGCTGCATATTTCTGCTAGAAAGAAAATACCAATAAAAAAGGTTTTAAAAGATAATACCTATAAAAAAGGTTTTATATATTCATATATTATGTATCTGGCATAACAGAATAGATATTATTGTATCACGTAAAAACATTAACAAAAAAAAAGTATCAAATCCTTATTTCGGTCGTACATACAATAAAATACTTTCACGATTGGTGTAATTTGTGAACGTGTTATGTTCTAAGTTAATTATGTTAAGGGGTAGAACGTTGATCCTGGTACGCCATTTGCTTATTAAGGGTAGTTTGTAATAATCTTTGCATAATGGCTCTTATTAAGGCAGATAATTAACTATATAATTAGTTTTTGGCTTAAAAAGTTACTCATTGTTGTAATATATTAAATAGTAAATGTTCTAAAGTTAACATATGATTACCAAAAGTCATTTATTTCGTATTTTCAATAATTTTACTACAAGTTTGATGCTATAATGAGTGAAGATTTAATGAATGAAGCATTTTAACTCTCATGCAGACTTGGTTAACTAAATAGTTTGCATCTTCAAACTACACACGGACTTTCAGTATTTTGTAAATAATACAAACACATGGTTATATTAGCGATGTTCAGATAATGTATAATAAAATATTTATATGAAATAACTCTAATCAGCTAGTTCTTATTATACTGAGCTAAAGACTTAGGTGAGAATTCAGATACAATAATATTATATAGGCAAATTTAGACTCTATTACAAATCAAAATAAAGTTTAATCAACCAATTTAAAGTACAAGCCAAGCCGTATATAAAAAAATACTTACGATATTCCATAATACACGAACATGCTGATATCGTACCAATGTATGGCGAGATACCTCAGGATAGTTGAGGCAACAGATATTCCCAATATTAAGGTTAGACCAAGCTTCTTGTACTTCCACAGTACGAACATGAGCGGTAAGGTAGCTATGTACAACTGCATGTCCATGCCGATTTGATGTGTGTGTGTTAGGCACTGGAAGGTAATTATTCTTATTAATAATCAAATATAGGAAGATGAATATCGTTATATTTATTAGTATGTATGTAGTATTTACGATGCCAATCAAATATTGGGTATATTATTATAGATAACGAACTGGCATTTATTGTTTTGTATTCAATATAGTTCTTACAGATATGGTTGCAGATTGAAGGATGTGGAAGAAAAAGAAAGTATTTCTTTATCATCAGTATTTTGTGGAAAAAATATTATGTGTATAATGGTTGTTAGTCTATTAAATTATTGCTATTATACCCCAAAAACATGGTGTAAAACTCATATTTCGTAATTTATCCTTACTTACGATTACTACAAAGAATCAAGAATAAAGTCTCTTACTTATGGTTCTCTATAAAGTAAATTTCTATTGAAAATCAATAGATCAAGGCCAAGGTAAGTGCGTGCTTTCTTTAGAATATAAGGCTTTACATTTTTTATTAGGTATAAGGTAATTATTTGATTTGGTAAAACATTTATCGGATTTATTGCAAAAGCGATTAGGCTGATTTTTATGTGTTTTTTAAATTTAAATGCTTAATTACTCGTTATGATTCTAAGAGATATTTGGTTGAAAATCTACGCAATTTTTCACGTTGCAAAATCAGGGCTACTGACGAATTTCATATAAAAAATACAATTAAAATTACAACTCCTTAAACGAGTTCTTTTTCGAGATAAGAAGTTCCCCTTGACGGGTATATTATTTTAACTTAGTGTTATTAAGAAATGTTATTTGTTCCTTTTTCTGGGATTAAGTTAACAAATAATCCCTGGCATTTCAAAATTTTTAGGGTTTATTATATTGTTACAACACTGTCACCATTGATTACGCGCTACATTTAAAGAAATAAATGAACATCGCCGGGGCGACATCTTTGTATGGGTAAAATATCATATAACGAGTGACGCTGCTGACTCCGCGGTACAAACACCAAGCCGTGTGAACCAGAAGATTCCTGATACCACACAAGCTATGGAATGGCATTGCTATCCTAACATCGGGAAAATCATGTAGTCTTAAGTATAGTATAAGTTTTAATATGTAATTCTTATTATAATATATGTACATATAAGTAAGTTTCGTAGATTTTCTGGTATATACGAGTATGCACGTTTTTATTTCTGTTTATAAAAGCATCCACATTCATCACTTATTTGTGGAATAGATTAATCTTTTATTCTTATATTTTTAGTAATATGGATTGTTGAACGAAATTGAGATCATAAAGTAAGCTAAACTGTTCGCTTATCTTTAGACAACAAAGAGTTTTTCGGATAGCCTATAAATAATAGCTGTAAATAATATAAAATGAAATATTTAGGGTTAAGGGTTCTGGCTTGGGAACACCCTTGTTATATACCTATCTACGTTGTTACAGGATTCTGTCTGTACTGTATTTATGTAAAATATTATTTTATTCCTTTGTTTCGGTAATACAAAGTGATTTACAACGTAATGTCGTCTGAACTGAGTTCCCTTGCAGTGATATTAATGGAAAATCTTAATTGTAATGCAAATGCACTTCAGATGTACATTTTTAAAGGAGCGTAATTAACAATGTTAATACTTAATAGAATATATTTGTTTTATCTTAACATTTATGTTTGGAAGTGAGTTATTATTAGTTTGTTTATGATATTACATATTACGAAGTTCTTGAGAGAAATCTTAATGTTACTTTTCCTTCCATTCTCTTTATATATTACCCGCAAATAATGTTTTATTCCATTATTATTATGTGTACTATATTGTTATATATATGCTTATTTTTAATGTTTATTACTCTTATTAATATTTGACTTGATAAACGTTTGGTAAGAATAAGTGTAGACGGAATATTTTAATTTGCAATATAATTATGTTTCTTTATGTCATATTGATCCGCTAATGCTATGATTATATAAAATTTTTATATAAAAATAAAGCCAAAATGTTAATATTGAATAGCTTAACATTATTTTGATTAATTTTTAATATAATGTCACAGGAATAGAACAGTTTTGAAGAGAAGAATTTTTTAAGACAAGCTTGTATATAAGATGTAGTGTGTTATATAATACTGGCGTACTCTATGTCACATTCTTTTAAAATATAATCAAGTAATCTTTAAAAGCGAAAATTAAATCTACATAACGAAAAAATCCAATAAAATTTCGTATCTTACAAAAAAATATAGAAAACGCCATTTTAGTTTTACACAGAGCAAAAACGCCTGATGTCGAAATTCATTGGTTATTTTTTAAGAGAAGATTTTATATGTTTTCTATGATGACACCGGCTGGATAGATTTTTTTATATATTTTTTTCTCTGAATGCATTCCGAAAACTCAGCAGTATATTTCGCGACATACATTCAATAACCGGGTGACTTATATAATAGCTTGGGAACTTAATGAACACTCGCTCGCCTATTGTTCGATCAAAATTTTCCGATATTCACATTATTATTTTTTGTTCTGGTATTATTTTAATGACTACGAGCTACAATGAAATTCATAACTTGTGACGGAATAATTAGGCGATTATCCCGATTTATTGACGTTTGAATTGGAAAAGCTGAATTAAAAGAGAAATATTAAACTTTTCTATTGTTTGAAAATAAATATATATATTGTAAATTTCTAATACGAATTACTTACGATAATATTAATAAATAAATAAAAAGCCTTTTAATGTCCAATACGCGAAATTTACACTTCTTTGCAATCTATTTATTGTTAGTTCATGTAGTTTCAACGACGTTTGTATAATGTTTCTTTCTTTACTTAATTTTATGTTTATCCTATTTCTTTATATTTATACATACATATCAATATCATTAAGATAATGTAAATTTCGTGAGCGTGATTTTCATCGCCATATTTAGCTTTCCATTAAGCAAGCGAGTTAGGGTTGTCTTTTTCATTAAACTAAAGATACTTTTAATCTGTTATTTATATACTCATACAATAAATAAACCAAAAAAGATATGACCTTTTTAACTTTTGAATATTACTTAAATATTTCTCATAATGTAAAGACTAGGTTCTTATAAGGCTTTAAATTAGACGTAAGTCTGGCATTCTTTTATTATGAAATATACATAGATATATGACTTCTACACAGTAAGGGTATTTATTTTTTAATATCACTAAGTAGAAATTCCAAGAATGTCTACAAACACGAGCACTTTTAGATACCTAAGATTAGATTTCTTATATTAGATCAAATAAGGTATATTAAAATCATAATTTAATATATTAGATTTGACTTCTATGAATGTATAGTATAGCTATCACTGTAAAAAGGGCTTATGGTAAAAACATTATGACGTCACTCTTACACCTACTCACCATATCCTCAAAGCCGAAGTAGTTGTGTATAAAGAGGAAGCTCTTCCACATGTTCTTTTCGCAGACACGACTATGTTCTTCCACCACAAGGTTCCATTGAGGACCATTGTTGATGTCAGGAAGGATGTACGTGCAAAACAGCATAAGGCTCAGAAACATCGGGAATAATCTAGAAGGATTTAAATGTACATAAAAGATTAGTTACTTATTTCTTTATTATCATAATATATAATTCTCTATTGTACAATAAAAAAATCATTTATTCTGTTTTCTTTGGAAAGCATGTACGGTCTTCAAGGCTGCTTATTGCTTAAATAATAAGCGCTTTGTTTTGTTTGATGACAGAAGTACCAAATTTAAAACTGGACTGATATCAAAAAGATGCTCAAAAGAGAAAGTAATTTCAGAATCAATATCTCACATAAAACAAAGATTATCATGAATGAGTGCATATTAAAGAAAAAATATTTCTATTGCTTTTAATTTGAATAGTGCAACAAAATTAAAATAAAAACAAGTGAGTAATTCTTAATTGATTTACATCATAAAATACTCAGAATAATGTCACATATGCTCAATATTTTAGCATAAATTTATCTAACGAACGACACCATAAAACAAAGACTCAATAAACACAGCTGCAACTCATGATTTATATATACTAAGATTTATTTATGATACTTTACGTAAATTAATATGTCATCTAAGTATACACATATATGAAAAATTTTAGATCTGACAATTAATCCTATTCATTTGAGTTTTAATTTGGTAAACACGTGCTCTGTTGTAATATAAATGAGCAATCATTTTAATACGTTAATAATGATATTTAAATTGAAGTTTAAATACCGTAATTTCCTTTATCATTAAAGGTATAAGCGTCAAATACGGATTTTGTTCTCAAATTTGTAGTAATTAGGTATTGGATGTTGTGTTTGAAATTTATGGTGCGTTTTATTAATTATTATCCGTTGTTTTGCGATAAATGTGAGTTACCGCTGAATAGTTATATGAAACTTTGATTTAAATTATATCGCTTGAAACGATGAATAATATTTGTTACTATATATTTTAATTACTTCATATAAATCCTGTTTCCAGCGTTCTTTATAATAATCCGCTTCTAGTTTTTCTCTTTTGCGTTTAAGTTAAATACATCTGACAGACAGGATTTTTCAAATTGAAATTAACAAATTTTACTAAAATGTACAAAAGAATATAATATTATTTAAGAAGTTGATTGATAAAATTTTAAGCAGCAAAAGAATTAATGATAAATATAGTTCAAATAGATTCCGTAATTTTTAAATTACTAATGAACAAAATTATCTAAATATCTTTGAGAAATTTATGTAATGAGTCCAATTGCTGGTCTTTGTACTGATGTTTAATGAAGTGTATGTAATAAAATAATAAGAGCAATCTCTTTACTGACAAATCATTATCGAAAGATGCTACCAAATGAGATATTAGCTTACAATATGTTCTATTAATTCAAAGTCTAACGCTATATATAACATAGGTATAGTGATGTAACTGACTAACCTGAACCACCTGACCAGAAGTCTGTTTTTAAAGTCAATGCTGCCTTTCTTTTCCAGTTCCTGCATCAAGTTGTGTGCGTTGAGGAAGCCACTGAGGTAAAGAAAGCTATCCGTGTAGACTATGGCAGAACGCCCGATCACTGCCCAAGGCATACCAAATACCTGCGCAAAAAGAACACTTACCATCTTTGTCAAGTTTATTCCTTTGTAGGAATTTAACAGTAAATTATATACTAAATGATAAAATGTTATATTATAAATCTATCTAAACATTTATTATAAGACATTTGAATTTATTTTAAAGACATAGAAATTAACACCCATCAAAGTAATTATGTAGACGACATTTCGCTAAAACCATTTGTGTATTTACATTGCCTAATGTTTCACGAGGAATATCAGAATAATGGAATATTTTATGATAATACGAGAGACATTGTATCCACAAGATAATTATAAGACATAATAAGAGATAAATTTAAATCACCCATCTTAATAATAAATATAGCTGAATCGAGAATGAAAATGTTCCCCTGTTTATATAAATGACTTATAATGCTTGGGAGTTCTTCCCATAATAAACTTTGCCTCTTTTAACATAATATTTGCTTAAACGTTAGTAAACTATTTATAATGTTTTATAATTGGGAGTTTTATTTTAATATTTAAAGCGTTCACTCTTCGATGTTGTAAGGGTCGAGGTAGTTCAAGTGAAATTAATAATAAATAGCGTCGTCTTAAAAGGATGTCGTTGTTAATATATTTTGTATGTTTGTTAAAAAAAGATTTTCTTTATAAATGAATGTCGTGGTCACTTCAATTTTCCTACAATATATTTTTTTTAAGACAGTAGTTTAACTACTCTTGATATCTGAATTTTCTAGCTTGGTTATAGTTTACTCAGTAGAATCAGGCAAAAATAAGATTTTTTTTTTATTATAAGCATTTGCCACAGTAAGATACAAACAAAAAACTATTATATTTTAGTAAGTATTTATTTGAGCTAACCTCCGAGTAACTTGTCTTATTCACATATGGGCTGTGCGCCATTGCCATGGACTTATGTGCAAGAAGCAGAGCGAACGCATTCAATCCTCTGAACGCATCAATTCCTTTAACTCTCGTCGGAGAATCCGTTAGATCAAAAAGTTTTTTAAAATTACGCTTTAAGGAGAATGCGTTCAGCAACTTTTCGAAGTTAGTTCCGCCCTCTCTTCCGTCATCTAGCATTGTTCCCAAACTCAGCAAAAGTAAGATTGCCAGGAAAAATGTTCTGAAATAGAAAAACAGGAATTATAAAAGAGTTCATAAGTCGTGTTACTTAGTGATAATTGAAATTAATTGTGATTTTGGAACTTATAATGCTCTCATTTCTATTCGATATTAAGCGTTATTAAAAACTAGTTAAGTGACATTTTGCAGTGCTAATAGCTCGTTCAGAATAGTTTTATTACAAATTTCAGCGACCAGAATATGTAAATTACATCTCGTTAATGTTCCAATAAATTGCCGGGATCAATTGAATTTACGATAATTTGTGCTCATTCATCAATACACTATTTTGTGTGTAAACAACGAATTTAATGTCGCAACATACTTACATTGATAATGTTTTACCGAAAGAATATGGTCTGCTAAAATCTTTGACTGTGCACATCGTGTTTTGAACTCTGACCGATATTCCGAGGCTTGACAGTTTTTGATTTAGTTCGTCTTCTAAATCAAAACTGTTGCAGGAACTCGGTATACACACACCCCATAGTATACTGGAGTACCTTGGCACTCTGTGGCCCATCTGGAGATAAAATATTGTTATTAAATATATATACATATATATATTACACAATTAAGCAAAAAATAACAGCGAATGAATAATATGTAATAATTATATAGAACAAGTGGATACTAGAAGCTACTCAAACTATTTTTATCTTTAAATACCTACTAATATTAAGAGCGTCTTTATCGAGGTGTCAAATGTTCATACAGGACTTTATTAAAAGTAAATAATTGAAAGCATGGTGTATAATTAGAAGCTTTGTAAAGCAAGTGGCGTGCATTGTTAGAGTTCCAGAAATTTAACTTTGTCTGGAGCCTGGTCAAAGGCTATTGTATTACACAATGAGAATTGTGATGCAAAATAAAGAGACCAAATAAGTTGACAATGTGGACTGTTGGTGTTGCTTACGGAATAATAACTAAAGACCTTGGTAATGCGTGATCACGATTCAGATGATACCTCGTACCTGTCTAGTTTTATTGTTACTTTGTCATTTGTGATTTATATTGTATACACAACTCGGATGTCACTTGAACTTTGTGTAGGAGCTAAATTGGGATAATATTGTATCAAACTTATGGGATAATTTTGAGAATAATAATGACGTTTTTAACAAATTAAATGTCTTTGATAAATGCGCTGGTTTAATAGGTTATTTTTAATCCATTTCGGTTTTAAAATATTTATTAATATACTATAGTATATAAAGATTGTAAAATTAAAAATATGTATGAAAATTTAACAAACTAAGAAGGAATTTATATGTCATTTTTGTGGTACAACAAAGAGTTACTTGTTTTAATAGTACCTTAGACAAGTTTCACAAATGCTGATTAAAATATTATTTGAAGTCTGAAGTGTTTAATTTCCGTTTACAGTAAGTTAAGAAGTATGTACAGAAGTTATGCGACGACCGATTTATCCCGCTTTTAGTGCTTTTATAGTATCTAGAGTCACGCATTTGCTTCTTTAGTTAAATTAAGTATTCATAGTCTTTAAAGTAAATAGAAATTTAAAGTATGTCAAGTTGACAATCTTTGGATGTATCTGGAAATGAGCCATTTCGTTTTTATCGACCATTGATTGTTTATAACAATTGTTTTTCCTCTTAAACCTTAACCACATCACGTAATTTAACGTAAGTGCTTGACATCAAAGTTCAAACACCCCTAGGCTCAGTAAGGTAATAGAAATTCCAACGATGCAACGCAATTTGGTAATTTTCAAAGGATAGTATAATGTGACATAATTATATCAAGGAGTTAATATTTCTTAGACAACTATGAAGTCCCTCGCATAATACAGTACGTACTTAATAGTAGGGATTACCAAAATTTAATTTATCATTTAATTTCAATTTGCGTACAAATAAGGAACTTGTAGGTGATTTAATTGTCAACGTCAAAATGTACGGTCGCTTCTTGAATATTAAAGAGATATTATGTTTTATATATGTTTAACTTGTAATTGTAGTCCCTTATTTTGCTACGAAAAATAAAAGATTGAAAGGAATTATAACTGGAACTTTTTTTGTTTTATTACAAAAGACATTGCCATATATGTAGCATCCTGCAATATATCTTTAGTTCAGTTCAAGATTCTTTTTCAATTCTGTATACATTTCTGTGAATACTATAAGTTCAATAGAAGCTATTGTCGACGATGTTTCTATAATCTTGGTACATTTTCATCTGATTTGTCATTAATTACGATTGATGTAAAGTAAACAAAACGTTTGAATTGTTAGAAAAATATATAAAAAATTGCTAAGTTATCCGAAATATAGCACTAGGTAATCTTTGTTTAAATATACACAATAAAAATTAAATTATTCAATATTTATATGACGAAAATGCGTTAAATTTATTTGATAATTGCATACATGACTAATTCCACGATTCCATTACGTTATTTTATTTGAAATCATTTGATATTAATTGGATAAACCAATCAAAATTTTTGTTAATGTCATAATATATTTGAAGTGCGTCACTTGTGATATGACGTCATAGCATTATGACGTCATATGAAAATCGGGAGGGGGTGATCTAGTGACGTAAATAGGTATAATAAGCTGTGCGAAATGGCTTGCATATTATATATGTGCCCCTTCATCTTTGTTGCCAACTGATCGTTACTAATGGCAATGCGGTCGCGACATCTTGCGGCGTACATGTTGAACTATTATTATAATTAGTTAAATACATTTCTGAGAATTTGATGCTTCGAAGGTGAAAGTTAAGTGCAAAACGTCTCTTCAATTATAATTATTATAATTAAATGTTAGGAACAAAGACAATGTGTATATCACCGTGTTTGTTATTTGTTAGTTGTTTCGAGTTACAAATTTCAGTACCAACGAGTTGCTGCTACGGAGATGCTATCGTATAAATAATATTTGTATAACTCTTACATTCGTACAATAAAATAGAAGTTCAAAAGAGGAGTATTATTGTTCAATAACGAAACAAGAGTGTCTTATTTAATGAAACTAATATATTACCGATTACTACGCGTATTTTATTATTTTAAAAACTATATATCATGTACTTCCGACGTTTCGGTTACTTTACAGTAACACATCACGGGCAGACCGAAAAGACGGGAGTATGTAGTTTTAAAAATAATAAAATACGCTTTGTAATCGGATAAAAATTGTTTCATTTTAATGAATACTCGCGAAAGTCTTAGATCTCATTAAGAGTGTCTAATAGATATCAGTGAAAGTAACATGTATTATATCAATTTTATTTTAAATAACCTCTAAACATTGTAAACAAAAAACTAACTTCCTTAAATATACAATGTTTCAGTCAAATATAATTAGGGTAGATTTATTTCTTAGTATACTCGCTGTGCGGTTTTATTCCCTTTGCATTCAGACAATTTATTTATAAAATGTTAAAATATTAAAAATAAACTATAATTTTTGCTAGTCTTCGTTGAGAATAAAGAAAAGTTTTTATACATGTTTACGTTTGCATGCAATGCGCTAATAAGATTTTTCATATCTCACAGATGATAAGTCGTTGTGAACGTGAGAAAAATTCTTCAGCATTGTTTAAAAAGTGCAACCATTACGTCAACTCTAGCTAAATCCAGATTAAAATGAAATATTGTACAGTTCTAACAGCATAAAAATATATAAAACTTATGTACTGTATTCTTAAAATCTAAGATAGAAAAGATATTTTGCTTTATTGGATTTAAAAAGCAAAGAATTTAAGTTCCTGTTTTATTTGAATTATAAACTTACATCAGTTATGTTACTCCTTATGTAATGGCCGCTGTGTATGAGGTAGTCCAAATTTTCCATTTCTTTGCTTCCACCTAAGCTGACTTGCAAGGAAGCCAAACAATATTTTCCTCTAACGGGACCGTCGATCCCCAAACATTCGTCGAAATCCCCATATTGGTTGCCGTTCCCACTCAATATACCGGATGGAGGCTTTGCTGTCGCATCAAACACTGGAACAAACATTGGCAATCAGATTATCGAACAACGACAAAGTTTGTCTATTTTAATCCAAACTTGCTTTGTTGCTTTGTTACGCGATGACTCAACAAAAGCGCTCTTAGGAGATTACAGGTCAATCTTGTTTTCGAACTATATATGACAAAAGTTTCGGATGTGATTCATGAGTGAGAAAAATAAAATGAAATGTTACGGTGCCATAAAAAGTTTGAGGAAGTAGAAGTAAGCACCGATAAATTGTGATTGCTTATCTTTGGTTTATTATTATCGTTCTTTAAGTTAATATTTATTTATAATAATGAATTAGGAATTAAGACTAGCTTTATATGTGTATGTATGTTTGTTTGTGATCGTTAGTTTATGAATTGATCATACAGAAATTACCGAATGGGTTTAAATTAACTTTTACTTAATTAGCTGCGTTGTTGATAAATAGTTAAGTTTCTTGCACTTTAAGATTCAGGTAAATATGATAATTAAGGGGTTTACGCAAGCAAGAACTTCCACGTCTAAAATGAATAGGGTTTTCCAAAAACACTCTATTTTTTATAAACTATTACCTCCCGTGTAATTGGGTCAAAGGTAATTCAAATTATTTTATTAATTGACATGCGTTTAAAGGGCTCATATAAGGCAAATTGCACAAAATATATCTGAAGGTTACGGACAATAACTATTTTGAATGTCGGCTGGTAACATTGAACCTTGTTATGTCAAATGGTGGTGAAATGGCGGGCAGTGAATGCGAAATGCGTACAATCTGACGCCTGACATTGGCGTGACTTGACTTCGTTTGCACTCTGTGCTTGGAATAAGTTTGAGATGCACATGTTTGATATTGAATATTTCGTAACTTAATTCCCTTCGGTATTAATATATACTTCATCTGCATTACACATAGTAATTTACGAAGTAAATTACCAGCATTAAATTTAAAGGAGCCTGCACTTAGTTTATTATTGTGTGTCACGTTAACTTCATAATGTATAACATAGATTATACTTTTTACTTAACGGTTAATACTTAAATAGTTAATAAACAAAAACTTCGATTACCGAAACTCCAAGTTTCGGTTATTATTGTTTGTGACGAGTGTTTTCTGTTTAGGGTAACTTATTACATTTGTTTGCAATACCGTATAAATAAATCTTTTTGACAAACCTTCAGTTGGATTATACTCGTATGTAGAATAAATTATTATTCTCGTAATTTTCATATCCCCGGATGAATGAAAAATGCATGTACGTATTACGTACATATGTCACGGAAAATATTTTTTTATTCATCAAGCCTGTTATGTCGTTAAAACGATATGTTTTAAATGTTGAACGAAAATAATAATTATGGATTTCTATATTTATGATTTTTTTAAAGAATCTTAACAATGTATATTGAAACTGAAATTTGTTATGTATTACAAGAAACGTTTTTATTTGGGACTTTACGTACCAACGCTAAAGGTTTTATGGCCTGACTTTTTTAAATAATAATAATCTTAGGTCGTTTTCCTATGCTTGTTTGAGTAACCTAATATGAAATATTCAAAAATTAGGAATGATTAAAACTACAAATATGAAAATTAATAACGGAACATTTATAAGATATGTAAATAGTTACTTTTTTACTTATGACTTACGTATCAATAGCCAAAAACATAATGATGTTCTCCCATGATTGAATTATTTATTGATTGAAACATTTTTTTTATTTATAATAAATACCATAATCATACTAAACAACAACATTCCAACAATTATAAGATTGTGGCAGACCCTGGCTAAAGCTGGGAAATTGCCAGGAAGAAGAAGAAGAATAAATACCATAATCTTTAACTTATAAAAACAGTTTGGTTAACAACTTCACTTTTCATAAAGAACAACTTGATGAATATATGAAATATCAAAGTATACCATTGAAATAACGATGATTTAAGAATATTATGTTTTACATATTATGTTTTACTCTTCAGCCATTTCTAATTGAAAACTGTTTGTCAAAGTAAAGTCAGTTATGGGAAAAGTGGCAGAGATTTTATCTTATTTCATGTGATAGTTTTTGCATTGAAAATTGTTCTTCTCTTTGATCATATGATAAACATACAATTAAAATTATGCATTTTATAATTAAAACGAGATTACTTGTTATAAAATCTAATTTATAATGAACATTTTTAGTAATTCAATATTATTGTAATACTGTTAGCCTAAATTTTTATAAATGCATCTTAAGTCTTAACATGTAAAAAAAATACGTAATTACAATACATATAAAACTAGGTATATGACATTATTTACTTACAAAAATTATTTTAAACTGCTCATATTTTATATTTCTTACGAATTAAAATGATCAATTGAAATGAATTGTTACGAAATAAATAATTAAATAGCTTATTGAAGAAAGCTTATTATTTACAAAATTAATTTAAAGTTCAGGGCTTCAACCGAAACCGGATTATTTCGGAATCATTATGTATTAATTGAATTAAAATATCTTTAATTTTTTATGAGTTCACAGTAATAATTTTATATTATATATATATTTTTAGAAATAAAGTATTCGTTTTATCAGGTTGTATGTTCTATAACTATTTACCAATTATAACATACACCCACACAGGTAGTTGCTTTGGAGTTTTTTTTCTAATTCTATTGTTTATTTCATTACTTTTATTATCCTGGGAGTACCAAAGTAAATATAGAATGAATTGGTATAGTTTTTTGCGAAATAACAGTACACGATTTTTTTCTAATAAATAGGACTTACGTATAAATAGATTAAAGAAACGTATGTTGTAAATATAATGAAAGAATGTACAAATGATATGATTTCACCAATTTTTAGTAATAGTAAGTGCATAAAATTACAATGTTTTGCATATACCAATTCATCCCTCATCATTCATCTCAATTTTAAATATCAAGAAAAATAATTACTTTTTAACGCCCAAAGCTCCAATCGGTCCAGGCTGTTAAGAAACAACCGGCTGTCATGCCGGCACTTTTGACTTGTTCCATTCATAGGCACCATAATTTTAGGGAATCTATCCCACATCCCTACTAAATTGACCGTCTCACGATCCTGCGGTTCATTTTTGTCTAGTGTTAAAACAGTCCCATTGAATAAATTGTTTGTTATGATGTTATCGGATATCCTAAATTCGATACACTCGCGAGCTGCGCACACGCAAAGGGCGGAGAGAAGCACGCAAGCGCGCGCAGCCATGTTTGTCACAGTAATGATGGCTTGATGCAGTGAACTGGGTTTAAGCAGTAACAATAACTATACGGCACTGACATCTATCCGGTATAACAATGGACTTGTGAAATTTTTTATCTACCTACTATTTTTATTTTTTGTTTTTATTAATTTAATAATGTTTCTTTATGTTTGTCAAACATCACCTTGGATTATCTCATAGGTGATAATTTTGTATTTTTCTTTTTACATACCTTTAACTTAATGACGATCATTCATTTCACTTGTGTGAAAAGTAATGCATAACGTATTGGTTTTATTATGTTGTGACAATAAAAATTATTATTGCTATTTGTGTGTTAATTTATCATTTATCTCATCGGTTTTATATCAATGAATGATATATGGTCTATTCTGCTACTTCTTTCCCTTTTTTTTTTGCTATTATCAACTATTATCAATGCATGTGATAAGTAGTATTATGTAAGTGCTACATAAGTCTTAGTATTCTATACAACATAGTATATGTGTGTTTGTATGAATCCCTATTATATGTATATCATATAATATCAAAGATACTATTTGCCACGACCTATGATGGGATTATAAATTTTAGCCTGCATTAGGTTCATCAATCTTAGTACCCATTAGTGTTACAAGTTTTCGAACAACTCATATTTAGTTAGATTTCATGCAGAATTAAAATGACAGTCAATTCATGAAAATAATGATTAACAATGTCCCAATTAAACATAGAATTATCATTTAACATAACACATTACGTAAATTTAATAAATTATTCAAATATTGATTTACATTCTTATCATGACAATTGTGATGTATACCATTAAAATTGGAGCCTTGTTCTCGATTGCACATTAATTTGTAAACGGAATTTTCTTCACAATATCTTCACAAACTTCATTATAGAGTAATGAATATTATATCTATAGATTGATTGTGTTTTATGAGGTGAATGACCTTTGTTTCTTGTAAATATCGAACGTCTCAGACGTCGTTTTATTTTAGTGAATCCCAAATATTTCGGGGATTAATTGTCACTTTTGTATAGCCCATTAAAGTTCAATTAAGATCCGTTCAGCCGATCTAAAGATTACTCCGAACAAACTAGATTTACAGACATACGGATATTTAAATTGTATTTTACGTTTTTCTTTGATAAATATTATGGAGATCTTATAAAAGAGATTTAATACATTTCTTTCCATTTTCTTTACAACAAAAGTGATTTCTGTTTAGTATGACAGTTAAGCCTAATTAAATAACTTTCATCCAATTTTTACGATCACTTTTTTTCGCAACTAAATACATTTTGAAGATAAGCAGAAAATTATAATCCTTCAAAGGTATTATTAATCTATATTTATACTTAGATTTGAGTACGCATGAATCTAATATTAAATTTAAAGTAGGTCTCCTCACTGAATAGAAATGAATCTTATTGAACTCTTAAGAATCACTCGTACATAAGGGGTACATATCAATGGGTAAGTCAGATGAAGAATTATCACATAGTATAACGAAGCGTATAATTGCCGATACATTTAAATTGCTGTTAAATTAATGAGTCAATTAATTTAATTAATAGGTTTGTAACCTATTAGTGTTTAATCTAAATGTTCTCGTGTAACGTAACCTCATTTGTCCTTGATATATATATTTTTTCATATAAAACGGGTATAATGCACAAGTTTTCAAATATTAGGGGCGGATTTATTGATTACTGGAGGCTATTTGCTTGGTTCTAGTGTTAGTTCAGTTGAGGGGATCGGAGCGAGGATCTTGTTTGTTTCAGTTGTTATCGTAGAAAAAATACTACGGAGTTATTTGTTTTGGTATCTTATTTCTTTATATGAATATATATCTTTTGATGAAATTTATATAGGTTTACATATATATTTATTTTGTTAAAGATATTTTGGTAGTAATATATACGATCAGATATTAAGGTATGAAATGATTGAAAGTATTTTGTAATGTTTCCTTAATTATTTTTTTGTATATATAGACTACGGTTTCTTTAAATACTCTATTTATTTGGAATATTTTTTTGGATTATCTACAGTTTATCTTTAAACGTTTATAAAGAGATTAGGAAAGATTAATGGGATTCAATCACGAAGAAAAGTTCAGGTTACTTCGATGTATGTACAGATATAACATAAATATATCTAAAAATAAATCAAATATGTCTTAACTACTTTTATTAATTATCACAAAATGTTCTAAATAAACCCTCTAAATTTACTCTTTATAATTTTATATGCTAAAGAAAAATAACAAAATGGGCAATCTGTAAACTTCGAACTAAAGTCTAATATATATTATTTAAATAGAATAGTCGTTAGGTCAGAAACATTTAGTCTTTTAAATTCATAGTTGTAATACTATTAAGTACCAGTGAAAAGGCCCTTGTTTGATTTATCAGCGGTATGAGATTGATTTTCGTGTGTAGTAATAAGCTGAATATCCTGGATACAATATTAGATCACCACGTAATATCTGGTAGTATGAGATAATGATTAAAATGCTTCCAAGCAAAATATAAAAGCTTAGATTTCCACTAGGATTTTACTAAGCTAGATATATATTTTACATTGTTAACTCACAAAAATCTCGCTAGAAGTCTAAAAATAATAGATATATGTAACAGTATATCTCTTTGTCATCTTCTGCATTCACTTTCTTTTTAATATTAAAAACATAAATTTCAGTTTCTAGGAAATACTAATGATCTGAATTTTCCTATATTACGTTAAACAAAATATTTTTTTCCACCATTTTCATTCTTTCTATCTGTTCTCTCTAATTTTATTTAAATTTAATTTCATAATATGTAGTTTTGAGTGTTCTAGTGATATAGACTAACATGTTCTTCTGTAAAGAGTAGTTTCACGAAATCTGTTCGGAATTTTAAATCGAAGATTACTGAATAGGTCATATAAAGAGAAGTCACTTCCTTTTTATTTATGAAATACTTTTTGTCATTATTATGTAAAAAATAATGTAGGTATGTATTTTATTTTGTTCCATTCGTGTGTAACAAATAATATATTCATATTAATCATTTTAAATCATATATTTCTACTGTGATCAAGAAAATGTTTGACTGAGAAAAAGCTGTATAATTTTTTCAAAACATACCTATCCTAGAAAAATACCAAGTGATCAAGCTATCAAATAAAAACAATGTAAATCTGTTAAAACCTTTTTGTGATCAATTCAGACTTTGATATTCATAAACAAACAAACTCATAAGCTGATCTATTTCTATAAAAATACTGTATCACAAATTCGGCAGCGAGAGACAATCAAAAATAATTGATGTATTCATTATTCTTATAAAATACATTTTTGTAACAAATGAAAATATACGTTACTTGCACCCAATTTACATGATAAAATGCTAATCTTGAAGGATAACAGTTTGTTCTTGTAACACTTTTTTAAAATTTCGTCTTGACATTTTGTTTACTTTTTAATAAAGGAAACTTTTAAAATATATCACTTAGATATTTTGTATAAACACTAGTAACACTTTTTGTTAATAAGGAAAAACTTTTAATTAATATAACATTTAAAAATTTAACGTTATTTAATTATATTATTTTACAATAATATGCTTTTTGAAGATTATTTTTATTTTTCTTATTTGAATATTTGTTTATTTGCATTGTAAATAAAATAAAAACTGGGGTTGATAAAATTTCCAATAAGTAAGTGTGATATTTTTATAATGTTTTAATTTTATCTCTTAATATATGTATGTAATTGTTTCACTTTAACCATATAATTATAAGTAAGTATTTAGTTTAATTACTTTATATTCGATAATTTTAATTGTCGAATTTAATAAGAAAGATACAATATATGTATTGAAATAATTAAAAAGTAGAGTATCGCTGTTTATGAATAATTCTATATAAATAAAATAATGATATTATTACGGCTCCTAACTATACAAGTCAACCAATTTTATAAGGATAAGAGCGGTGGAAATATCTAGTTGCAACATCATCTGAGACAGAACTAACATCAATTACTAAGACTGAGTACGATAGTAATTCCTTTCTTAGATCACTTATAAAATCCTGACAAAGAGAGTAGTAGGTAGGTAGATTGGTTATAATCGCATTTAAAATTTTATTAAATAATAACTTTTGTAACGACTCCTTAGATTGGCTTCTGTAGATCTTAACTATTATTAGGAGTCCGCGACAAAGAATTATAGAGAATTACAGAGAACTTTATGTTGCGATTTTCAATCAATACAAAGTAGTAAATGAACATATCATTTTGTTTGCACGTAGAGCTGACCAAGATTCGGTTAGCCTAAGTCTTGTGAGAAATATTTACTATTAGTACATCCTAAAGCTATTACTACCCCTTAATTTCCTATTCAAACGCACTTGTTTGTGGCTATTTAAATGTAATCCTTTTGAACTTAAAATGGTTGTTTACATCAGTTTTATTTGTATTTGAAGTGTTTTCAAAAGACAATTGAACAAAAGTATGATGAGAAATAAATCACTGAAATTTTGATGGAATAATATTTAAAGTATATATCGGTACATTAATATGTTAAGAATTGAAACAAAATTACTGATATTGTCAAAAGGCAGCACAACTAAAGCCATATAGATAGGTATACATTTCATGTGATAACTTTTAAGGTAACAGGTCGAGCGGCTAGCTTAATAAGTGAACGGCGAGATTTAAACATATGAAACGGCCTTAAAGCAGTATTTCGGTGATTCACGTGCTTCGCGGTAACATTAGAAATAATAAAATGTAATAGTAGAAAAGCTTATCTTCTTTAAAAGCTGCAATATATTAAAGAACATAAAAAAGAAAAAAAAAGCAAAAATAATTTTAAATTAATGAAAACTATAGTAAAAAATTCTATTAGTAGTAACACAGAAATGTAAATAATTAGTACGTAAAATATATTTATACCTAATTTTCAAAAGCATATATAAGAGAAAGTTCTTACATATATCTTCCAG